AAAGTTAGTAAACAAAATCATTGGCATTAGCATTTAGTCTGTTAATATTTACAACATTTAAACAACTAGAAATTAAGGAGGTGGGGCCCTGGCTCCACCTATATGCCTATTCTGGCACCCTTTTGTCACTTCTTTTCTTGAACAAGAAAAAAAGTGTTGACTAAATACTAGTATCTGGTTAAAAAACCCTAGCCTAGCATATAAACTTTGGTGGACTAAAAAGATGGTCACAAATTTCAAGATTGTAAATTTATATGATTTTACGTGCATCAAATCTTCTTGAAAATGCAGCAGACCAAAACCTGCTTTAACTAGGCTTGAAAAATCATAATTAAATCGCAAAACACTAAATGACGTCCTTTAGAATAAACACCATTCAACAGGTTTTAAACTCACGGCACCTGTTTATCATTCGAGACAACATATGTTTCTGATAATTCGTTTCTATTTGCTCATGATAAACATACCGATGTAGAGTTATCTCTGGTTCTATCTGACGAACTTTCGGTTTGCTGTGATCTTGAGGCTGTTTTCTCGGGTGCCAAATCCCTGAAAAAATGTATTTCCTTGTAAATGAAATACCTGGTGCTGGATGAGTTTGTTTATTTTCCAGAAGCAATCGATGCAGCTCCCTCTGTTGAGAAATCGCAATCTCAAGTGGAGAGCTTTGTGTTTCTTGGATAACAGCTTGCAAACACCCTGCTCAGATGTTTCAATCTTGTTTCTGGAGATCCTCAGTTTTTCAAAAAGATGTTAACACCAGACCAGCTTGGTCGAACAAAGTAATCCACACAAGCGTAGTACCTGTCCTAAAAGGCGTCAAAACTGCAGCATTAATTATGAATAACAACACATGAATTTTTCAAAGCTAAATGAAATGAAATTTCTCAAGAGGTTGCGAGGCGTTTCCATTTCCTCATCGATACACCTGCTCCGTGTATTTCTTTGCACGCTTCCTGACATGCTGAATATGCGCTGTGCGAGATTCCCGTGTTCGTCTTTACAAGCAGTAATTGTACTAAAGTACAAAATCCAAGCATGACCTTCTTTTCTACTTACATTTCGTACAAAATCCAAGTTGATTATTTTCATCAATTATTGAATGAGAAAACTTAATTTATACTGCTTTGCTTGCTATGATTAAACTTTGCAGTTCCGGTTCATGGTTCGCATACTAAATGCAATCAACACGAAATCCTATTGTTACTCAATATATATCTACACATCATCTCGTTAATTAAAAAGAAATGCTTACAAACTAGAAAAACACGTTTAGTATATTGTAAACTATAGAAGCAAGGTCATCCATAATCACCTTCGTTTTAGATTTATGCCTTTTCTCTGAAAGTCACAATTTCGTTTCAATAAAAACTGAATCTCTTGTGCTGTGCCTCCAAAATCTCACCTGGTGCCTGTTTTCTTACAATAGAAGCTATGTATTCAATGATAATTCTCTGTAGTTGAGCTCATTCAATCTATTACAGCATAGTTGAACCAACTTGTGAAAAACAGAATAGATTTTGACGGATGGATGGCTTGAATAGAAAGGTCTAAACATTTGTGGTTGTTGAAAATTGAAGTGATCACTGCTTCATTTTAAAAGAATTTTTGTAACTTGGGTTGATTTACAAAGCGTTTAATTGTTGTGGCTGCATACGTAGCTAACCAAAATTGATTAAAAAAACTAGCGAATTACAACCATCCCATTCTGAGAGTTTCTATCCCAGTGAAAAAGTCAATACAAAAGACTACGTATTAAATGTATTTTTTTAACTACTTTATGCGCGGTTTCAGTAATTTTTTACTACCAGAGGCAACCACCCTCCCAATCATAGGTAAGTTTCTTAATTTGGCATCCAGATTTTTCAGCTGGTTTCTTAGTTCGGGACCTAAAATTGCCTTATTGTTTTGAAGTTAGGAATTTATGGAAGAACGTAAATGCAGATCGTCATGAAAAAACTCCATCTTTATTAAAATCCAAAACATGTTTTCTTTTCACAAGAAAAACTAACAAAATGAAACTTTGTACTCTTTTCTTTCAAAATTTACATTTTTCTTAATTTTTTTTAAGCTTCGTACTAATGTTTCTTAATTTTTAGGCATCCTTTTACTATTTTCCTATAAACCAGTTTCGTACAAATTTCTATAATGCTTTCAGTTAGATTTGGTGTTGAATGTATGTGCACAACTCTCTTTAACGAATGGATTTTGTAAAATAACATGTGAGGGTAGTTTTAGACCGAGTTTTCAAATCATTCTAATTTGGATGGTACTTGTACGTGGACAAGGGTCTGTTGAAAGACTATCTTCATATACAACTGCCATAATCTTTCTTAAAAACGGGGTCGCAAAAGATAGAACGCTGGAATTGTGTTCACTATCTTCCTTGACACAACTGGCAAATTTATATGAGTTCCCAATGCAACTGTAGTATTGAGACTCTTTGAGAGGGGAGGGGGTACGGCAGTCAAAACAAAATCCTGTCATTTCTATTTATTCGATTGACTTACTTCCCACTTTGGCGATTTCTTGTGCAGCCAATCAAGATTTTTGAATGCTTTTATTTGAGCCTCCTCTAGGTCAAGAACGTCTTATTGCTTGGTCAGAACTACTCGCAATCACGAGGCTATGATAAATCGCCAACAGGACCATCCACTTTCCCACCTCTATGTCCCATTTAATTCCGATGTCACTGCTTGTAGGAAGATTTGAGAGAAGCAGCAACCTAAAATATTGCAATTGGTTATCACGAAGTAGAGACCGAGTAAAGATTATTGAAGAACAACTTGCATAGTTTTTTAGTAGATTAGAAGTATTATTCTGGATTGAAAAAAGTTGATTCTTATCAGATAAAAAGCTTCTGGTGGTTGAAGGAATTTTTCCAGATACCAAAGTGTTGACCTTGAGAAGTAAAGAAGTGCGATAGAATGATATCATTAGTTTTTAGAAAAAATTGTGGACTATCTGGAGATTAAGAAAATCTGCCTTCAATGATTTCATTATTCGCAGTACATAAGATGGCAAGCTTATTGCTAAGCAAATTGCAAAGAACGTCAAACAACGGTGGATCAAAGAACCCAAACATTAAGGGGAGTTGGCCGTGTGACACTGCCGCATTTTTTGGCTGTATTTTGGCTGTGTTAGTACTGAAAGGAATATGGACTTTCAGATGCAGACAAGCTCTATGTCCTTGATTATCCCACGTATACTGTATCCCACGTATACTGTATCCCACGTATATGTTCTTAATTATCCCACGTAACTTTCGTTTGATTTTGAGGTCAAGACTGACATATGATTTCATCGAAATACTCGACTCTCTCTTTTGTGAAATTGATGTATGAATATTAAGTAGCACAGTAAGAGAATTTATGACAGATGGCATGAAGGCACTAGATTAGAACCTGCGGAAGAATTGTTACTTTTCACATGAAAAAATGAAAACAAGAGAAATTTGATTTTCATGAAGGCAGATAATTCCCAATTTAATTTGATAGTTGGTTATTGGTTGACTTAAATGGTTGTAATAGTTGGCGAAAATTTTTCAAGAACCAATGATATTTTAAAAGAATTGATATAAAATTTTTTTAAGGAATCACATTCCCTTGTATATTATGCAAAAAGTATTTGGAACAATCAACACTGTGCTTTCTATTTTTCATTTATTTTCCGAATGCTACTACCTCCATCCCTTTTCCCCCCAGAACAATGTTGACAGTTTAGAAAAAAAATCATACAAGCCACACAAGCATATTCTATAACATCTTTTTCCATAGTAAATCAACATTATTCCTATAAAGAGAGGGGATGGATGAATTTGCCTTTGAAAACTGACGTCTGTGTTTGACGCCAAGATTTTCGCAGTGATTGAAACTGTAATATACAGTTACACTGGCTCGTACCGATCAACCTGGTGCAGCTAACAGATCTCGAATTGCAGAAATCCGGAAAAACAATAATATTGTTACTATTCCACTTCACAAAAGTATTTTTAAAATAAGAAAGTTTTCTACTTCAGGTGATCAGCTAAAAGAATTGACGAAAGAGTCCCAATTATTGTGTATTCCTAGCACCACACCAGATGTAAGTGTCAGGTTAGATTTAAGTGATTTCGTGCAAGTCACACAAAGATTTCCTGCTTATGCGATACTTTGGTAATTTTAAAAAGATAGGCAGCTGGTAATCAGTGATAAAGTATGAAATATAGCACTTACATCCCCAGTTGAGACAGAAATCCTTGTGAGTAACTTCATGAATTGGCAGCACTTTCCACAAGAAAACAGATTGCAATATCCCACATCCTACGTTTCATTGAATCTTTTAATTCAGACATTTTGAATTCTCATTTTATAGCAGAAAAGAAACTTGAAATTCTTATTTTATATCATAATACAATCATATATAAGGTGAATGAATGATGTCATTGCTAAGGTTGTATTTTTTCTCACCATCATTGATTCATGTGTGATGTTTAGTTTTTGTTTAGCTATTGTTCAGTGCGGCCTAGACAGCGCCTATACTCGTTTTTGTTATAAAACTTGCTATAAGAAAAGAGCACTTTGCATCCCCAAGAACGTTAAGAAACTTTAGTATAATTAAAAAAAACTCAACCAATCTTCCAAACCTATTTTAAAACCTCCTATCTTCCGTAATTAAATGGAATACTATGATACAAAAACTTTTCCACGCATGAAAAATACACATATCCCAAAAGCATATAGCTTGGTCAAGAGTACATTCTTGCTCTGTCTCTTTCTCTTTCTTCTTTCTTTTGCGATTCCCGGCCTACCATATAAACCTAAAATCCCTTTGAATTAGAGAGGCAATCAGCAAGGAAAGGCTTGATTTCTACATCATTAATAAAGATTTTTTCAAGGACCATTTTACGTTTGTCTTTGAAAGTTACTTCTCGGATAGCACTCAGTACTAGGGAGCAGTTGAAATGTTTTTATTTCACATCGTAAAGATTAATAACTAAATGTGGGAGTAATATATTTCAGGGCTCATTTCTACGATTGTATTTCCACGCGACTTCTTCAAGGCACTCAAACACTGGTGCAACAATCACATACAGTTGATAAGACGTCTCCTGCATGCCCTCGGAATCTGGACCGTAAGTTCACTTCTTTCTTCTCAAAACGTTTTATCAATACATAAGCTTACTTAATTTTATCCTATGTATAATAACGGGTGACATCATACAAACATGGTTGCTGCTTCCGTTAAATTTTGCGAAATACAAATCGTCTGATTATAAAATATTCCAAGTCAAATCTAGAGAAAAGACGTCTTTTGAAAATAATCGCAAACACTTCAAAACACTTTTTAAACAACTCTTACAGAAAAAAAAATTAAAAAATTAAAAAGGGTGCAGCAAGTTATTCATTCGAAATGCAGTTTTATGTGAAATGACGGTGTCGAATGTTAAAATAGTAGGGTCGTTTTGGATTTTAGCTATTATTACATCTTCTTTATTTTAAGTCACTTTGTGTTAATGATTAGTGCTTTAAACTTTTCCTTGTTGGAGAAATTATGTGTAACGATGAAGTTCGTGATGTAATAACTCTTGGATAACTCTTCTTAAAGAAATACAAAATAGGTGTTTTGTCAACAAATAGGTGCTACAGTTTCCTCAAGTTTGCAGCCTTTCAGACTTGTATTGCCAGCATTCTATTATAAAAACTACATGTCACTGTTATGATAAACCAATCATTATTTCGTGTGAAGACGGCAATTGTCTAGTGCTAACATCTTTCAAATACTTTATAAAGATCTGGAAGATTGGCAACTTGCAAGAACGTCCCGTTTTTCGATAGCCTTTTTGGGGGAACTAGGCCCTGACGTAATGCAGGAAATAAAACGTGCTGAACAATCCATTTCCACGGTTTTTCCTTAGAAGTTGTTGCTCCCTGTGAATCTTCTTCGATTGGTTTACCTGATATGTTGTTATTCTCTGCATTGTCAAGCGGTTTAATATCTAATGAATTAGGACCAAAAGCGTACAGCATGCTGCAAATATCAGCGAATGTCTGAAAGCAAGTCTGCTCTGCCTCCCAGTCAACCTGCAAAAAGATTATAGCGATGTGCTAACTATCGTATAACTGATAACAGCAACAAAATAAACTACGATGTATCCATCATTAAATTATCGTACACTTGTTTTACAGCTACAATAACCAAAATTCAGTAAAGAAAAATACAAACTTATAAAACAGGATTCGTCAAAAAGGTAAACAAAAATACCCTAAACATTGCATAGGGAAATGACAAAATGTTCTTTTGGTGCAGTGCAGCGCTCTTTGGACTCACCGTAGATATCTGCTATAAAAATTCATAGGTTATATTCTTACGATGAAGGTGAAAAATAAACTCACATCGGTTGCTAGTCTCAGCAAAAACATAGGAAGGCGATACAGATCAGGACTGTATCTACGCAGGAGCATGGGCAAAGAAATGATATTGCCTTCTTTGTCAATCTCTAACGAAAAATAATCTGCCAACATTTCTGATTTTGACTTCAGCAAATCAACAACGTATTTGGCTAGATCTTCCTTAGGCCCATCTGGCTGAGACCAACCACTTTGTTCTGTATTCAAAGCCATCATAGTTAATTCATAGATTGGTGCTGGGTTTTTGAGCCTCATGTAACCAAAGTTACCAAAACTGAAAATGATTATCTGATAGAAAAGTTCTTTGGTTAATTTTGTAACATTAACCAAGTACAGTTTGGTGCTGTGTTGAATTAAGGCCTGAGAGCGGTCAACACAACCGACAAATATATGATCTTCGATCAGTTCCTTCAAAGCATGATGTTCGTTGTCATCTATTGCTTTGCGTAAATTTTGTATGCTTGCTAGGCCAATGTTTCTTCTAGGGCCTGCTGATGTTGAAGTTTCTTCCGAGTATTGATCACGCTTTCGTTTCACTACAGGAAAAAGAAATGATGCTCAGAGATTATGGCTTCATACTCGGAGATTTCAATCGCCGTTTCACTACAGGGAAGTTACAAGCCAAATAGTTACTCAATACTTGAAATGGTAAATTTATTGATTTGGTGAGTAAAATATCTATCTTAGCAATTAACCGTTGTAAGAAATGTATCACGCATCACCTATCAATATTATAAACAGATAGAATTGGTTTTTTTGATGAGAATGAAAAACTTGAGATTCAGTGTTGAGACTTTGCAACCCCTCCTCAGCTCAAGGAGACTCCTCCTTGAGATTCACTTTGCCGGCAACGAAAAGGGCAATGTGTGATGGTTAGACCCACCCCCCTTTCGACACACTACCCCAACGAACACTTGTTGTACAATCATATAGTTAACGACATAATAGCAATGATACTGTCCACGAGCACAGTTACCCTTTTTGTTGGGGAAACGACCCATCTGAAGAAATCTTTGCTTTGACTCGGTATCTGCACAAGGATATGCGTTTTAATTGCGGAAATTAGCTTTCCTTAAAATAAGCAATCAGGATTTGATGCATTCTTTCTTACAAGAACTAGATAATTGTTCCGAGGTTCGGCTTGTCACAATTTTGGATAATTTGAGGTTCAGGTGTTCTTAATATTCATATCATTTTTCAACGTTGATTTTTCTACAACTATAAACTATCAATTGTTTCCAAGAACATTGAAAGCAGTTTTGCGTGACATTTTTTGTAGCAAGGTTGATTTGCTGATAAAGTCTGCTCTGTTTTGTTTAGATGAGTGAACATTTTCAAAAATAAATTGTTATGTTCTAAGGCTGGGCATGTTCTTACGTTCTTCTTTTTTGGCAAATCGAGCCTCCGTATTCTAATAAAATGTGTTCTTATAAAAAGAGTGTAATTCTTAACTGCAACTAATACTTTATCAACTTACGAGGCAGCTTGTTGGAAGACCCTTTGCTTTGGTTTTTATTGGCATGTTGTCTTTCGCCTTGAAATATGGTATCATCAACAGCCATTCCATCTGCATGTGAAATGTCCGTTGATGACTTTGACGTTTTTACAAATGATCTGTTGATTTCGATAAAAGTCTCATCAGCATTCTTGACACAATCTCATCATTAACATTCATGATTTGCCTGATAACCGTTAGACAAACAAACATAGGTGCCAACTAATTGAGGAGTGGAGGGCTCAGAACCTCCACCCCTGAGAAATAGAGAGGTGGGCAACCTCTGACAGGCTTTCGGTGCAGAAATAATTTTCAAGGAACATTTAAGACAGTGTATTTTCTAGATTTAAGAAACAGCAAATAAAAAAGGTTTTAGCAGACCATTTTTATGCTTGCACTTGCCAATTGTTGACAACAAAACACACCATTTATACATTGCATATGATATGAGCAACTTTTTTATAAAAATTGTAAAAGTAAACCACCCCTGAAAAAAGTAAAAGACGTCAAAGCAAACAAAATCAAAATGTTCTTTTACAAGGGATTGCAGAACAAATTTCCTATTTGCTTTGAGACTATACCACACAGGACCAATGACAACAAATGAAAATAGAAAACAAACTGGATAAATACATGGAAAACAAAGTACAATGCTAAATAACCAATCAAGACATACTTCTCAGAATCTTTTAGACTTGAAGTGCTGGCAATATCATAAAAGGCATCAAGCTTTTGCTCTCTGGCATCAGTGCGAACCATTTGGTGGGCATATATTTTTTCTTTATTTTTCTGACTAACTGCCTCAGAAGCCTCATCAGCAATATCTGTGGAAGTATTTCAAATTGACTTAATGAAACCGAGAGACATACAAACTACAAGATGACATAAAAAGAATTGGAGTTTTGGCTGCATACCATAGATCAGTAATCATACCTACATGCTTTAGAAGGTGTACTTACTTGCTTTTAAATCTCACCCATCATTTCCCTGCAGACTTTTTGATGATAATTCAAGAGGTTTTGCAACAAAAACTTGCCAAAAGTAGATCAAAATCAAAACAATTGACCAGTGGTAATTCTTAGAAAATAATTCTTAGAAGATTGCAAACCAACACTGCATCAATGTTAAGTTGCTTGCAATAAAAAATAATTTGCAAAAAATATTTTGGTCTTTGTTTTAGTTAACTCTGTGACATAGTCATATCTATTTCCAACTGCTGATCAATCAACAATTATGGATAAAAAACTTACCAGACACTGAAGTAGATCCAAATGTTGGAAGAAGTGTTTGTGTATAATAATGTCTTGACTCATTGGCACCAAGAAGCTTAGCATCAACTGCTTTTTTTAAACTTTCAATGATCATATCTTCATGAAGAAAATGAACTTCGTGTTTTGTTGGGTGGATATTCACATCTATATTGCTTGGCATAATATTCAAGCTCATGTACACAAATGGGTGCTTGTCTTTTGGTAGATAATTAGCATAAACAACTTCCATTGCTTTTCTAAGATTAGTACAATCAACAAGCCTGTTGTTTATAAAAAGAAGAAAAATGATCTTTTTCACAGAGTAATTTGCATTAGATATATAGCCATTTATTTCAAATGCCAGTTTGCTGTCATCCACTTTGACTTCAAGCAGCTCTTTTGCAATAGTTGGTCCATATATTGTCTTTATATTCTCTATCTTTGATGATTTTGACATTGTCCTTACATCTGCTAAAGTCTCTCCATGCTTTTTCAAGGTGAATCCAATACCCTCATTGTGAATTGCATATTTGCTGATGACCTCTGTAACTTTAGTATGCTCCTCACTTGGACTTTTCAAAGCCTTTTTTCTTATACCAACATTATAAAACAGGTCCTCAACAAGAATCTGAGTCCCAGAATTCCCTGCACAAGCTTTTGGCTCACCAATTAAAGAGCCATCCTGGTACTTAGCTTTATATGCACATTTCCCCTGTGCTGTCTTGGTTGTGATTGTAACATGAGCTATATGACTTATACTTGCTAAAGCTTCTCCTCTAAAGCCATATGTTTGAATGGACTTCAGATCATCAAAGTTTGTCAGCTTGCTCGTTGTAAATCTCTTGCAGACTATTTCTAAATCTTCTTTTCTGATCCCAGACCCATCATCTTGAATCTGAATAAGTTTTAGACCACCTAAAGGACAAAAGGCGATTTGGAAATAAAATCACATCAAATCGAACTTAGCAATATGTTAACATCTTTGAAAATGCAAATAGATGTAAATGGTTTATTTTAGGTACCTAGAACACTGCATATAATTGTATAAAAGCATAAAAACATATAAACATTTAAATGTAAAAATACCAGGGTTGAATTAATAATATTAAATTAAAAGCTATTTCTAACGAATTGATGCTTGTTTCCCGTATTTGTGGAGCTAAATGCATCCAGACTGTTGAAGAGGCTGATTGGGGCAGGCTGACCTGGTTACCTAGGCTGAGGTTTATTAACTTTGCAAGGAAAATACTTTTCAAGTCTGAGCTGAAACAAGGTGACTGGAAATGTTTGTTTTTGTATTCGTTTGAGGCCAAGCTCGATCTTGTGGCCCTATACAGTACTTCCATGATTAGGACAAAGCTTTTTTAGGGAACTGACAACCCAAAATATGGGGTCCAGACTAGAAACTTTGTTTCTTGTGTCGACAAGCTTGCCTTGCAAGTTTGAGACTGTGCGTCTGAATTCATAAATTCTAAGTTATTTTATAGTTTATATTCATGTAATCACATCGGTCAGACTCTAGGAAATAACGGCCTAATTACTGATTGAAGTTACCTGATTTCAGAGTAACACTAATATTTTTTGAGCCAGCATCTATTGAATTCTCAATCATCTCTTTGATTGCATTTGCCGGCCTTATTATCACTTCCCCTGCTGCTATTCTATTCACTACAACCTCATCCAACTGGCGAATGTGCGGGGTAGTGTCAGCCATTTTGTTGTCAATTTCCCGCGTTCATATGCAGACGAGGCTCCAGGCTCTATACCGTACATCCATATCCTCGATTAAGCCCCCGGAGGCTTATTTGCAAAAACGAATTTTTGGGTGGGGGTTTATTCAAGGGGGGCTTATTCGAGAGGGCTTATTCGAGGGGGGCTTATTTCAAAGTTTGATATTTTCCTCAAATGTCAACATAAAAACGACATACTGTAATTTTCTCAATGAAATATACCCTGGGTACCAGACTCACTATATAAAATAATAGAGATCCACTTATTCGAGGGGGGGTCTTATTTGTAAAAATGATTTTTTAGGTGGGAGTTTATTCGAGGGGAGGGCTTTTGCGATTGTGGGACCTTGTTCGAGGATTTACGGTAAGCTATTCTTTTTTTGAAATAATCTTTAATACAAGGACGGTGCCTAAAAGGTCTCTTAGTTCAACAAACTCAACTTATGTTAAGCTCAATGGTCGACACAAAAACTAGCCTACTCTCTATTTTTCAAATCCTGTTTCCACATTCTCGAGATTGATTTATATAGGCCTGGAAATTCAGACGATTCGCTCTGTCAATTCGCACGCAAACCACCCTCTGGTTTTGCTTTAATAAACCTATCGTCTATGACCTAATTCGTCTATGAGACTCATTTTAATTTTAAACATGACAAATACCGTAGTTTTCTGTTTTTTCGTATTTTCATAGATAAGTGAAAATTCAAAGCAACATAAAAAGTTATCGAACTTAGACAAAAATGTACGATTTGTGAAAAAAACGCTCCGGTTTTCCTTTAATAATATTTTGCAGAAAATTGATAATTATATCATTTTCATCTGAATTTTCTTAGTATTCATCTATGAAAATATAAAAAGCAGTAAAACTGTGGTATTTGTCATGTTTAAAATTGAAATGAGTCTCATAGACGAATTAGATGAAAAGTTATTCAGGCCTATAAGGACAGGAGCGCCTACATAGGGGGGGGGGGCTGGAGGAGCAGCTGCCTTCGACGAGGGGCAGCTGCCTTCGAAGAGGGGCAGCTGCCTTCGAAGAGGGGCAGAGGGGGCAAGAAGTACCCTGAAATATAAGAAAATACTGTAGAATCTTATCGATAATTGATGACGACTTTGGCCACTCTCGTTATGTAAACATATATTAGATAATATTAGAAAGATGATAATACAAGCACAAAAACGCAAAGGATGAAAAGTTTTTCTGTGACAAGGTCGGCCACAAGAAGGAGAGTGGCGAAAATAATAGATGATCAACACAAGACGTGTTCCTTCAGAAGTACTCCAGGAACCTAAGGAGGACAAATTGGTATAAAAACTTAGCTGGTATCCAAAATTATACAACCAGCCCATTTGTAACAGCAATGACTTTTACAAAACCAAATATTGTGAATAGTGATGAGGCCATTTAAAACCCATTTTTGTATGGATAATTTCGTCAACAATTTCTCTATCTTTAGAATCTTTGGTAAAAAGAAACCCAACCTGTATGGGTGACACATATTCAAGTTAATATTTTATTATGTTACCCACCATCGCCCCCTCCTACCTAGGAATATTCGACTTTGTTGGTAGAAAAATTCCATGATTTGCCCTCGGCACCAACACTGCTCTTCCTGCCCTAATCTTGTGAACGCGTCCCTGTATATAAATCAATCTTCTCGAGCACCCTTCAGCTGTTCCCGATTCCCGTGTCAAAAAGTTTGGTGTCTGTTTTCTTTTCTTCATTTGATTTTAGTTTACCCGGCCAGTACAGAAAGATTGACCGGACATATTTCCGGTGACTGTGCCTGAAATTTTACAAAGTTATTAGATATAAATCTCATTTTCAAATAACCTTGATAAGAGCAAACACTTTTAAACATACTTACCTCTGAAAGTATAAGAAGGATGATCGAAAATTCTAAGCTGGGAAATATATATATATACCTAGTTGTGGTTCGAAACAAGCCAATCAGCAACGCGAGCACATGACTGTTAAGGTTACCCAATCGGTGCCCCTTACATATTGGGTACTTCAATGAACATTCATTCATTAAAGATTAGGTACAAAACAAAACTGTATTCCCGAAGAAGATATGTACCCTCTCGAGGCCTGTCCTTCTGATTCCTCACAGTCTTGAATGATGACTCCTATTTTCCTTATAATTCGTAGCTCTTCATAACAAACCGAACTGACGCTGGATTGAAACCAGATTGAAACCAGATTGAAACCAGATTGAAACCAGATTGAAACCGGACTGGAACCGGACAAAAACGGTTGCACCCACTGAAGTTGTATCTGCCAGTTGTATCTCGCCTCTTTTCCTAGTTTAGTTTACAATGGCTGACATGTGCTAAAGCAACAACTTTCTCAGAGCTTTCTATACGTTACATGATTCTTGTCTGATTCAAGCACAAACAACGAGAGGTGCTGAGCCCCTCTGCTGTTTTGATATTTGGTTGGCAATAAAGTAAACTACCTTCCTAGAAATTAAATCACAAAAAGTGTTGTGTCCTTACCAACATGGCCTATGATTAAAATGAGACATTTAAACCTAGGGTACGAAGATAATACTTTTCAGTTTCTGAACATCCATCCAGATAGGTATCGCATTAGTTGCAGTAGGGCCAGTGAGCTCTGAGCCAAGAATACTGCTTGCTTACAGGGGGCCCCAAATTTTGGAATGTCTTTTTGCAGTACTTAAATACCTCAAAGTAATCTTTTCATTCATTTTGCATCCACTTTTCTCAAGAGTGTCTCTAAGTAACAGCAAGAGAAGAGGGCTCTTACCAAATAATACGAGTTAAAAGCTATATTAAAAAAATCGTAATAATTTTTGGAAGGTCCAAGGGCGGTCGCCCGGTAGCCCGACCGACCGGTCCACCCCTGCCCACTAGCTATGCCCCTAAATAAACATGTGTTGTTTTCTATCGTAGATTGTCTGAAAAATGCATATTATTGCACAATTGATTTTGTCAATTATTTTCCAGTATTCGTGTTGAACCTGTATTCTCACAACACACAAGAATGCAAATTTCTAGAAGTTCCGAGTTAATATTAGTAAACCTAATCAGAGAAAACTCCATCGTGTTGCAGTTGGTTGACACGTGCTACGACTGTAGCTGAAATGAACAACCTTAAATTAGTCTGAGCGTATGAGAAAACAATAAAGTCTCGGCAGTATGTTACATGCTGCTAAACAAGTAAACCGCAAGCCAGACTGAGTCCATCGATGTTGTCTTGAGCAAATCTGTGTCTTCGTTTGTGTTCAGCCTTGTTAATTTGAACTTATTGATCTGAGCAGGGATAAACATTTTTTCCTCAACATTGACGTCAACGTGCAACATTCATGTACGACTTACTCTGGATTTACCTACATATTCATTAAGGAAAGATGTCTGTTTATTTTTAATTTTGACTGACAATGGTGAGGCTGCAGGAAAGAGCATCTGGGTTTATTGTAAAAGCAAATGCCATTCTTGCCATGTGCGTATGAAGCACTCCATCGCAACAAACTCTTAATCAATTTAATCCTTAAGCACTTTCGGCAATTAGATCTTCAAGATTTTAGAAATACGTTGCAGCTTGACAATTCTGTAACTGAAACAAAAGTTTTACCAACAGCCTTAAATGTATTTCTTATTTTCGTGACCTTCGGTGTAAACTTCTTAGAATGCTATGCCATCGAAATTGCAAAAAAGAACAATTGTGTATGATATAACAGAATGCTGAGAAAAAATAAGAAAAATCGATCACGAAACGATAGTACCACAAGGATAGAGTATGACGACATTGATTGTTATAATTAATTACATTATGCAATTTCTCAATTCAATTGTCTGTAATTGCAATGAACACTTTGCAATTTTTTTAGACTTTTAACCACAATATGGCAAATATAATGAAAATGAGCAGGTTGAAGCAAATTCCAGAAATTGCTTGCTTAATGCTATCCCCTATTGCGATGAAATATATTTTCATTAAATAACCCGATGTCACTACAAAACCTGCTGGTTCTTACAGTGCTCAAGTTGATATAATCAAACTTAAAGCTAAAAAATCTCTCTTTGCCTTGATGTCTTAAACCAATGGCTGAAAACGATTCAACCCTAGGATTTTTCTATTCATATTTGACAGTACACTGAAAATTAAGTTAATTAAGGCACTGAAGTATGGAGACCTGGTTCATGGGCCTGTCTTGAAAAATTTCATCTGATGACTTACAAGTCAACCTTAAATGTTAAAAGTTCTACAACTTCCTTCGTGGTTTATGCAGAGTTAGGTCGATGTTCACTGCTTGATCATAGGAATATCAATATATGTAAATGTTGTCTTTGCATCAACATTCTGCTTTAAAAAATATGCATTAGGAAGGCTCTTGTCTTCTATTATTTAGAGGCAAAGCAGCTCGGCAAGTTCTGTTTGCTTTTTTGCAAAGAAAAAAAGGTTTCTAATTTGAGAGGGATTTCTTTCAAGTATCCAATTGGGACTCCATACTCAAGAAATTAATAAAACTTGATTTGAAACAGAGGAGTAATGCTATCAGAATAACAAGGGAGTTCTGCCACAAAATGTTGCCAAAACAATAGCAAAAGTAGAAGTAGTCTATTTTTTGGCATTAACAAGGGGGCTTATCCCTGGCACTACCCCCTGACTTGAAATCAGTGTTTATAACAAACAGGTCTTTTGCTTTGCACTTTCTAATGTTTGCAATGTGGCTGTGAAAGGTTGAGCCTTTCAAATTTGTTGTTCTTCCAATTGTTTGAGTCGTCTCTGAAAGCAGTATCAATTGTAAGAGAGTTAAAAAGTTAACTACTTCGTCTCTGACGAATTTCCGTCTGCAATGTAAATCTAATTAGGTGATTGACTTTTCATATAAGAATCTATACATCATAACAAAATCAAATTGTTGATAAACAAAGCAGATATTTGAGAAACCCTATGTTGGCACCTTATAAAAAAACATAATTTGTTAGATAAAACCAAGTCTTTAATTTCTCATTCCTTTACCCAAACAAAAGTTGCAAAATTCTTGTTTTCTTGCCAAGGGAATTATTTCAAAGCATACCTAACATGGTTTTTGAATCCATAAAAAAAATTCATGGTACGAGGAGAGCTTTTTCAGCTGAAGTGAATTAGGATATTTTTTACAATACTCAAAGATGGAATTGCCCCACCAGGCCCTCCGATTTCTCCCACCATTGATGACCAGATGCTTTTTTTACCCCAATTGCTAGGCCATTGTAGGGCCCTTTCAAAAGATTGTGCTGGTAAATATATCAACAAGGTGTTTTGGTGAAATGGGGCTTGGGTGCACTAACACATGACAAATGTGATCCCTATTGTGTTTTAACAATAGATTTGTTAACTTTGTCTAATTCCTTAAAAGCTCCGTCGCTCTGCCTTATATGCAAGGGATCGGGGGCACAAGGGGCACGTGTCCCCACTTTCAGACCTTCAGTTAAAATGCCCCTTTGCAGCTTACCAAGTTTGCCATTTTTCGCTAACTGCATAACTAAAAATTGTCCTTTAAATACTTAGGTAATCACAAACAAAGAGAGTGGGGGTGACCATGATCTGAAATGTTGCTATGCGATCTGCTTCTTAGGCCTGGTTCAAACGTCGCGCTTCTCATGTGCCGAACCTAACTCGAGAATTAAGTACATGAGGGGCGCGACGTTTGAATCAATTTGGTACGGCAGATTTAGTTAGGAGCGACAGACTAGTTTGGATCGGCAGAGCTTGCCGAGCTGCACGGCTCCAGCACGGCACGGTTTCAAGCGTCGAACTTGTCATGTACCGAACTCAATGTATAATTATATTTAATTTATTTTCCTTCCCAGAATTCATTTCTTTCTTGGAGGGCGCATGCGTTTCAAACAAATATTTGAGATTGCGCGCCTTAACCAAGATACTTCATGTAACAATCCTAAAACCCATTTGGCGCGACATAATTAAATTCGACGTTTGAAACGGGAGTCGCGCTAAACATGCTCAAGTGTCGCTCCAAACAGAGTTAGGTTCGGCACATGAGAAGTGCGACGTTTGAACCAGGCCTTAGAAACACCAAAACTACAAACTCACAACTAGGGCCACCGAAAGGTGGGGGCAGTAGCATACTGCCCTAGGGCCTTGAGGATTGGAAGGCCCCTCAAGGTTTCCAGTTTAAGAAAACAATAAGTAAGAGATAACAAAATTATGTCTAAAATTTATACAACGTTTTAAACAATTGCAATAAATGTCCCCAAAAAAATTCTGAAATATATTTTTAGCTAATCTATAGGGCATGGTCGCCAGACGTTTTTTGCTCTTCTCGCTCGCAAAAGGCCTCATCTTTCCATTTTGCCACAGGACCTCCAGATCCACTCGGCGAAACCAGTCACAATTAAACCGAGAATGATAAAATTGCAGCCAGGCTTCCAGAAACAGCCATTTTTAACCTCTCTGGAATTTGTGTTAAAAGTTTATCCTAGAAATCCAGATTCTTCACTGAAAACTTTTTAATAGAATCTCTTTTCTAGTTTAGTTTCATAAAAAAGGTTTCCAATTTGGTTTATGAACATTATTTAAAAACTTTTTAAAGATATTTTGCTATAGCAATTCGAGTAAAATTTTGAAAACTGAAGATTCAATCCTAATATAACTCGGCGATGAAACAGTCCTTATTTCAAGCTAAATTTTTAATTAATTCCCTCAGGTAAAATCCGTGGTAAGAGCAAATCTTAATCAAATCCGTGGTAAGAGCAAGAAATATGTGTGAAACATTCCATGTAGCTGTCGCAACAACGCCTGGACTTTTTTAGTGAAAATGAAAGCATATTACAATTTGAAGCACCGCACAATTTTTTGTCGTGAGTTTAGCCTCTTTTGTGAAAAGCCCAACTACTGAAAAATCCTAAAGAAATTTCCTGATGGATGCAGGAAAAATGAAATGCTTCTTAGAGAGAACATCAAGCCCTCACAAATTGAAAAAACCATAGCTGAATAGCTGTCATGGCGAAGTTCTTTTCTTTGAGAACTGAAGAGACCAGAGACCGGAAAAGACCAGAAAAATATCCCATTCGTATGATTTATGACACTTAACTTTGAATTAATGAAGGCTTTATCTCTTTTATCGTGTTATTTCAGTTCTAATGTCGTTATGTGATGTCTAAATTTTGGAGAAAAATAAAAGTTCTTATTAGATTTTTATGGGACAAGCTAAATTTCTCGCTCCTCTAATGCTAAGGGTATCTCATAATAGATTTGTATAAGAGGTCACACTGCAGAATTCTATACATGTTGCTGCAGGCTACCCATTGCAGAGAGGTGATAATAATAATAATGTTGTTGAATATGTTCTCTGCTTTATACAAACAAGTATAGAAGCTTTCTTTGATTTCAATACAGATTCGTATTTCTTTGGTAGGATAGCACAAAAGAGGAACTGAGTAGGATAGCACAAAAGAGAAACTGAAAAGTTTCGTGCAAACATTCAAAAGCAATACAGAAAAGCAAAAAGGCCTGAATTGCCAGATATTGTACTGACATGTGCTATCAAAGATTACGTGTTATATCCATATATTGTCTTGATAAACTTTGTTCTGGTAATGCACTTGTTCAAGCCGACAAATATTGTACGTAATGTTGTATGCCTTGGTGGTCTGCATAATAATCTCTTTGAAGTTGCTGACGTTGATTTTGTGAAGCTTTTCTGAGTCGGCTTGCATACAATAAGAAATGCTGCAATGACTAGGTCCTTGAAATATCAGCGTACATTCCATGTACATTGCCGATTCTGTTTTCTATCGGTGTGCTAAAGTGCCCCTTATTTCCTGTCAAATTTTAACATTGTATTGGGCATTTCATTTGAGTTCGTCAAGCAGTACTGGAAATAGAGGCATTTTCATTCTTGGCACAAGTTTTATTGGCGGAGAATATTCACGTGGTTACAGGGCCTCATAAAGATGCTGTTCACAAATAAAGGTTCTCTAATTCTAGCCATCCAGATCAAATAGAAAAAATGGGGAATCGGAGAAAGAATAACTGGGGTTTTATCTAGAAAGGACAAGAGGATGTATTTTGAACCTTGGCTGGGGGTGCTTGAAGATTCCCATAATTCTACGTCCTGTTCTAAGATATTGTATGTCTGATTCAGTAAGAAAAATCTTACATTGAGACATAAATTATATTAATTTTCAATAGTCGTTAGAACGTTGCTGTCGGGAATCAAAAGTAATCATCAATTTACACTCATCTTGTTTAAGCCTATGTGATGTCGATATACTCATGTGGATGAAACCACAAGCTGAGATAATATGTGCGTTTTTGTGGGCAAATGGTAGAGTGATTGAGTCCATAATGAAAAAAACCAAATACAAATAATTCTTTTAGACAATGTGAATGCTTTGAATGAATGAATAATTTCCAAAAAGTGAATGAGCTGTGCAGAAATATCTGGGAGGTAGGCCTCTTGTCCCCAAGAACCCACCAAAATGTAAAATTTTATTGGGTTTTCATTTTGGGTGTTGTATATCAAAAATCCTAAGACAAGACCAGTTTTTGGAAAAATACACGCAACTTCTTCGTTGTAATGTCATTCTAAATTCTGAGTTTTTTCTAAATTCTGAGTTTTTTCTAAGTTCTGAGGTTCTCAGGTTTGGACTCATTTCTGTGTATAAATGTTTCCTGAGAAGTAAATGAAGCGATGACTTTAGATTCTCTCAATTACTGTGTAAGATTCTCATGAAATAATCCACTAAATTCAAGTAACGCATAGATTATGGTACTAATGGAGATAGCTGTACTTAGGTATGGGTCTGGCGATGCTTGCATTCTCTGCTTGCATTGTTGCATTGTAGCAAACTAAATAAAATCATAGCATAGAGACAGCGTCCTCCATTTGATTAGATTCATAGATTCTATAAATTGCAAGCTGACGTTGGTGGCAATCTTGAGAGGAAGCAAGAAGGAACGTTTTTAGGGTCACGGACAAACACTTTTATAATCATTTAATAGCCATTCTGGAAACCACCAGGGAGCGGACGACCTTAATACATCTTCGATTAATCGAGAAAGATGATCTAGGAAGTCTGTTATTAGCATTGTCAATGCATAGATATTTTTCATCAGTCTGTTAGCATGGTTTGCTTTTGTTAATTGCAAAGTTTGTGAATATGCTTGTGAGCGTCCAGCTTCACATTGTGAGGGTCCAGCACGGGTTCACAATACTGCCCTGTCTGCCGTCTCTATCGACACAGGGTGTCGTTCCGTTTGGATTTTAAGTTTTATGTTATCTTCTTAACTAAGGCTAGCACTTGCTTGAATATTCAAACGCTTTAAATATTCTGGTTTAATTAAAGCCTTGTGTAAAATTTTCTCGAATTGGCAAACAATGAATGCAATTAGCATGTATTTAGTTAAAGAATAGGTCTTTGAAATGATTTCTCTATTCCCCTACCCATTAAGAACATTGCGTGCATATAGAGAGTTGAATGTGTGATCGTTAAAACTGCTTGTAAAATGCTGACACGAATTCTGCTGTTCTGTGATATGATTAGTTATAATCGAGGTATTTGTATGTAGATTGGTTGAGATTGAGCTAATCCCCCCCAACATTGTGCAGTACCCCCCTCTCCCAACAATTTGCCGTCGGCAAATTAAGGATTTTTTGCCGGGCAAAAGAAGCTATTTTTGTACTCACCCTGGAACTTTTTTCAACAATTATAAGGTATTAACTTTTCTGTCAGTTTATAAGAGTATTTATCTTTTGACCACACCCTGCAAAAGTGAGGCACGCCCTTTTTTGGCTTCGCCCCTGCCAGCACCTCATGTCTTACGGTATACTGAAAAATTGCAGATGATTTTCATATTGTTCAATGTAAATATCCTTATTATCATTCCAAGGTTCTTTAGATAACTTCTAACGAAAGCTTTGCTTTATTTCTAGGAAATCATACTACAGAGGTAGTGCTCTTGTGAAACAAGAAAAATATATCCCCGTTACGTAAGTGATCTTCCTTAATTTCCTTTGGTATGTTGAAGTTTAAACTCATTTGCATGTTTATCGTATTCTAGGAAGGATACGGTAATTTGAGAGTTGATTTTATCTCAGCTCTATCTTTGTTGCTTCCCCCAATCTCGAGCCAGAATTTATATATAACTGGTTAGATAATTTTCTTCGTATATGTGGCGCCATTTATTAGATAAAGCATCCAGGGATGCTTAAGCAACTGGGGGCAACGTATTGATCTTTAAATTCTGTTTGTTTATAAGGATTTTACTTTATATCTTTTGAATTTGGTAACGTATTGCTACGATTACCGTAGGTTGCTTGACGTTATCTGCACTCGTTAGCCCTTATCCTTCTTGGCCCACAACGGTCCTCTTTTCTAGAATCAGAGGGACCTCTCTAAAACTTTTTAATGGATTCACTTTACTATGTAAAGCGAATATGAGTTTCTCTTATTGAGATTGCTGCTGTTCATGATTTTCTCTTACCCTTGTATCGTGTGTTGGTACCTTACTTACGCCATGTCCTTCATTGGTTACCAAAAATTGCTGCGTAGCAACTAAAAACAAGACTATAGAGTTCTAAAGTGTGACGTCATCAAAAATCCATTTCTAGAATTTTTGAATTTTAACCATATAGAATGTTCATAAAATTATGAACAGAGACCAAAATACAGAGGTTTGATGGGGAGAGAACCAATAAACATGTAGCCATATCTCTGCCAATTCGTAACACACTTGCCTGATTTTGCACATTTAGAGGTATTTATTTCATTATGCTCTTTCAGGTTATGGGATCCAAATTAAAAAACTCTAAAAATAGATATTTGTGACTTCATCACTTTAGAACTCTATTGAAATTCTTTATTTCAGCATCTCAGAAGAGAAAAGAAGGAATTTGATTACGTTTTTTGCAAATCAGTGCTTTGGTAATAAGATTATGCTGAATTGATAGCAAAGGCATAAAGTTAGATTTTCGGTATTGTTACGGTTTACGTATGTATTATTTTGCCTTGATTTTTTCTACGTCACCACACGAGACCTTGAAATGGCTACATTAGGATTCTTTCACCCTTATTCTATTTGTAAAAACATGCTCAATTTGGACATTTTGGAACATCAAAATGCATTTAGGCCTAAATGAACCAACATAAATCAAAATTCAAGAGAAGAAAAGATATATCACAATAATACTGCAGATTCTCCAAATTTATGGTTTCTTTCATAACCAAGGACTGCAGTGTTGTTTTGTTTGCAAACATTGCTGCAAACCAATGACCTACACATTAAAAGTGTCAAAATTGAGAATCTCGTTAGGGAGGTTACGATCCTTCTTGTTTCACTTTTTCGTTATGCTTCAAGTCAAAAGCGCTTATCCACTCACGCTAATAAACTTAAAGTAAAAAGATAATGCCAAAAATGTGTTTATTTCTTATTGATGCCACCCTTGTTGACAATTTAATTGAAAAACAAGATTTGTCTATGTTAAATGGGACAATGAGCTAGCGTGCTCTTGTTGGAGCTATCTTTCTTGGAAAATCTCGGAGATTTGGTAAAAGTTGTTTGTTCTTACACTAACTTTTTTGAAGCAAGTAGAAAACAGGAAAATCTCGAATGCTTGAAGGGGGCCTGGAAGTGAAGAAGCAGTTAATATTGTTGATTAGTTGTTTTCATTTCAATAACCCGGCTTTACAAGACTGGACTCCTGAAGTCACTAATTTTATGAGTGAAAAGCAAAAAGAGCTAAAAAACGAAAAGAACCTGGTCTGCCACAGTTCCTCTATTCTTAAGGTGAATTTTAAGTCAACTTCTAACTATCAAATTTGCAGCTTGTGATAATATAAACATCAAGAGGTGATACAGTTACATATCATGCAAATGTGAAATAGTAAGATAGCATGACAGAGTATATGCTACTTGCATGTCATTTTCTTATAAAAAGGTTTCCACAAAATTAGATCCCTTCTGCACAGGACCATTTGCAATGGCTACAGTATGAATACTCCCCTAGTGGGAGCAGGCATTCGATATCTTTGAATATGAGTAAGTGGCACACTTTTATGCGATCGACTTTTGACTCAAATATTTCTATAATCGCAAAGAAGTAGGTTTTTGACTTTATCTCGACATTTTAAAGGCAAATCCGAAATTTCGAAATTCGAGAGCGACGCAATGTCATTGTGCCGGTCCAACCTATAATCGCCTGAGTCCCCTATCTTTTGACCTGGATCTCTCGTGAACAGCTTTGCATTTTTTCTTGCTAGCTTGCAGTTATTTTTTTGAACAAACAATATATTTTTGACTGACTTGTCTTTTCCAAGAGCATTGGTTATAGATAACGCTGGGCCAAATATGGCCTGTGCTTATAACATAGTTCATAGTTGTATGCACGTCCAATCGACGCAATGCTGACGTAAATTTCTTCCAGGAATCTTTTGGTTGTTTCAAGGATTTTAGTCTGCATCTGTCACGGCCAGCCACCTTTTATTATCTTTATCTTTTATTCAAGTGAATTACGTAAATCAAAAGAGAATGTTCTTTGACTTGATATGAAGATTAGGCCCATGGACTAAGTAACAATTTTCTACCCTGGGTACCAGAGCCTCAAGAAACCGGGGAATAAAGTATTGTAGACCGTTGCGGTGGCAATGAATAAGCGTACAAATAAAAACTACTGTGATCGGCTTTGTTTCTGAGATTAAATAATGGAGACTTTGGCACCCAGGGTGCCATTCTTTAAGCAAAAGTACCAAGTGGCATAAATTCGTCATCTGATATTTCGAATGCAGGTCTAATTAGAATGGTGGACAACGTTTTGTGAACGATGATGATGCCTACTGTAGGCAACGTACAGGGAAGAGAGTTGCCATCTTAGTTGACAAAAAGTAATCAACAATCACTTAGTTGGCCCTACGTTACATTGATTGACTAATCTCTAAATTTCCTTCAAAGTAACACAGGGTTGCTACGAAAAATCTGAACAGACTTTCACAAGAGAAAATCAATTTTTCTGATGCCCTTTGTTGCTAAAAGGTATCATTTCTGATGAGTTCCTAGCCAGAGCACGTCTTGTGACAAAGCAATCTTTTACCTGTTTTTGCATCAGGGTTAATTCGAACGCCCACGTCATATAACTGTTCATCAGACACTGTAATCCATTTCACAGTACACAATCATAAACTTCACCATGTGAATAATGAACAGGGATAAATAACGAGTGGGCAGTTATTCACACGATTTTGGGACGAATTCTTTTAATTCTTTTGACATTTTTCCTTGTTGTTGCTCAGGCAATTAATTGTCACAAGCCAATCACAATTGTTTTTGCATTTCTGCTCAAAGTGAAAAACAATTTCGTGTAGCTTAAAATTCTATTTCAAAATAGGAAATGTGGAAGGGACAATAATCAAAGGATGGTACTGCAAAAGTCTAGATATTCTTTCTTTTTATAGTCAACCCTTCAAAGCTGATATTCTTCGATTTCAGCGGAAATATGCTAATATTTCGTGACTGTATCTCCAATATTCGACAAACTGTTACCTTCTCTAATGAAATCTCACGAAAGCATATAAAAACATGAGAAATTCAAAAACTCATTTAAAAACTACTTAGACATTTGATCGAATCTTTACAATGCTTTAATTTTAGAACTGCGATTTCAGAAAAATTTATTTATCAATAAATAATGTGATCACACTGGTCTAATATATGAAACTTCTGGCTTTGTTATGATTTGTAGCCCGCAATGCAAGGCTGCATATCATATGAAATGTAGGCAATGCAAGGCATATTGTTGCAAGCTCGTATTGATTTTAGAAGTAACAGATCAATACTACACATCTGGATGTTTTACCGCTTTCTGCTATATGACTTGCACTTCGAGGAGTTAAGAAAATGTTCTTCGCCCAGGACAAGAAGCAAAGAACCATTAGCAAAAGTTAATAACCCTTCTCTTAAGGAAAATGCAAGGACATTTCTTGGCTTCTGTTTCTAATATGAAAGGAATTCAACACGATACCATAGTCAATAGAAAGTACCCTATTCATTTTGATGAAATGTTATGATCATAAATTCGATTATTTTCCAGAAGACAGGTTACAGTGACGTCTGGACCTTCAAGTTTCCTGTTTCGTTTTGGTGTCTATAAAACTTATTTCATGTGGTAACGTGGTCTCCAAGAATCTAGTTTCGACCTTGTTCCTTTACAATGCGATGCAAACCTTGTATTGCGTCGTTTTTACCCAGTTGACAATGGCTGTGAAGGAGACAATATCACATTCCTCCTTCGCAATAGACAAAAGGATTTAGTGGCTTTATAGTGGGGCACAATCGTGAACGATCAGTTGTCGATTAACGTCCTATGAGAGCACGTCAAGCATAAGAAGAAACACGAATTTCCTTGCTTGGAAAGGACAGGAAATTTTAATCAAATGTTGGTTTAAGGAAGCGTTGTCAAAATCTTGGTAAAGAATTACTTTTCAATTGTCTCTAGAATATTTTTGGAAGTGATTTTGGCAAAATCGGTATGGAGAGATGTGGATGTGCAAAGAGGAAATTGAATATGGGTGCAGAGCAAATATACCTCGTCATATTTTTATTAGCATCTTTGCTTCAAATTGCAGATAGCAGGCCATTTTTCAATTCACATTTCTACATGGACAGCCACCATCTAAAAGGACATAGACATGCGCATTACGGCAGAAAGACTCCTCACAACTCAGTCGATCATCCGATAGAATTACGGTTTGTTTCCTTTGATGATGGTGGAAAACCAGTTGAAAATAAAATCGAGTTCCAACCAGAATCTAATCATCCCCTCAGCCAAAGGCATGGTGACTTTTTTGTTAGCCATTTATGGAATGATGGAGTAAGAGATAAGAACGAACACAGGACAAATTTTGTTGTGCGCCGAGCAAGAAAACAGCGGAATCGGATGAAGACGAGGAAAAGAGTATCGCATGGACTGTTGGGACTGTGGGGTTAAACAGATCTCAAAATATATGCTATAATCAAATTGGCAACAATTATGAGAAATCGCGATAATCTTTCGTCCGTGAGACAATGCAACAACGATAGAATTTTCATAGAAGATTTTAGAGAAAGCTGTTCCTCTTGCATTTTCAATTTTTATGCACCTGCCTGATAATATCAAATGGCGGTTAGTATAACGTAAAAGTTTTTTGAATGAATTGCCAGCACATCTGAACGCAAATGAATGTATTATAGCTCTGTCTCCATTTCAATCGCCATTTACCAATTTGAATAAAAGCCTCGCGACCAAGGCTATTAGCGATTACTTTCTATTAGCATTTCTGTCTCAGCTTTTTGAAAAGTTTTTCAAATAGATATTGATCGATCCTCCCTTTTCACAGAAACAAAATTTCCTCGATTAACAGGCCCTCCCCCCTGTTTCCTAACATTTATATTTACTGCTTCGAGTAGTTGACCTGTTTCATGCGCTAAAAACGTAGTAGGTTTCATAATTATTGCTTTGAGCAAGACAAAAAACCAAGCTAGACTGGTTAATTTGTATGTAATTTTGTATGGCAATTAGTACGTCGTTTGCGATTACACGGAAAAGAGAATTGTTAGGCATCAAATTTGGCAGTGCAAGCAACCACACGTCGTGTATTGGCAAGTAATTTCAAGTGATTTCGCGGTAACTTTTCAACCTCAGCGTAACTTCATTAATAGTGAGCATAAAAGACCAGTGCATGCCTTGCAGAAAAACCCATCAAATGATCAATGTCCTTTATACCTTGTGATCAGTGTCAAAAACACATACAAGCAGCAGCTGCTTCTTTAGCATAGAATGTTCAAATGGACACGCCCTATTTACCAAGGGCGTGTCCATTTGATTTTTCCTACCCATAAGTTACTTACTATCTCTAGGTCCTGTCGTTGCTTTTGATGTTACCTATTTGGAGCAGGTCTCCTCGGTAACAAAACCAGCGACCATTTCTGCAATGCAAAGAATGCAGCAGATCTGAATACGACAGGATATGCTTGCAACGCTAAGAAAATTTTCTGTCACGTTTTGCTTAATGATCGAAAACGTAAATCAATTAGTGTTTGTAATCATGTATATTGTTAGAAGCCGAAGAATGTATGTATTATATGTAATCTGAATATAGGGTGATAGAGAGTAGCTAATGAAATGTTCAACCAAAAAGGAATTTTGCCTTTTCTTCTTTTCTCACAGTGAGGGAAATTGGAGGATACGAGTTACGGAAAACGATTCTTGTAGGATGCAATAACAGGCCTCTTCCATCACTTCTATGGAAATGAGAATCTTCGTTCTTTTTCATGCAGCGCATTTTTTCAAAAATTGTGTGAGTAACACATTCAAATGTTCGTGTGTGACAAACGTTTATTTGACTGCGCAAAGGGTTTTTGTTAACGATAGGCTTGTGTTTCATCCAGGGGCGTAAAGAAGTGTGTGTCTCACTCTTCAGGGGGGGGGGGTCAAAATATAAACACTCTTATATGCCGCTTTTATGCGTTTCTGTTTCAAAGTTGATACTTTAGTGTTATACTTTAAAAGTTCAACTACTACAGAGATGCTAATACGTTACAATTGTTGCAAAAAGGTTACAGGGTGAGTGCAAAAATTGCTTCTTTTGCCCGGAAAAAATCATTAATGTGCCGACGGACAAATTGTTGGGGTACCGCATCCCCCGCACCTCCTCTTTCGGCGACACCCCTGGTTCCATCAGTGTATTTCTTGTTGCGAAGGAGCTTTGATGGGACAGCCTAACCGTCTAAGTAATCAGAGCGTGGTTCTTTCAAAGTTCACATTTATTCTTAATAGATTTCCTGAGGAAGCATTTCTGAAGGGAATTAATTTCTTGCCTCATGGTATTAAGCCCGATGCCAACCTATGCATGAAGGTTTCAATAGTGCAAACTGTAGTCGACATCCGTTTATTTCAAATCATCAAAGCAAACTAAACAAACATTCTTTTCACAGACTTCTATTCCAAAGATTGTTTTGGCTTTCCTCAAGATTCCCTATATGAAAGCAAGGGTAAAAGTATCAAAAGCTAGACATGCTCTACTTGTAGAAGATCCATTCGAAAACGAAAGGTGATCAATTGAAAGGAAGACGTCCATGTTCATGTTCAATACCAAAATTAAAAATTAGCAATAGCAATGTATAAAAACGTTTGCTAAATACCCTAACACGTTTTTTTTTACGAAAGCTTTTTTCAGCCCAGCTCTCAGACTTTTTTTAACTATTTCCTAATTTCAGCACTATATCTTTCTTAACACTTTCTTAAGTAAGATTGGAAAGTTTTACGTTACTAACATGCGCAGTGATGGAGAAGATGAAATGCTACAAATATGCTATATTTCTCAAAAACCCACAACGTCATACTGTATCCGTCGTTTCCTGCTCAACACATTACTGTATTTTTGAAATATTTCACTCTTACACCCTTTAATTTCCTTTGAAACTTTGAATATCTAAATTTTTCAATTTTCTTAGGTTTGAAAGATCCAGCCCTGAATTTTTAAACTTTTTGAAGAACCGAGCACAATTTTGAAGAACCCAGCACGTCAACACAACGTTCTCCATTGTCTTGCAACTATGAAGAATGATTACATATGGTTATTTTGAGCATCTATTATCATTCAGCGATTTTGTCTGATTATTCACGATCGCTGCCAAGTCTATAATCTCGTAACTAGGCAGTGAATCGAAAGTAAACAGAAGAAATAAGCTTAAAACTTAAAACTTAGTCGTCAACGCTGGTTTAAGACGCTAGATCCCCTAGTTGCAGCAACGTTCATTCCACCTTTATAGACAATGGCCGACAGTCGTGTTTATCTCTAATACTGTTAAACACATAAACATCCATCATGAAGCGCATGGAATGGGAACAGCATAAGAATAAGTCTATTTACGATCATAAAAACACATGCTTTCTTTTGATGCACTATAAAAAGCTAAACCTGATTATGAAAAGGAATGTTGTAATGCAAATCCTCAATTAACTGCATTACCCCGTTCGTGACATAGAGAAAAACACCTAAGAACTCAATTTACGAACATATTTCCTTCGCAATTCTCTAAATATTCACAGAAAATATGGCTTCCTTTTGAAACATATTGCTTTCCAATCGATAGAGTTTTGGTTCCCTTTTTTCCGTCATTTTTTATGTTAAAAAAGATCGATTCGTTTGGAAGCACAGCTCTAGCCGACTAGGGTAACATTGATATGCAATGCCATGTTGTTTTCCAGTTAATTTTGCATGTCTTAACAATAAAAACTGCTTAATATTATACTAAAAAATTTCCTGCTCCAACAATGCTTCTTCAAAGCGCACGTTATTACCTATGGTAATGAAAAATCTACTGGTCTCGCTTTGGATCTTGACGGGACATTTTGTCTATGCCGCTTCGAGTGGTTATTTTTCTCATTTTTTGTATTTTCTCTTTACTCAACCTAGTTTAATCAATTGTTGCAGAGAGTCTAAGCATCTAAGCAATTTGACTACCGAATCAGAGATAACGGAGACATTTAGAACAGCATTTCTCTTTATTCCCAATAAAGGACATTTATTTAAGACTCATATTCCACTTTTAGCAGGAATATTCGGTTGTATAAACTCGCTAGCTTTAGGATTGAAAAATATCACAGTTTGCGATATTTTGTTTAGATTATCACCATATCATGATTTAGTAACAACGTAGAACGAAGGCTGGCAGATGATATTCAAGAATTTTGGGTCATTCGTGTGGGCGAATGATCCGTAACTTGTTTTTTATTACACCAATACTGTCCTCTCACCGGATACACTGCAAATGAGATTAGCACTGCAAAAAATGATTAAGTTTTATTATTTTTTCAAAACAAAGTCTCCGCCTAGTTTATGCTATGAATATTTTGCCTTACAGGTTTGGCCTTTAGAACGTCAAAGTCAGACAAAACATCATTTCGACTTGATAAATTTCTTTGCTCCAAAAATATTTCTCCAACTGTGTGGAAGGAAAGGAAGCAAGATTAGAATCAGAAAAACAGCAGGTCATTTATTTCAACAAAATAAGGCAAGAAAGAAGTTGAAAATGTCACCTAGGGTCACCAGTTCTAATGCGTACCCCTGTATGTCCTGCAGTTAGGCACCAGCCCCTCGTTTGAATTTCTGTAAATTTTTTAATTGGCTTTCCTTATAATTAATGATCTAAGCATGAAGTCTGAGAGGGAAATTAAGGACTTTTCTGTGACTGAGGCAGCCAAAATATCAACAAAGCATCCCCTGTAGGTGGTTGGTTTAAATATCTGAAATCTGCTTTCATTCTGTTCCACAACTTACAAGAATGTTTTCAGTACTGGGAAGCCTTGAAGACTAAACCCATGGTTTATGCCAAGTTTTGCTTTTTTATATTGTTTTGGGGTGTATAAATAGTTTTCCCTCTTTGTTATTCCATAGAACTACACTATCTTTGCAATCTCTATCTATGAAATAGAACTAAGAATGATGGTTCTAGACAAAGATTTATTTAAAAGTTCATTCTGATTCTACTTACTTGCTTTTTGTTCATCAAAACGTGATTCACTGAAAGTCATTTACTGGTTGCATTGGAATTTCAACTTTCGATTAGCCCATGGTACAAAATAAAGCCGAGTATAGAAATCGGCTCGATTTTCCTTTTAAAAGTTCCGTAGATTACACCCTTAATAGCGAGACTTGAAGCATTTTGTCTTGTGGGTTTAATGACTACCTATTGATTGCCATACCACATTTCATCGCAAAGTATAATTCAGTATTAAAGATATACCAAGTTCAATCATTAACGACACTGAGCGCAAACGTGAATGTAAAGACCTCGATTGAACACACGTGTCTGCTACATTAAATCCTATCCTGATTTAATTGTCCTATCCTGACCATTTGATTTGCCAAGCTTTAAAGAACAAGACTGCCACAAAAATCTCGCTTGGTTTAACCAAATGGGGTGGGTTTTCTCCAGTCAAGTTTCAGTTAGTTTTTTACTATTTTCATGGCATTCTCAACAATCTTTCTAAAGCTTAAGTCTTTTGCACAAAATCAGAGCACTGTGCTCAAGCATTTCCTTCACACTATAGAATATTCATGCATTCGCATATCCTTATATGATTGGCTCTATCTTATGTGCATTTGAATAAAGTGACAGTTTTTACTACGCACTTGAAGTCAGTGGAAAGAGTTGCTACTAGAGCATAGTTGGGGATGTTTTTCAAGATCAACGTCATCGTGGTTCTAAAATTTCACTGTTCCTAGGAGAGGGAAAACAGATGATTATAAAAAGGTCATAGACTAACGGGTGCGAGATCATTAGCCTCTGATTATGCCTTCTGATTGTGTTTTTTTTAAAATTCTGCAAATTTCTACGAATTATACGAATTCCATACAGAAAGACTATCATTCCATTAAAACTACCTATCAAATAAACTTATTTTTGCTTCTATAGTTGTAAATATACAACTCTATAAGGCTTCTTTCAAACTATCCAACAATTTGCACGATTTTTGGGAATTAAATACGATACTTGAATTTTGCTTTATATCTCTTCCCAACCAGCAACTGAATCTCTTCGTATTGGAATTTAGCAATTATTTACCACATTCTTTGACCCTCTACTCTATAGAGGCTCATTTTATAAGTGTAGGGCAGCAAGGTTGCAGGCTCTCCCCATTACCCTTGGTAGACAGTTGACTTTTTTCTACATCCAACGAGACCTCGCTTTCAGGTGGCCTCGTCCAAATCTGTGATATTCAAAATGGGGAAGAAAACACATGCTTCAAAATCAAAATTAAGAAACAAACACCAGAGTAAGAAAAACAGCTCAAAAGACATAAAAAGAAGAAATCAAAAGAAGCCTAAGAATCAAAGTGTAACGATTCAGAAGCAGGATTTTGGTAATCCACTTGGAGTAGAAGACGATGATCAAATTGAAGATAGCGCGGCTGGTATTTTAGGCCCAGATGCTGCACTTGAAGATATCGATTATCTTCTGAGCAACCGTGGGAATTTCTCTTTTTTATCTCAAGGTCTAGAAAGGTAAAAACAATTTCAAGCAGTTGTTTTGGCTCGTTTTCTTTTGATTATTGTGATCCCAAACTCGTGATGTTGAATTCTGAGTGGAATCGGTGCCGTTGTTGATGTTGCTTGGCACCACACCGGAGACCTGTCAACATGGCACGGACAAAACCTTGCATTGGTTTGATAACAAAAAAATTATCAGTCATGAACATTTTCTTATCTTAGCTCATTTTTTTAAAATTAGTGTCCTTGGGCTCTAGAATAAATTTTCACACTACATAATGTGCACAACTGAACTACACATTTCTACCAAAGTGCACACTTGCACACTTGATATTCTGCTGTTGCACACCCAAGATTTCGTTGGAAACTGCTATACTCTGCAGTAAGGAATATTAAAGTGCCAGACTGCAAATTTTTTTTCTGTTCATGGAATGCAGAAATAATATTAAAATAATTGAGAAATCATGCACAGATTTTTTAGCAAAGGGTTTGGAAGAGATCCCGCATCACTTGTTGTTTATTGTAATCAGACATCCAGATGACTGGAAACTTTGTTTCTTGCGTGGACAAGTTCACTTTGAAAATTTGAGACTTCCTGCCTGAAATCATGCAAACAAATTTTGCATTGACTTTACTGCAGATTCCTAATCTGCAGATTGAAAGATTTCTCAGAACAAACACTTTTTAGGCCAGCTATAAAGAAATTTGAGACATAAAGACATTTAGAGAGAAATTTGTAGATAAATACTAGATGAATCAAATATATTTTAATGACCATAAAATAACTTCAGTGAATACATGAAACTTCCCAACCTGTTTAGCAAGGGTGCCCCTGGAACTTATATTCACACCTGAGCTCAGCACATCTGACTTTATTTGTTGTTTTGATTTATTATAAAAGAATGAATCCTGTTTGTTCTCATTACTGCCCACTCAAACCCTTGCACTTGCAGAAGAGGCATTTACTTAACTTTGCATGACATGAATGGTTTTGATTCTTGTATTTGTTTGTTCCAGTAAGGAACTTCCTGCCAGATAAAACTGTGACACAAACAACTTCAGATTCCTTTACACTCTGTTGATATGTTGATATCACCTCAACCAAGTCTAATGTTGTAGATAAATATTTGTTGCAAGGCCCAGGCCATGCTGGGAATGGCGTGCGATCGCACGCCCACGCCTTGGCACACGCCTTCCATTGCTCAGAAGTGCAGTTTATCGCACGCCTTAAATAATCTGAACACTTTATTCTAAAGTGACCAATATGGCCCAAAGTAATTTTTTTATCATAATTCAACTATGAACGAACGGTGATAATCACGCAATCGTTTCTATATGATTTCTACTTGACGGAAAATTTGGCGAATATTCTAATTTGTTATGGTAAACGTTTTCTGGATGAAAACATCCATTTTTCGATTTATTCATATTCTAGTAGCCGGACTTTCAAGGCACACGATGATACCATGTTTAAAACTAACAGAAGTTTTGAAAGTGGCGAAAAACCCCTGTAAACGAAGGTTTCCATAATTTCTTTATCAAAGTTTTGGGTTGAGGTCTGAAAATCGCTCGATCTTTTAAGCCCATGATCCTTGCTTTGCGGTTGTGGTTGCTTGTCTCATTTGCAATAACTGTAGTGGAATCACGATATAACGAACCCCGGATATAACGAACTTCCCGGTATAACGAACTAAATGCCTGGTCCCTTGGATTTTGCCTAACAAACTCCTTACAAATTCTCTCGGTATAACAAACCCCGGATATAACTCTCGCTATTACGACCCAAATTTTAGGGTCCTTCATATAATTACCCTCGATATAACGAACTTTTTATAAATTTTTCATATTTTTTTACGGTACTCATTTTTCACTTTATCTTGGGGGAAATCATTTTGTAATCGGCTGATGATTCATTTCAAGCACTGGCTGATAGACTCAGAGCAGGAGATGAAAGTTTGATTGCGTCAGAAATTACTGCGAATGAGTACTTTGACACTAACAAATAACTTCTTACATATGAGACATTGGCAATGAGAGACGACAAAACATTATTGAGAGACCCAGATGGAGAAGCAGAAGAAGACAAGTAAGAATGTGAAGTAATCGAAGACATCATTCAGGCACCAACTAGGAGCGAAGTTATACCAGCTTTGCCAATCTCTTGGTCCCAAGTTATAAAAGGAACATTAAGATTTTCATTTTCAATGACCAGCCAGTTGTATTATTTGAATTCAGATTGGTTTTTTTTAGTTAAATGGTACATGTATGGATGTACATGTGCACAGAGGTTTGAGATAGCCTAAAAAAGCCCACCACAGGTTTTTAGGCGTGAACTGCGAAAGGACCCCATGAAAAGTTATCTCTCGGTTTAACAAACTCCCGATATACGAACTATTTTCTGGTTCTCTTCAGAGTTCGTTATATCGCGATTCCACTGTAGTTACAACCCCATGGCACATGTAAGGCTGTATTTATTTAAACAGGCTTATTGATCTTTAAGCTTTAAGTGATTTGACCCAGATTACACTGTGGTTTACGAGTGTATCTTGCAAGTGCGATCAGTAAAATCCCGTTTTCTCAGGACTCACAATTCCACTATATACAGTTTACTTTATGTGCATTTTTTCTAATCTGTATGCAAATACAAAACTCTTTAGAAACTTTTACTAATGAAATGTGGCCAAAAATTTTCCAAAATTAAGAGACTTTGAATTGTGAGGATTTAGCTACTGTAGCTTTCTTATAAAATAAAAACGTGTAATTAACCATTTAATTTGTTTTCTCTATGGTGAAAACACAGTTAGAATTCTTAAATTTTGAGAACGAGATTGTCAGGAGAAGCAGACGAGAAGGGTTTATAAACTGCAGGATTACATATAAATCAACCTACCTTATTGTTCATGCTTTTCTCTTTAATATGTTGGGTTTGACGTTAATAAAGCTTGTTTAATAAAATGTATTGATTGGACTAGCCTTGCCTTATGTTTTCTTATGATCAAGTTATGTAGTCTAGTCCATATACAGCTGACTGTATTATTAAGTACTTTGGTGCAAAAGCACACCATTGCACGCCTTGGCACCACAAGGAGTGTGATTCATTGCACCCCTGCTATTTTATTCCCAGCATGGCCTGAGGCCTGTGCCATTGATCCTAAACTGGGTGCCAGAAATAAAAATAAAGTTTCCTCTTACCCCCTCCAGCCCAAATTGTGGCAAATATTTTGCTTTGTTTGGGCTTTGGTTCAATGTATTTATTGTAATTTAAAGGTTTATATAAATATATAATGATATATATTATATATATAAATAATTAAAGCCTCATTTTTAGCAAAAAAGTGGGTAGGCCATGGCCCCTCTGGTCCCCCCTTGTGGAGCGGGCCCTGTGTAGGCATTTGTGCTGACCTGAAAAGGGCTGTTAAATGTATAAATTATGATAATGACTTAGCTGAAAATCAGAAAGTAGTGGACATTTATTTCTTCTACATTAAAAAAGGGGGCATTTATGTCACTCAGCTGAAGAAAAAAATGTATTAAAAGGAAGCCTAAAAAATAGCTGTCAGGCAATGGAATATTTATCATAGATGTTCTGGAACATAAGTCTTCTGAAAGGAACATTTGATTATACTGTATACTTGAATTTAACAGTGATGAGCCACCAAAAAAACGAAAGAAAAATAATGAATTTGAAGAAAGTGGGTATGAGAAGCAGCCAAGAAAACTAGGAAAAGCTTACAAAGAAGATGTTGCAACTGAAAGGATACATCTGCTACCAGTCAAAGGAAAAGATGGCTTAATTCAGCGATCAGTGGCCAAAGAAAAAGAAGCAAAAGGTATGTTTTGTCTAGCTGTCCCTTTTGGTAAGTGTTTGAAAACAAAAGTTCAAATCCTGAACTGAATTGAATGTATAAAATTATAATGGAAAATAGATATTTTTATGAAAAAGGTTTGTGTCTGAGTGTATGGGGAAAAGGGCCAGGACAAGTCTTTGAGAGCCAGGACAAAAATCTTGATATTTATCTAAGATAAATTTTCAGTAAGCTTTGATTATAGTTGCACCATATGTCACTATATAACTATCACACAATGCAAATGTTGATATAAAGGGAGTGTACAGTTTGCATGTCTTATGTTTCTATATAGCCGAAGTACACTGTACCATTTTATAATCATTTTTGCAAAATTATGTCTTAAAAACTTTATAGAACGTAGCCATGTTACAAGTAAAGGCTATGTTTTCTGTAGACTGTTCTTTTTTGAATAGTTAATCTGCTTTGGCAACTTGAGCATTTCACGATTAACCGTTATTACCCCATGCGTTGCTCTTTTTATTAGAAACAGAAAATGACAAAGATGCTAATATGACAGATGATATCCATGAGAATTTCAAGAAGGAATTAACATTGGTTGAGATTTATGCTGAACGAGAAAAGTCTATTAATGAAAGTAAGGCATCCATTGCAGCAGCTTGTGAAGATATTTTGCAAGATCCTGAGGCAAATGTGAGTGTTTTTTTATCGCTATGGTGGAATGATGTTGTAATTTTACAAACGAATTTTATGGGATATTTATGTCATATCTATTAGTTCATGAAAGTGGAATGATTCTCATTATTTCCATAGTTGAAAAGCTTGAAGAAAATGCTAGAATTCTGCGGGAAGGACAAAATTGTTGTCATCAGAAAACTCTCTATGGTATCTTTGTGTGAAGTTTTTAAAGACATAGTACCAGGGTATGTAAATTTATTTCCTTCAAACGTTTCCATGTTGTTTAATACAGCTGCATATTCAGGTTATGAGGCCTATTGTATAAAGAGCTGTGACTTATCTCTCTTTCGATATCACCATGAGAGAGATGAGGATGTATGGAGAATAATTTCTGTTTTGATATCACGGTGAGAGAGATGGGGACTGTCACACCCTGTAGTTAATTGGCACAGAGATAGTGAAGTAATTTGCCAATTCAAGAATAAAAAAAGCCTTTTTTCTATGTGTTTTTTATATCACTCCATCGTAGCTTTCACCAGCTATCTTGCTTTCACTCTCTTGTGCTTTCTGACGACTTGCAAAATCTCCTTTGAAAATTGTTTGTTGAAATTTTTAGGACAAATATTTAACCTTTGTGGCCAAGTTTTGACGCTTTGTGGCCTAGTTTTGTCTTGAATTGTTTGGATGTGTCTGTTACATTTTGGTGTCCGTTATTTGGTGGTTTCACAAAGAAACCTTTTCTTGCCTTACACATGAACAATGTCTCCTTTGTTGGCCTATACCTGGACTATGAGAAATATCCTTGTTTTTGATGCAATCATTAAAATGATAAATTTATTATCCTTCTTTCTCAACTTGGGTTGAATTCTCACTCTAGGTCGAGCTGAGGAATTCGAATTGATTGAGCATTGATACTTAAACAGTTCTAGGTATAAATATACTAAAACTTATCCAGGGTTGAAATCCTCACGAAACGAAAGCCAAATTTTCCGCACTAATTTGATCTCAACACGTGTCTCTTTTTCTAATGTAAGCAGTCTTTTAAAAGCGAACCCTTGTTAAGTTTCTTCTGTTTGTGATTTTGTACATAGTATGTCTGAAATTGTTAAAAGGCCTGTCACCTGAACGGCTGAATTCAACTATGTTTCATATGCACCAACTAAATGACCTTCGTTTTGGTGTATCTTGTTTTTTATTGTATCGATACGATTTCGTGAATGTTTTGCTCAATTGATTTTACAGTTATCGAATTCGACCTCTTACAGATGCAGAGAAATCAGGAAAAGTATGTTATTAAAATTTGTCGAGATTTGATTACCAAAATGATTCATTTTGTTGAAATTCCACGATTCAGTGCCATCCCTTTGATTCTGCTTCATCTAATAATAAAGCGTACCCACATGGCAAGAAGCTTCAATGTCATAGCTTATATCGTATTTCACTCAACTGTACGATCCAGGCAACGCGGAGCGTTGAGAAAAGTGGGGGGTCTAAAAAAACTCGGGGGCTAAAATCGAATATAAAGAGGCTTTACTACTGTATCTCTAATTATACTACCCTTGTTTCTTAGCGTTTCCTCTCCAGGCTGAAAAATTGAAATTTATATAGGGCTAGGACGTATATAGACAAAACTAAGGGGGGCTGAGCCTCCTTGTTCATGCTGATAGGTACCAATTATCTCTTTTTTGCTACTAATAATTATTCTGGAAGGACCCCCTTTCTTGTCATAGCAGTAAGTTAATGGTCATGGCACCAATTTCTTAAACAAAATTAGTTAGAAGTCAATTTACTTGGATTGTTCCATCTTTTCTAACTAAACCAGGTTTCAAGAGAAGTAAAAAAGCTCCGTGATTTCGAAGAAGGACTTGTAACAAATTACAAGAAGTATATTGATGTTTTAGAGGAAGCGGTGCAAGGTAAGTCCATTTATGCTGTTCTTTGTAGATTTGAACTTAACAAGAACAGGAACTTTGCCGTTTTAACAGTCGTACCGAGGTTCCTTTTTCTTGTCGAGTTGAAAGTTGGTTTATATTTTACTGTAATTTTCCTTTCTAACATTATTACTTTAATTCTCTGAATCGAATTCTGTCTCTTTATGTCTATTTTACCATGCTATTAGAAAGTCTATTTCACGTATCTTTTTATTATATCGAGTTCTGCTTTATCAATTTATACACCAGTAGGTTTTCTCATATTCCTAAAGGTAAATGTAAAGCTCGACGCCCAATTTTTTTATGCCTAAGCAGAGTTAAATGAATGCTTTATGCGCTCTTCCAATGATGCGGAATCTGTAATTGTATCGAGTTTCTCCGCTGATTAAATTCTTGTTGTTTTGACAGATTTTGTTGGGAAAAAGAAAAAGGAATCAAAAGCCAGCCTGTCAGCTGCTGACAAGGTTAGTGAATTCTGTATGAGTTAAACTTGCTGAAAGATTGCATTGGATAAAAGTTTGTTCTTAAGCAATTGTTAGCCATCTGAATATTCTGATTGCGAAGCTCTGTCTCATAGTTATTTAATATTAGACAATTTCTAATTGATTGCCAGGAATTCTAGAGCTGTTGTTTTCTATTTACTGGCTTTTCACTCCATTAAATTCTTATGAGTTAGGCCTTTTTCTACAGCTTGCTTAATTTGGGATTGGATTTTTTGCTTCATTTCGTGTAGGGATATTGATGTTAAAATATCCCTCTATGTAAATACTCTATGTAAGGCGAACCCTAGAATTAATATGTTGTCCAGTTTTAGCCAATGTATCTCGTATCTCGTATTCATTTTATTCTCTTACATCTCCAGAGATATTTAACTTCTAAGCTTTGGCATCATTTACCTTGTCGATGCCGGTTTCTTCCAGTTTGTTAATCTTCGTTAATTTCTTAGGTTGCCAAAGGAGTTGCTATAACTGCTGTTAAATGCATGGTTGACGTATTAGCAGTTTTGAACCATTTTAATTACCGGACAAATCTCATTGTTTCTGTTGTGTCTAAAGTGAATTACGGTGGTGAGAAATCAGAGGTAACTTAACTCCTTTGTTGTTGAAATGATAAACGAAATCAGCCTTGGTCCAAGCCAGTTGTCTTATGCCCTTCAATTTCTATTCGTATTTGACAGCTGACTGGATGTTGTCATTGGTTTCACTCACATTTGCTGATAGTATTTCCCTTGTTATGAAAAGAGTATAGAAATCTGCTGATTCCACGGTGACGTTGCTACAATAATTCAATTCATAAGTTGCTATAGGTAGTTAATGACTGGACTAAAATCTTACGTTATTTACCAACAAAAGACATGGTTGCCAAGAAGAAGTAGTTGAATCCAGCTTCCTTTCACACAAATATTTACTTTTAGGCCCGTTACCAGCACAAATGATTATTTTTTGAACACCAGAGTGATAACAAATTGTAAAACAGTCTACAAATATGCCATAGATGAATTCAAAATAGAAATTTTTAAATTTTTGGGTCTTCTGCTACTGGGCCCGTTGATCTCTCTGATGATGTCTCTCCGAGATAAGATAATTTGGATAAGATTATCATTTGGCAAATGAAGGTTTAAGATTATAAGGATTTCCTTTTTTAAATGGGCTGTGTAATAAATGTATTGCTTCAGTTTATCTGTGGGATTTAGGCCCGCAACTCCGTAGTATTTGATTAATTTTTTATTCTTTTTTAAATTCATGCTTTAGATCTCTGATATTTGCTTGGGAGCATTGAAAAATCTATTCAGAAACGATGAAGTTGGAGATATTTCTTTGGAGGTATCCTTCTTTCAATATAAATATGGTTATTTTTTCTTTTCGGCGATATGATATTCTAGGGATACCAATAATTAAACGGTGCCACGGGATTGTTTGACACGGGATGTCTGTCTATCAGACAGCTATTTTCTGTAAGCAGAGCTTTAACAGCTATTTTTTTAACATAATGTTCTCTAAATAACATGTTTACTTAAGCTTAATTTTCTTTAAGGCTGATTTCTTTCACACAAATTGAGTATAGCTACGGAGCATTGATTTGGTAGTCGATATTCTATTGTTTTTTATTTGGAAGTGTTTTGAGTAGCATTTATAGGATCAAGCTGGCGACCAATATTACATACCATTGACCAACTCATCATTTTCTCTTCTTAGGCCATTAAAGTCATCAGTCGACTGGCAAAAACTGGCTTAGGAAAGATCAGACCTCAGGCAAGACAGATATTTGCTTTCAACATTCATGTTACTTGTTGGCTTCCATTCAAATTTCATTCTTGTGCAAGGTTAAGAATCATCACCGTTTAAACATCCAAAAACACTAATTTTTTCTTATATTGAAAACGATTGGCGGTGCTGTATGTGTTCTGTAACTCAAGCTCATTCCTGGCCTTTGCAAAATTCAACCAAAAATAAGAGGTTTCCAGTTTTACCAACTTGTACGTATAAAAATGATATGTAAGCAGAATTTGATGTAGAAAAATGACATTTCTACTTTCTTTCTATGGAATTCCTCGTTCGAAGAATTTTGCAAAGCAACGTCTAGCAAACCCATTCTAGAGAATAAAATTGCATCATAATCTTATAACGTATTTTCCAATTATAAAACATGCAGGTGTTGGAGACACTGTTGTTTCTCAATATTGACGCACAGATGATCAAAGATGCTGAAAATCGAGAAAGTAAGGTAGAAAGACTTCGTAAAAAGAAGGAGCAATTGAAGAAAATGTCTCGAAAAGAGAAAAAGGTAGCATTTTTGCGTCAATTTTAATTTTGAAGATGGTTGTATAGATGACCTACTGTCATTTCACTAAAGTATATGTCCAAAGTAAGTTGCTTTACTTTAGAAGTTTAAAGGGAAGGAAAAAGCAGGTATATTATCGTATTTTCTCCTAGCAACTTTTTTCACATTAACAAAGCTGTTGACTTCTATACTCTATAGACTGCCAGCTTTACTGCATGTACACATTGTTGGTACTCCAGATGAGATTTCTCTTTTGATACATACACATTACATTAAGAAACTGTACATTTTCATTTCATGCCAGTTTTCCTTATGGTATTATTGTGTATTTGGCATTAACGTTAAATTTCGTGTATTTTTCTTGTTTCAGAGAAAAAAGTTGGAATCCAAATTGGATAAAGAACTGCAAGAGACCCAGGCTGTTGAAAGTCGACAAAAAATTCAGAAATTTGTAGGTGAACTTTCATAAATGATTTGCAATTAGTTTTTTTTGCTTCTTGGTTCTTTTAAACGAAGGATTTTTGAATAACTTTTGTTAAAATATGCATCTACGAGTTTGCTTTTGGGACAACCATATCATCCAGAACGATTTGAAATCATCTATCTTGGTACTCTTCAATGTGAAACGAATCTTTGGTTATGGCAAAGCTATTTTTTGACATTTTGCTTCAATGCTCTTGTAGCGTTGCATTTAATAACGATTCAAATAGTTTTTTAAAAGTGAAAATAAATTTCGTACAAATAAGTTGGCCAGCATTTGAATTTCATCTTTCATTTTTCAGCAAACAGAAATTTTGAAATTCGTCTTCGTCATCTACTTTCGTGTGCTGAAGCAGGAAACCAAGACACCGCTGCTGACCCCCGTCTTAAAGGGACTATCTAAATATGCATATCTCATTAATGTGGACTTTTTCAACGATCTGATGACTGCCTTGAACAGACTGATAAACTCGGGGGTATGCTTTTATTTTTAGAGAAGTTTTATCCTGCCGTTACCTTGTTAAAATCTTGGGAGGGTTAAGTTAGGTAGCCAAAAGCTTTGCATGAATTTTTTAAATTGATAAGCAAAATAGCCCTTCTTATCAAAATGAATGTAATCTTTTCATATAGGACAGTAATATCAAAGAAAATTTTACTGGCAGTGAAAAATAACTTTTTTAACCTTTGTCAAATTTTTTATGAAAGTGCAAATAGATTTATTCGTAAATTTTGTTGGCCAGTTTTTTAATTTGTTGGCAAAAGAGAGCTGATAGAAAAATGGGGAGTGAATTTCCGCTCTTTGCGTAAATTTGAAGACTTTTGGCTACTAACTACAGGTGTTACATGACAAAATTATCCTTTGCAGATCAAAACTGTAAAATAGCCGAATCTGAAAATCTCTTAACAAACCAGTCTTCTCAGTTTTCAACGAAATTGTGAAAACTTTATTTCATTGAGGGTGTTTTTGATAATATTTCAAGCACTGTCCTAAAATTTTTTGTGATATTTAATATGCCATGTGTCACTTGTTTTCTTAGTGCTAAAGTTCTTTTGTCATCTTTAAGGATCTTTCATTGACGGAGTCGTTGAATTGTGTTTTGACAGCCTTCAAAATACTATCTGGCCAGGGTATGTATGTTTCAATAGTATCATTAAAACTGGTTAAGGAAAAGTAAACAAATATTCAAAGTGTCTCAAATTCGTTAGAGGTGATGATGAAGTTTTCTTTGCCCAAAATAATTAAATGGTATCAGTCAACTTATTTTACCAGACAGCTTTTTGGCATGGAACGATACAGCAGGAAAACTAATTACAGGGACGTTGAAACCAGCGGTGCACTTAGAGCACATTCCTCCCTCCAACGTTCGAAAAATGCCTTATTGTAGGAAGTAATATTTTTTGCAAGCGTGTCACTCTTTACGTCATGGTGTCCCACTCTACCTCTGTCTCTCTAATTTCAAAATGCCTCTGACGTCACTGACTAATGAACATAGCTTGCAGAAATTAAAGTCGAAAATACAAGTGTTAATATGAATATTAGAGGACTCAGCTAATGTTTGTTCTGCGCTGGTGGTTTTTATTTTAAATATTTTAAAATCAAACTAGATACAAGGTTAGAGAAGTGGGATTTCTAAACATTTTGATGATTTTGGAGTGAAAACATGCATAAATTAAGCATCAGTGAAATAATAATGTTATACTTGGTTTGAGTTATGTATCGGATTTTCTTTCAATCTCAGTTCAAACAGCTAACGATAATGGCTCCATCTTTTCAGGTGAAGCATTGAATATTGATCCCCATAATTTCTACTTGCATCTGTACAACTCACTTGTCGATGTTTCTGGAGGTAATGAAATTGTATATACTCGTTTAATTGTTCTGCAAGCTTTTGATCTTTGCTATTGCTTGCTACAAATATTTTAACAAACCGAGTGAATGTTAAGGCGAACAGGCATCGTGTGTATGCAACAAACCACTGAAGAATTTTCAGTTGTTCTATTATTGAAAGGACGTCTTTTATGTTTTTCCTGCGATTCTTTGCCCTTAAACTTGGTAATATCGAGTTTTTTATTGTGTTTTACATGCTTTCTAGACCTAAAAGTGTTCCTCCTGTCCTGTTTTCATCAAAGCAAATTTAGTATGCTAGTGCCTTTTCAGATTTTCTATGCAGTATTCCTGTACTTGAGAGCATTTTACTTTGCTTAGAAGTGTTTGTAGAGCATTCTTTCTTCCACGATTATTTAAGAGCCTTTCCTGGAGGCATTTTTTTTGAAGAAACATCCCTACCTTCATGTGTAGCGAATGTGTAATTATTGATAAATGATGCCTCACTGGTTCTAAGTATGTCATATATTTTAAGTATATGATTATGCACCCATTCTTATGATATATATTTTAAAATATCGAATACTTTACGCACTGATCAAGCCACGTTTGATTTTTTTATTTCTACTTTAGATTCAAAACACGAGGATATTGATCTGTGTATCGAATGTTTATCATTGATGCTAGTCAAAAGGCGCAAACAGGTAAGCTGCTGTGTATTTTTGTCTTCCTGACGTATTACTTTGTCTTTATTATCTAAGCTTTGCTAACGCCTTTTTAGCTTTCGTATTTATGAACTTTATTTATTTGAAGTACCATCTTATCTTCAAATGGCATCTTATTAAGAAAATGATTGGAAAACTCTGGTTAATCAGGTTTTAGTTCGCTGTGAGTGAACTTGAGGTAAAGAAACTAATTGAAAATATGGACATTGGTATTCTTATTTGTAAAACTACAAGATGCTTCATGAATCGCCTGTATTCCTCCATTTTGAAAGTCGAAAATCATTTTTCTTTGTAAGAATTATTGCTTCAATAATTCTGTCCAATAATTGAAGATTTTATTGCAGACCATAATTTTTTGTTCCAACATTTCTGCGTGCGTATAAAATGATATTGAAAATGTACTCCTCTAACCATTCGTTGTGCATTGGCACTTTCCTCTTGGTCAAAAACTACCACATCCAATGAGGTTTCAGACGCAGTACAAACGAAAAGTGTACCCCTTGTCATTTGGAAGCTATTTTTGCCGAATCGATTGCTACTTAAGCAATAAAGTGTGGCAAATGCCTTCTACACCATATTTTCTGATCCATAAATGATACCAAATGGATGAGACAGTAATGTCATAGTTACATGAGTGTTGCTAATATTGAAAAATTATCAATATTAAAAAATTATTTATTTCTTGATCTAGCTGATGTTTGCTGAAAAGGCCTGATTTGTAGGCGTTTTCCCAGCATGTAGAAAGTGAGATCAGCTCTGGTTTCGATCAGCGAGACTTTTTTAACTTTATCAGTTAAACGCTAAATCATAAAGACAACCTGTTTGTTTTTTTTTGCTGCAGGTTTCAATAAGACGAATTCAAGGCTTTCTGAAACGAATGACAACGATAACGTTGCATCATGAAACAGAGCAATTACTCGCGCTAATGTCCCTCCTGAGGAGCGTTCTGCAGGTGCCAATCAATTATTCACGAGTTTACATTTTCCTCTCATCTTATTCCACTCATATTGTGAATGTTCCTCATACATAACATTTTAGCATTCATGCGTTATCTAGGAAGCATGTATCTTTCTCTACATCGGACCAATCTTCACCTATTTTGATATTCAATTCAGTGAATATTTAAGTTAGATCTGCCACACGTAGATAGGGGCCTGGTGCATTTTTCCCCAGTTTTTATGCAAATTAATTTTCTAGATTTGTCCAAACTTTTTTATATCAAATCGAAGGTAAAAGTGAGAGGAAAAGAGATTCTTCACCTACTACTAATTAGTTTTACAGTGTACAGTCGTTATTCAGTTTACCGCAAAGCGTTTGCTTTAGACAATTGATTCTTGATGTTGCCAAAGAAAGTGAAGCGATGATAAGATGTAGGGAGAATAGAGGGAGAAAATAATTAATTCCATCATTAAAGGGTGTTATACCTTTGATAGTATTATTTAATGAGCTGATTTCATAAATTACGTTATCTTGAAGGGGTTTTATTAAGGGGAGGGGTTCTAGTAATTCTTTCCTTATATTAGTTTGTACTTGATTAAGTTCTGTATTCTTACTGACGTCATTTGCCGGTTTTGCTGCTTATTCAAATCATTGCCGAGCGGCTGTGTTCTCTGAAAGTGAAGCAGCTTAGATTGTTTGCACAACAAAACGAACGATTTGCACGCTATTTGTGTTTTGCAAATACCAAATGAAAAATCTGTTTGATCTTCTGAATAATTATAGTGGCAAAACCCGAACATCAGAGGTTCAGTTTAACGTAGATTTTTCTTTTTTGCAGCGATTTGCAGCACTAATGATATCGCACTGATTTTCAAAACTTTTGAATTAGATTTGTGCCGGCTGTTTCCTTTAATTGGTTGATGTCTACAATTGGATAGTACCAGATGCTCGGTTCGAAGGAACTCGATGCACATTAGAACTTTTTCGCTGATGGATTCATCCAAGGGCGGCTGGCAAGCAGTTCCAGTTCCAATTAGCCCGAATCTAGATGGGTGTGGCTAGGGTGTGGCTCACGACTTCCCCATGATTTTAGGCATAACTAAACTAAGCAAATTTCATCCACTGCTATAGTACATAAATTTAAATTCCTTTGCCTATTTAAATGAGCATACGATTTATGGGACTCTACAGCAACTATTTTTTTTGATATAATAAACCTGCATAGGTCTTTTTTGTTAACCTAAACTTGCCCCAGATTGAATGCCATGTTATGACAAAGTTCACTTATGACATGAAATGTGTGTTGCAGGGCCTAGAACTTTGGGATTGGGACTGTTTGCAAGCTATCAAGATTTGATTTGTACATGATTGTAATTTATTATTTACACAGAAAGAAAGATTCTCCTTTTCAAGATTTTACCTCACAAGGACCCGTTTCTAATTTTGGTCTCCACTGTATTTTAGTTGAATCAGAAGTGTGATGCTTTGCTTGACAACGAGCAGTTAGGCCGTGGAGTGTTTCAGCCTGAACTACCTGACCCAGAACACTGTAACGCAGACAGCACTGCCTTGTGGGAGCTTTCGCTACTCATAAAACACTTTTACACGGATGTTAATCAATATGCCAAGCACTTGCTACATGGTGCGCCATCACAGGGGCAGCATTCGTTGCCTGTCAGATTATCCCAGAGGTCAGAGTCATTTCCAATATTTACTTATATTTTGACAGAACGCAAGCTCTTCTGTTCAATTTGATTTCAAATTAGCAGCTTCTGCCTTTTTACTGGCTTAGCTGCAGAGAATTGATTTGTTTATCATCCTTTTTGATTAATATATGTTTTTTTGCCATTTTCTTTATATGAAGTTTATTGCATTGCCTCCGAGCATTTGTTGCTGGAGTAAGGAAACACAGGGTAGGAAGAGGCCTTCTTAATGAATCTTCGGCAAAAGCAAGCCTTTGCAATCGCTTCATATCTCACCATGCAATTGAGTATTATCCACCACCCCTAGGCCCTCGAAGAACATGGTGCCTTAAAGCAAAAAGGGGTCATTGAATCTCTATTTAGTCTTGAAATGAACTAAAGAACAGTCCATTGACAGAACCTCTTAAAATCTAGCTATTTACTGTGTTTTGTTCTGTACGAGGCACACATAAAAATCATTTTGCTTAACTGCTCCAGTGCAAACTGACTGGCTGTATTGAAACTTTTCCCTTTGTTGTTCTGTGCTTAATGTATCTGAAGCCTAGTTACGGATTTGTTTCCAACAATATGCGAAAGACATTCCATCTGCTAGTACAAGCAATCTTAGAAAACAAGAAAACAACAAGTTGTAATTGTTTGCAAAAAACATTGGGAATAACCTTAATAGACTTGAAGGTGTGGCTTTTGTGTTTGCGATGAAGACATAAGTTGAGGTCGTTGTGGTAAACAGATGAACTTGTCTAGTATAATTATAACCACACTATTACTTTAATTTTCCTTTTGCTTAGTTGAAGCTATTTTCTGGTAAGGCTACTCTCGCTTAGTATTATCCAATTGATTTTCTTGTTACATCCTTAGAAACGAAATTCCAGACATGACCTGTCCACCAATGGAGTTTTATTTCCCGGAGAATCTACCGACTCAAAGACAGAAAAAGAAGAACCAAAAGCTCGAGGACAAATATTTCAGACATAATTTCCAGGACCTAATCAATGACATTAATGGGTCGAAAACCAGTATAAGTTGTGATTTTGCTAAGTTTCTTAGGTAGCCAATATTACGTTTTCTACAGAAAGAAAGAGGAGTATTATTGTGGTAAAATACTTTCGTTTGACAGATGAATATATTTAAATTCTTATTTGTGTTCAGTTTCAAAGCTGCCATGAAGCAGTTGTGGTAAATTTTGGGTAATGAAAATTCTTTTTTAATCCGTTGTTTTCTGAAATTTCGAAAACCTTCCCAAAAAATGATATTTTTTGGATAAAAGCCAGATTCAAATAAAGCCTTTTCCGAACAGAGTTTTCAAATTGAGTCCAATTCTGCTGGTGAGATTTAATCAGTCTGAAATATTTTTGTCAGCTATTCAAAATAAAACTTTGTGTCATTCTTTCAATTGAATCGCTTTAAATTGAAACCTGGACCAAACAAATTTTCGTTCCTCAAAAGGAATCCAAATCTCATTTTAATTTCATCACATTAAAATAGAGAATAGGGAGACAGTGTATATTATAACTATTGCGTAACCTTGATATCTTTAAAAACCTATACATAAAAAGGATTAAGCATTGCCTTTTTGAATCAAAACGCTTCATGCAATCACTGATTTCATGAAATTTTAGGTTTTTATCAATTCCTTTCACTCTTTGATTTATTAGAAAAATAGTTAAACGACAATTAAGAGATATCGACGGACTTTTTCGCTAAATCGGCATCTTTACCTCAAAGGCTCGAAAACAGTGTTGTCTAAAAGCCAGCATAAGATATATTTTGAATTAGGAATATTAAAAATTAGTTCGCATTTACATCAGATATGCTCTTTGAATAGTCCGGTATTCATTGATCATTTTTGCATTTTCAGCAAATTCAGACGACAGCCTACTGTCTAATTTCATCAAGGGCTTGCTTTTAAGAACGCAACGCTCACATTTTGCACGTGTTTCTTGAACGTCCAACGCTGGGTCAACATCTTGCACATATTTTTTGTATACTGTGATTTTTATTTTTGCAGAATTTTTGATATTCTTTCAGCAATATTCTTTGAGCATCAAGTTCTGTGTAAGTAAACAAATTTTCATATTTCGTCGTTTAAGAAATTGAAGAAAAAAAAAGTTTTGCATTTTTTTGACAAGGAATAGAAAATTTTGTGAGGGAAAATGGCGGGATGTTGCTCTCTGTGCTGAAATATAGATTGTGGTTTCGACTTGATCTTGTGCAATTTTGTGTAATCTGCCGATAATTCAACAACTTTTTGGCGGTGCAAAATTTGAGAATGGCTTTGGAAAAAGCAAACATTTTACAACCAACTGAGAGCTTTTCATAAAGTTAGGAAGCACGTTTTAAAGGGCTTAGCGTCAACTATGAACTAATAAACTGCTTTCATAGTTTATTATTTTTAACTATCTATAAACACGGTGGCCGCCGGATATGGGGGCTCCTTATTATTGGGGTTTAAATAATTCCCAAGCTGTTTCTATAAAAATAAAAATATTTTTTAGTGAGAGGTAAAATATACCTGATGTTGCTTACAACCCCTAACCCCTGCCCTCCATTTCCCTTCCTCCATTACGAAATTTGTTCTGACGGTCTTGTGAAAAGTTACAATATTCAAGCTTCAAGTCCGGGAATGATTATATTTTGCTTGCTAAAAGTATTGTGAAATTGTCATGAATATCCAATTAGCATGAATTTCTTGTAGAAGTGAGAAGCAAATAATGTTTCCCCATCTTTGCAGAAGAAAAAATTGATTCAAAACTTACTTAACATTGTGCAGAGAGGAATTGTAAAATATACAAACCAAGAGACCATAGACAAATTTCAGACAAGTAGCACGATTTTTCTTAAATTGGCCCTTTCAAGGGCGTAGCGGATGCAATAAAGTTTAGGGGGGCGAGGGGTCTCGTATTATCGCTACATTGCGACATTAATGCTCGAATTGGGCCTGAAATGCGATTTGTATTGACTGGTTAGGAGAGGGGGCTGCAGCCCTCTTACCCCCTTCATCGCCTAGACATATATTGTACGCATGTTGAAAAGGGCTGTTTATTTGTGTAGACCAATGAGGTGGTTTAGGCAGATGGATTTTCAAGAAGGGTGTTCATTTGTTATTGTGATGTTGAAAGAAACCCTGTCTACATGAAGTACCTTCAACGTGACCCATGACCGCCCGGAGACACTTGAGTTCAACATCAAAGTGTGGGGATGTGCCTCACTATGTTTAGACTAAACTGGATGTTGTTTACAACTTTCAAGCGCCAAGGGTCAGATTTACCACGTGAATTCAAATATTAATGGTCTCAGCCCTGGAATATGGCAGCCGTATCGCAAGTTATCGTATGAATCCTCCGTTCTCTGACCTGCTGCATCGCCATCCGAGATGCTGTGCACGCAATGTGAGTTGAAGAATTTAACTTAATAATGGCATTGTTACGGGTAAAGTTTACTAATGTCATCCCTGTCTGTCATAGCGTTTGAAAATAAAGTATGTTTATGAATTAATTTTTTTTAATTAAAGAGTAAGTTATTTGCACCTAAAGTTACTGATTACTTTCGTCACAAGAAGTACCCCTATTTTAACGGCTTAGGCCAACATATTTAAGATCTATTTTTTGGAAGTTCAATGTTTGATTTAGAAAACCTGAACTCTGATCAATCAACACTTGAAAACCAAAATCAGATGCCGATGTTGAACATGACAGTGTGATAATCATTGTAGTATCCATCCCTAGCGAATCGTTAATAATGTATTGCACATCTTATAACTTTCCTTTCTGCTTCTATTTTGCTTATTTGTGCAATACATATAGGTTATCAACATTTTAAGAATTTCATGAAGAAGCCCTTATAAACTTTAGATTAAGGTCTTTTCATGAGTTTTCAGGATAATTCGATTTGGTACTTGCTGTCTGTCTTACTTTAACTTGGGCTTGTGTCAGTAATTATAATTACTTACGGGAAGCCTTGTGAAGAATTGCAGTTATTTTGAAATAGCAACCGTGTCAAGTGGGTTTTTGTATTTCCTCTGCTTTTTTCTCTAGACTGTCGAATTCTGGCTGTTTCAAACACCATCTCACTGTTTTTTGCGGTGAATGCTGTAATCAGTGCACATGGTAAGAATTACACATTTTGAATATTTCATTAATTTTATGATGGAAAAATGCCACCATTTCACCAGGTTTGAACAATATTTCTGCATGGTTTTAGATAATTTTATAATAAAAGGTTCTTTCATCAAAAGCTTTTTAGAGACGTTTTAAGGATCAAATCTATGGCCACCAAGAGTATGAGAGTAAAAACAAAGCTTTCAATTGAAAAGTATATGTTGCCAATTATTATTTTCAAAATGAGTTTCTGTACACATATATAAGCTAAGTATTGGTTTCTCTGTGGTCAGAAGTCCCAGGAAAAATTAGATCCAGGTCATAAATAATTGAGCAATTGCTGGCAGCTGATGTTCAGTTGCAAATCTAACAAAGTTTGCACCTTAGAATTAGAGAAGTGCCAGAATCAGTAACATTTTGTGATGAGTAGACTCTCACAAAATATTTTGGCTATAGTCACAGCAAATTTTGCTTGTAAAGTTGTGACTTTAAGTTTAGTGTTCCCACAAACGGTGTTTTGTTGGGCAGTTTTGCATAGTTTTTTAAATTTTGTATTACTGTTACCAGCAGTGTGACTTTAAACATAGTCACCTGCTGCAATCAATTTTTTACAGCTTGAAATTAGTATAATTTTTACTTTGTGATTGCTCAATAATACCACAAACAAGGATCTCAAAAATGTCATGTGAAGTCTGTGATTTGCTAAGAACAGGAAACTTACAAAGAAATGTTCTTCTGGAAATGAGATTCAAGTAGCAGAGATTAGAAAGATTATAAAAAACATTCCACAAATTATGACAATAGTTGTGACTAGGATTACCAGCAAAATAACTGTGATATGAGATATCTCTAAGGCATATCTGGGATAATATTCAATGGAACTTCATCCATGTTTTTGGGAAGGTGAGAGCCTTCCATTATGCTGCCTGTTCCTACATCCACAATGTTCCCTTTGAGCATTAGGTATGGAGGATCACCACGTGGATCAATGCTGAGATTTTTTTCACCTAATATTACTGTACTTAACAGGGGAGAAACCTCAGTTTCTTTGGCAAAAGAGAACAAGGGGTTGTAGAGTCTTTTCTCCAATTTTTTCACAAAAATTTCAGTATAATAGCTTTTTGGCTCTAACATGCTAGTACACAATGAGGCTTCTTCTTGAATAAAATGGCATTTGGATTGCGAATTTTGCAACACTGTTTCTTATTTTAGAGAAATGCACAACAGATTTATTCAAATCCAAAGGGGTGATCAAAAGCCCAAACAGGACACAGCTTCAAGACATTTTTCTGCATGAAAATCATGAGAGTAATTTGACATGCAGGTGGATTATTTATCCACAGTCTGGCATCATCAAGCTAGAGTTTCCTAAATTCAAGATGGGAGTAAAGACAGCAGCCAATGAATGTACTAACTCAGTAACTTTGAAGATGATTGATAGAAGTGCACGGTGAATTTTTTTACTTGCTACTGTTGTGATTCGATTTCCTAGTCGTAATGCAGATGAGAATATAAAGAAATCTGTCTAACCAGACTATTTAAAATTGAATCTTTGAGTTTCATGCGCCTGTTAGGATGGGCTTAAAAAAGCATTTGACAATACACCAATTCGACTTACAGCCTCATTTTGAAAAATTCTTCAAAATCATTTGTACAAAATTTCTGACCTCAGATTTGGATTGAGAGCAATTATTTTAGTGTACTTTGAGAGCAAGCTTTCATTATAGTATTGCTAACGATATTGATTTTATGATGACATAAAGATAAAAATTTTATAAGAGTTTTGACCGTGATTGGCGACTAGAGGGGTGAAGTTTCACCCAGAATGATTTCTGTGGTCAAACCCTTCCAAAGTTTTCAAACTTCGTGGGCTTAAAAAATGTTATATTTAGATTCAGAGAAATTTTCAAAACACAGCCATAAGTCAGTTGGTGTATATTGTTTATTTTTTCAATCTACACTGGCCTTTTATCTTATTCTTTTATGTTTCTGTTACAGTTCTTTTGGTTCTCCAGAGGAAGTTCGACTGTGTGGTGTTAAGTCACCTCCGAGCTATTTCAGCAAAGGACCTATGCTGGAAATAAAACTCATGGGAAACCTTTTGCATCCTTCTTTTGACAATTTCTCCTTTGAAGCATTGTACACTACAGTCACTACTGTACCCACTGTCCAAGACAAATGTGGTAAGTTTGAGCTGACAGAATAATATGATTGAAGTTTTAAATAACAAAAGCGACCTAATTTTGCTTCCTTGCCTGTTGGTGTGGTTCATAGACCATTTATGGTTAGGACCTGAAACCACAGAGTGTAATTCAGATTTAGGGGAGGGGCTTGGTGCGGAAAGATTATATATAATATTCTAACTGCTATAAAAATATTTTGTGGACTGTTGTTAGTATATACAAATTGTAAGCCCAACAACCTGCTATTATCCACATTTATGATCATTTGCTTGGATTATGTCTTCAGCTGCCTTTATCAAGGAAGCTTATAACCAGTTGAATTCTGCCAATGAATTTAGGCCACATGCCTCTTTTGCTGTAAGAAAACGCTCTTTTACCAACAGCTTCAGAATCATAGAATTGCATCACAAAGAATATGGGGCCAAAAAAATGCCCCTCCTCTAACTTTTTATCATCAAATTTAGACGAAACAAGAAATCAATCCTGCCAAGAAACATGGGGGGGGGTGTCCCCTAGTCTCCTCCGGGCGCTGCCCTTGATTTCTTGAGCTGATAAGCATATCTGCTTCTAGCTGTATCATGACTCTCCAGTTTGTCACAGGGGTGCCTCAAATTATTATTTTGTTTCAGATCCTTGTGGTGGGAGGCTAAACAGAGAAACTGGAATGATCCGATCGCCTAGATACCCCAAAAATTATCCAAACAATTGTGATTGCAAGTGGATTATATCAGTTCGCAAGGGATACATAGTGAAGTTAAAGTTTTGGTATGTTTCTACAATGTATTATTTTCGATGCATTTTGAGCTTGTGGAAATTCTCCTTTAAAGATAATTGAATGCTAATTGTTTCAAAAAGCCTCCATTCATCCAGTTAAAAGTTTTTAACACTTGGTAGGTTTTACAATTTGGTTGAAAACAGTTGGATAATGTTTTTCCCCATTCTATCAATATCTCGAAGAACCAAAAATTAACATTGAATTTAAACTGATATATATGCAACTATGAACATTAAATAAAACAAACATACAGATAATGAAGAAATTTTTATCATATACTTTGAACGAAAACAACAGTGTAAGGTTTTTTTCCATTCTATCACTACCTTATAGTATTTCAGCGTCTACATAGAAAAGTTGGGAAATTGTTTGCTCTCATTTTGAAGTTTCATGATTTAAGCAATTTACACAACACAACACAACAACACAACTACCTCTTCTTCACAACACAATTTGTAAATGTCCCAGAATAACAGTTATTTTTGGTGACACCTGAGGAGGGAATTTCCCACCTCTGCTCCTTCTTCTCTATTCTTCTTTGATTGTTTCTCTTTTTTAAAAATTTGATATAATTTGTCATCCTTGGTCTGAAAAAGAATTACAGCAATAAAATTTGACAATCTAGTTGGCTTTTTACAACTTCGAGCTTTTTTACAGCCCAGATTACTAACTTTTCTTATCCATGAAAGTGGTAAACTACTGGAATGCTTGCAAATTTTGCGTTCGTTAGTTGATATTATATATGATGTTGATATTTATTCTAGTTGTAAAAAAAGTTGTGTTCCGTTCAATTTTGTTTACAAATTACCAGATTACACCCAGAATCTTCCGACAGAGAAGTTGGAGCTTCTGACTGGGGGGCCAAAATTACTAAAATATGCAGTTTTCGTACGTTATTTTGTCAAATTTGCTCTGACAATAACCTAAAATTTCCTCCAATGTGGGAGGGGGACTAGATGCTTCCAACGTAGGGGCTGTAGCCCCCTAGCCCTCCCCGATTCTTAATAACTCTAAATAAATTGAAGTTTTGATTGGTGGCTGTTTCACTTCCGACCCATTTCCATTCGCAACTTTCACACAATTCACATTACAAAAGTTTTCGATCATTCATTCATAAAGTCCACATGATATGAGAATATAAAATAATCCATTAACGACCAAGTCGCACTTGAAGCGCGTTCCAGTCACAATAATCATGTAGTTTTTCATCCCGTGCGGCAAGAGGCCTTCGTACACGCAATCAGTGAGGGTATCTATCTTGAGAAAAACACTAAGTAAATAAATACCTAAAAAATACGACAAACTAAATTAAATAAGAAACTTACCACCACTAACACAAGTAAGCTCAATGTCGAAACAATCCGACCACGCCACGAGGCTAGGCAAGCCCCAACCACGCCACGAGGTGGGTGTGCGCGCAGGCTTGGCAAGTCCCAAATGTATTGAATAGTTATAAAAACCTCCCGGTGAGATCCTGTCTTATCTCCCTTCGTATCTTTCACCTTTCGTCTATAATTTGACCATTCAGTTGCCCGAAGTAATAGGTTTTTTGAATCTCTGTTTTCCTTATTTGTTACCTATTCTTATTTCTTCAACATAAAAGAACATTTACGAACATTGTTTCTTTTACAGGGCTTTTTCGCTAGAGGAGATGGAAGGTAAAATATGTCATGACTTTCTGTCCATCAATGATGGGACATCTAGCGATGCCACATTGCTAGGTATGTATTTCAAAGTTGTCTTCGACGTCAAAGTTACCATGCAGTAAGCTATTTTTCTGGAATTGGACATGTTGTTGTTTAGAGCCTGTTTCAGTTTGATGAAAAAACGGGCATTTATGAATCTCAGAATAAAGAATCGTTTGTCATGATTCTAAGTTCAAAGTTGGTTACCAATTTAGGAATTTAATGGTGATGTCACCTAAAGGTTTGTGTGTACATGTTGCTCTCAAGTGAGAGCTGTAAGGTGAACCTAAGTACCTTTGAATTAGGAATCTGGTTCAGCCTAGCCTTGATAAACGAAGCTCATGTATGCAGGGATTCACTCTATTCTACGGAGTTTTGATCTGCTCTCTCTCTCCAGCTCCCTTTCAATGATAACATGTGTTGCAAGCTGTATCTGCCATGGAATGTTAGGCCATGAGGATATTTCTATGATCATAGACCATGATCATAGAAGTTATGTTCGAGTCTATGATCTAAAAAATGAGGCAAGATGGCTGTTGTGAAGCACGCGTTTTTCATCGCTCTCCTTTTGGTCATCTGTTTTCGAGTAAGAAAGGCTGCTTTCGTTTCCAGTAGTAGCTTATATTTAAATCATAATGATGAAGACTCAAGCCAGCTCGGTGAGACTTACATTTTCTCTAGTTTATGGCAGTCATGTGGTGGCAGATTCAACATTTTTGTGAGATGTTCAGACTCAACCCTTTTAGGCCTATTTTTGTTGATGTGTGGAGACGTCGAGCCTTGCCCGGGACCAAGTCAAAATACTAGATTTAACCCATAGCTGGAAAGACTTACTTTCAAAAAAAGAGTTAAGATACTTCACCAAAATGTGTGTGGCCTATCGTCAAACTTTGACCATATTGTTGAGATATTGAAAAGTTTCCCGAATATGGATGCATTAACATTGAGCGAGACACACCTTCAGCAGGGAAAAACGGACGAGGACCCTGCGGCTTTGTTTTTTATACGTGGATATTCATTTGTAAACAAACCAAGAAAGTCTGGGAAAGAGGGGTGGAGTAGCAGCGTACATCTCGCAAAAAATAACCTACAATAGGCGCCTCGATCTCGAAAATGATGAAAAAGAATGTATTTGGCTGGAAATGAAACCATTGTATTCGTATTGTTATTATTATTACCTCTCTATGTTTGCGTTACAATTCCACATCACGATACAATAGGAAGAAAATTGTCGTGAAAGCATAAATAATGTTATAAGACTGTATTGGGATAGATTCAGGCAATGACTTTTGATAATTGTAAAAACTGCCAGGCTTCACCTCCGTTCAGATACACTCGTGCAGGGATTTTATTAGAGGCCGGCAACCGGTGAAAGTCCGCCACTTACTCATCAAGCCTTCGCCGCCTACTTTCACCTACCTTAGTGAGACTGCACAAACTTTAGTAAACATAAAGACGCCTACTTTTTAATGTGAGTCTTCTACCTCAAAATTTAATGAAAACCCTGCACATGCAGTTATCTTTGTTTTATTCTATAATGTCAAAGAAATTGCATATCTCCCGTAAATAAAGAGAAACTTTTCCGGTTGTTAATTTTGGTAACTTAACTGTGCTTTGTCTTTTATCAAGGTAAATATTGTGGAAACGAAAGTCCCGGAACTATAAAGACGACAAATAGCTATGCCTTTCTATATTTTCATTCGGATTTCTCCAAAGCTAGCTCTGGTTTTGAAATTATGTTCGAGTCGCAGAGAGATGAAGGTAATGTTGAATAGATTTATTCAGAACTTTTAAGGCATCACTAAAGACTGCCAAATACTTTACATCTGTTATTGCAGCATTCCTGTTACCTCAAATGATAACTGTTAGATACTGTTGTTATAAACATCCCATCTTTTTATTTCTACTAGAGAAAAATAGAAACATGCATTTATAATGTTTATGGTTGTTTATTTAACTGAATCTACCTTTCTTGCTTGCGTTCATCCTTGATTTCAAGGTCCAGAATATCTTCCGCCAAGACTGAACTCTTTATTGTATAAGGCTCAAGGATATATGGTCACTTTAACCATTGTGTACTTGAAGGCTTCTTCCAAAATTCCCATAACTGCTGGCGAAAAATCTGACACAATAGTCCAGCATCTTCCAAGTCCTTTTAATTTGTTTATAACATCCCTCTATTATACTTGTAACTTGTAAAAGGATGTGGGGCTTACTGTTTATTTCTGTCAAGACTTCTCTATTATGATTTTTTCTATTCAAAATTGTAGAGAGTACGGATGGGTATTTATAAGCGCAAATATTACACCCATCATTTTTCGACTCCTTTGTTGTCTCTGTGTCACCCAGTGACTCTATTACCAGGCTCCTAGCACATTGATTCTGTTTAGACTGATTCTGTTTACACTGATTCGATAAACACTGATCGGCGATCGTTTCATTTTTGACTCCAGAGGACCTGACCAGCCTTCGCTCGATTGCTGCTATTCTTGGTGGCGTAAGTTTTGGTATATTCATATTCATCTTGCTGTGTTCCATCGTTTACAAACGGTATGTTGGTGGGGATGATAGACGGAACACCTGCCCACCTGTAAATGGAGATGATGATTACTTGGACGCAGTACAAGCTGCTGCGCCTCCTTCATACCAGGCAGGTAAGTTGATTTGCTGCTTTATCACTGTTTGGTCAATTACTGCTTAATCACTGCTAAATCACTGCTAAATCACTGCACAATCACTGCTTAGTAAGTTGCTGCTTAATCACTGCTCAATCACTGCTTCTTCACCGCTTAGTCAAAGCTTAAGTGCTACTGTTTATTCACTACTTTATTTCTGTTCAGTCACTATTTATTCATAGCTTAATCACTGTTCAATCGCGGCTCAATCTCTGTTTAATCATTGATCAATCACTTTTCATTTCTTATTCACTGCTCATCATTTCTTATTCACTGCTTAATCACTGCTTAATCACTGCTTAATCACTGCTTAATATCTGCTCAATCACTGCTTAACCACTGCTTAACCACTGCTTAACCACTGCTTAAACGGCGATGTTTATTTACTGCTCATTCATTCCTTAATACAACGATCCGGAAAAGAATTAAACTAGTACCTTGCCCTGTCTATTTTGCTTCATAACTGAAAAATACTGCTATCAATGGCGGTCTCGCATCTCACAACTGTAGTAGGCCTGTAGTATTGATTATTCGATAACACGGAACTTAAACAAAGGATGCCGACACGAGTGACCCTTCTGGTCATTTCTATTCTTGGATTGATCATCTCAACTGATTCTTCACTTCTTTGTCAGTATTCGTTGAGCACTTAATCCATCACTACTTAGTCAATGCCTGGACGTAAATACAAAAATCCGTTACCGTAAATATTCTTAGTGAGACTGTGCTTAGTACTGTATATCGTGTCCATGCATCCCGTTTCGTTGCAACTGTCGTGAGTTATTTTTAGTTGTGACTCTTGTTTGACCTCACTGGCGTCTCTCTGAAACCCAGGCACGCTAACTATAACCCTAGCCGTTGGGGGCTTTTATGTCCACTCACTTTACCCTTGTACACGAAGTCCTTTTATTTTGATAAAGTTTTTGATTCCTCTATCCTATGTACTGTGGCGCAGTTTATGTGTCCACTACTCGATTGAAGTTGAGTTAATTGTATTATAGCATCAACCGTTTTTCTGTTTTCCTCAGTTTTTTGCATCTATCAGTATCACATAACTTAATCATTTTTTCCTTTAGTAATGGCAGATCCTGATCATTATCCAAGAACCCCAGAGGTAACTCCAGCAGCCTCACCAGCTGTTACTCCAATTCTGCCAAGACGAAATTTGATACGACCATCACCGTTGCACTATGATGGTACCCCTCATCTAGAGTCACTGGAAGAGGATGAATGGAACGGAGTAGAGACTCCACCACCACCTTATCCGGGAAACGCAGCGCCGAGTTTTGAGGAGGAAATTCTTATCAGAGACCTGCCACCCCCACCAACATATGAAATGGTCTCAGATAATGAGGAGCACGAGGAGTCCGTGCCTTCATGGGCACCTTCGGATTTACGCGTAGAACCAACGATTCTTGCAACAACTGAAGCACATAGTAGCTCCTCGAATAATTCTGAAAGCACTTCAACACAAGTGACAACATGTGAAAGTAGCTGTTGTAGTTCAAATGGACTCGTAAGGCTGGGTACCCCATCCGGGGACTGCAGATCGAGTTTCACGCGTCTACCTCACAGAGACGAAGTACTGTGTTTACGATGTATTGAAGAGTCTGTACCTGAAGTACGGATTCGTCGACAACGATCTGATGGAAGTATGCATGAAAATTATTTATTATTAAGAGATGACGGACATGAAAGGAGTTTACGCTGCCCACACACGCAGCCGCTACGCCGTCGAAAATCGTCTTACGAATGCGGCGTTAATGATGATATTAATGCAAATACAGACATTACGTGCGATAAAAGGGAAGCTAAGTGGCTACAAGCTCGCAAAGAGCGATGTCGAAGCGTTCCTTCGTTAAGCCAAAGAAGCGAAACTGCAGTGCATCGCCGACGTAATGTGTTCACTAACCATTCCCCACTTACCATTCGGTCGCTGTTTGGCAGACATAATCACAATCATAATTCTAATCGCGTTTCACCTAGGAATTCAAGCTCGAATAGTCATGATTCAATTAGGGATTCACAGCCGAGAACTGACACGGCTACTGCAAACTCTGTTCCCAGCCATGATCAACAACTTCGTAGGTCTTCGCATATTTGAATTTTAGTTATGTTAGGTGAAAGGTTATTGTTTTAATACATATAGTCTATTGTTTTTTTTACTTGTAGAGTATATATATGTTAAATAGAGGCAAGTTGATTAGGGAGCGATCATTGCTAATGCCTGAACTAAGGGGTAGGAAATTGATGATGATTTTTGGTATTTCTCAGCCATGCAAGACATTTTACTTGGTTCAAAATAGCTAATAAAGAGCGATTGTCGTTAGGTTAGTTATCTTATCAGCTTCATTTTGGCAACTTATTTTGCTTCGCTGTGCTTATAACTGGCCTTTGAAGCCGCCTAATAAATCACAAATTATCTGTTCTCAAGATAGAAATGACTTATGCATTTTATTTGTGGCCTATTTTGATGATCGGAACCCAAAAAAATTTGTGCGATGTATTACTTATGTTGCTGTTGGGAACCAATAATGTGTTGCTCTTTGTACGTCTGTGTATATAGAATAAGTATTGAAAATCATAGTTTACGATAAAGGACCTGCTCAATTCAGCAGTTCAACTATCACTTTTATTTATTTAGAATAAACTTCGAGGGAAAAGCCAGCAAAGACAATGTTGCCGCGAGACGCTTAGGTGCTCATGCTTTATTTTAGACCATTTCTTACGAATAATTCAATAATATGTGTATATATTATAATTTAATCATTTGTATTGTATGTGTAGTAGATTTTGGTCACTATCTCAAATGATATTTGCAGATCTTGAAACGCCATGATCTTGTCATTTTTTACATGGGTTTTCGTTTTCATTAATTAAGCCGTAAAACAAATATAATGAAGATTTATTTTGGCTAGGAATTAATGGCAATGCTGCCACTGTTTTCCTTCATGAGAAATCTTTTGTATCACGTTCAATTTTTTTAGATTTTTATTCCTAGTTCTGTAGTACCTGCGTCACAGCGTCAATAAATGATCATTAGCGCAGTGTAATTGGTTGCAACTATGCGACAGACAGCGACTGACTAGGGCTGAAAGACTACGCTGCACCACCGCAAGCATCTGCACGACTTTTCAGGTTATATGCAAACCAGCGTTTACGACCGCAGTGCCACGAAGAGATCGTGAAATGTGTCGATTCTGAAGACGGAATTCATGCCTCCTTCCAAGTTGGTCGACTTAATACGTTTTCTTTGATATGAAAATTTCTTCATTACCCGATATTCTTGAAAGTCAGCAAAGATTTCCCCGCAGCCTCCCCTGCAATGCCTCAAGAAAAATGAAAGGGAAATGTTGTGATAAAATTATTCATCTCCAAGTACCCTTTCAATTTAATAGATGTTGCTCTACCGTTTCATCAATCCGACCGGGTCCAAATCTTTTCTTTCATCCTAATGTTTTTAAGACAATGCATATGTTATCAACAATCCCAACATAAAAATTTCTTTCATGAAAGATATAGCAGGCCTAAAAAAGAGAAAAATCAGTCATTTCTTGCATTTAGAAACTAAGTTTTTCTATTTCTTGATGAACCTCACCCTAGTACATCGCATTTATCTACGTATCACTTTAAATCATCAGCCAAAACGGTCCGATACACTAAACAATACATTTGCCTTCGTTTTGAAGACACCACAATGGCTGTAGAGAGTCACCAGCAATGCCATGATGAACCATCCTTTCCCTGTGCCTTAGCAGCCTGGCCTCTGCGGCACGCCAGTTGGTGTTAGGATCCGACCAAAGACGTTCTGCATATGCAGCTGCACGGGGCCATACTTTGGTCCCAAGGGCAGACTCATCAACCTAAAATAAAACATTTATCCTTATTCCTACAAAATTAGGGAATTGCTTCGTCGGATACATCGAAAATGGGGTCTGCGGGTGAAGCAAAGTAGCCTGTGAAATGATCGCATCTGGTTAAGATTACATGTACCCTGTTTCAATTGTTTGTTTATAGCGGGTCAGAATTGGCTTTTGACAGGCTTTGGCTTCGCTACATTAAAAATGTGCAAAGGTAGTCGAGTCTAAGGTATTTCTTGTGTTTAAGGTTGACTTTACAAATACATATACACTATTGTTTTGCCTCCAGCCCTACCTGTTCCGACCACATCGCTGATTCTCCTCCTAACACTAGTTTCAACTTAGCTGGATCTTTGATTCCAAAATCAGCGAGAATCTTCTTGGGATCGTTGTTGTATAATCTCTGCCATTCTTTGTACGGGGCACACCAGTTGTTGCCATCTGTTACCCAGCCACCAAATCCACAATCCAAGTATACCGCGTCATAATTGGAGAAAACAACACGATACCCTTTGTTGATCAAATTAGAAATTGTCTTGTCAGATTTTTCAGACCATATTTGAATGATGTATTTTGATTTGTCCACGTATTTTTCGATGTATTTCGGGTAAGTCATATGGCTGCTCCAAAGGATTAACGGCATATCTTGATTTTTGTTTGCTTCACGGAATTTTGCCGTTGTTCTGTCGAGGAAGACTTTCCACAAATCCATGAAATCCTTTTCTGTTCTTGCTTTTCCTTGATCTTCCATATGTTTGGTTATTTCTTCTGTTGAATTCCAGCACCCAATGTTCACCTGAAACAGTACTTTTGCTGTCAATTCTCTATTAGTTTGTTTCCAAAAGGACCTTGGTGCAGCTGGTCATTACTAAAAGAGTCGTCATTTAGTAACATGAAACTCGATCGTATCTCGAAACTGCTTAACCTGCCCTCCCCAAACAATGATAACTTAGAAAGCACAGGCTACGTCTTAAGCCTGGGAGACACCCTAGGGCGGGGCGGTCTTAAAAGAGAAAATAAGTTTATTAAAAATAAATATAAGAAGAAGTTTATATAATCGTTTTGTCTGTGTCTCTTTAGTCTGGTATGAATCGATGAGAAGTAACAATTAGCAGCTTCTTGAGCCAATGAAAATGGCTACATATCCTGTTTCAACGACAACTTAATTATGATAATGTCCTCGTCTACATGAAAAATTAGAATCATCAAAGCATATTAATTAGTCATAAAAATTAGGGTGTTTAGTTTAAGTTTTTGCTTTGTTATGAAAATGGGGGCTTTTATAGAAAGAAGAACTTTTACGGTATTTTTATTTTTTTGGGGAAGGTTTAAAACTGATCTTGATTCTACCTGCCACTGGAAGAAATTCTTACCTCGTCACCGCCAATATGGAATATGTCTAGGTCAAACATTTCCAGGTATGACTTGTAGATGGTACCAAGAACATTGTACATGTGATCATTTAGAGGATTAAGTTGTCCACACGGTGGTTCGACACAGTACGAGGTCCACGGGTCTTTATTGACACAGGTAGCCATTCTACCGAATCCCTTCTTGGGTCCCCATTGCCAACCATTACCACAGTGCGCTGGTTGATCAAACTCAGGCATCACTCGTATCCCGCGGGCAGCTGCGTATTGAACGATCTTCTTAACGTCATCTGGCATGTAGATATGGCGTTGGGAATAAGCTCCGTACTGAGTCATTTCAGGTTGCTCTTTGATGTATATTGGAAAGCTGTGTGTATCAGTAATATGCCAATGAAAAGTGTTGAGTTTATTCAGTGCCATACCGTCAATAATTTTCAAAATGCTATCAACTGAGAAAAAGTTACGACTCGTGTCCAACATGAAACCTCGTAATGGGTATGCAGGCGCATCTTCGATGTCAACGTCTGTTACGACTTGCATACTGCCGCAAATGTCGTCGAAAGTGATCAACTGGCCCAGCGTCTCTAGTCCATGTCGCGCTCCAAAGAAGGTCTCTGCGTCTATTTCGGCGGTAATTTGGGAATTCACGGTTCGAATGACAAGACTGTAGGATTCGTCAGTATCAAGATGAAGTTTGGCATCGGCAGCTTTAATGTTGATCTTCACGGAAAATTTGTATTCCCAGACAGGACTGTTACATTGAGCACCGTCTTTGGCAAGGGATTTGACGTTGAACTTCCTGTAAATTTTATTCAACCTTGCCTTGAATATCTGATACGCCGCTGTAGCTAATTGTTCTGCTTTCTTGTTTTGCGGAGCAGCGAAAGTGATCTTTGGTTCTGCAATGTTCCATAGCTGGATGGGCAAGGTCATGTTGCCAATAAACGTCTTACCAGAAGGATGGGGCCATAAACCTCCGTATCTTCCACAAGTAATAAGGCAGGTATTGAGCTGGGTACGGCGATTGGGCGTTGCGTTTGTCTTGAGGCATACGTCGTTTTTGCAGTTGTAAGACCATGCTGACGTAAAGCTTTGGTAAGAAAACATTTATTCTATACATTCATTTCATCGCCTTGTTGTTTAAACTCTTTTTGTAGTACAGAATTTAAAAATAGCTCTGAAAAAGCAAACATTTTGAAACATGTTACTAAAGCTTTTCGTCTGCCACTCTTCAGAGTATAAAACGTCAGAACCTAGATAAAAAAACTCTACGCCAGGAGATATATATACTTAGTTGTAAGATCCACAATAAGTAACATGCTTCAATTGTTTGCTTTTTTAAAGCCTTCTTTGTTGATTCTTCAGTTTTTTCAGTCTCATGTTCTGGATTGTTGACAATGACATTGGGCTGAAATTAATTCATAGAATATTTTCACTGAAGTTGTCACATATTTATGTCTTTATTCTAAAACGCCATTGCTTTAGTTTCATCTAAAATAAAAAAGGTACTAAAACGATACGATGAGATCAGTTTTATATGTATTGATGATATAAAATCAATAATTCTGAACTAGAGGAAATTCTGAAAATGAAATGCTTTGATTGCTTGAAATGCATGAGGAACAGCTTACGGTTTCGGAGAAGCTCTGGCCTTATTTCCAAGCCAAATGATGGTTTCGACAAGGCTACGATAATGGCCTTATTCAGTCTACGGGTTGATAGCAACGTATGCAAATGGTTTCATCAATATTACCTTAGCACAACACTAAGCAGAAGGGGAACTGGATACGTACAAACCACTTTTTGCAATTAACGATTACTTTTAGACGTTAAAATATTATAGAAGATAGCTCCAATACAGCCCGTTGTGCTGGACTAATTTAAAAGTTCCTTACCATTCAGCGACTTTTAATGGGTAGAATACCAAAAGCAGACCAAAGATTGTGGTTAACAACATCTTGTCAAACGGCAACCTTATCGCTTCTGATGGCGATGTTTCCTGTTTTTTATTTAAATGCGCGTGCCTACTCTAGTTCTATTTCAACATTTGCTGCGACACTTCTTATTTTTGGGAATTCTTCAAGCCAGGTCCTTTTCTTGTTTGCTGTTCTCGCAAAGTATGGAATATGATATGTTTTTATCCCGTATGTATGTGTGAGGGCTCTAAGCACCCCCTGGTTTACCCCCGGTAAATTTTTATAAGAAGACAGGACAATAGAGGGGCGAGACCCAGAGATATGCAAGAGGGAGAGGAGAAAAATGATTGTAAAAAGGAATGGGGAGAAAACAAGAGTTATGTTAAGGTTTTCTTAGACCGGTAAAAAACATTTATATTTCGTTGTAACCGAATTAGCGATACAGTTGTGAAGCAGAGATCAAACCGGCCTTGTCATTGTGGATTTCTCGTAAAGGACTTCGAGCATTGCTGCGTGTATGTCACATATGGTTTTCAATTCATGATTTTGGATATCTTTTGCTCTATGAGTGTCAAGTTCTTGATTTTCCCAGCAAACTCAGTTGCTTAGCATTTGAAATATGAGCCAAGTCTAAAAAGTCTTTCTGGGATGCTCGGGAGTCAAGAGGGCTCTGCTGTTTTTGCTTGCAAGAATCCTTCTTCATTTGCTTTAGTCTTAAGATATGTTGACTTAAAAGTTGCGATATCAACCTTTTTTCTAGATAGCACGCTACTCTTTGAAGATTCACGTTGTGCTCTTTATTCGTTTTTATAAGAGTTCGCTAAAGTAATTGAAGAGTATTCCAAATAAAAAAGTCGCAGGTATTGAACGCATACGTGTGACCATGGCAACTAAACGATCTAAATTAAATCGTTAAACGTATTTTTAATCAGGGCCTCCGACGAAGACCATCCCCCCACTTTATTGCAAAATAATAGAACTTTTAAAATATCTTTTGTTATGGATGTTCAATTTTCCCTCGGCCCCCTCTTTCCAACTCATGTTAATTCGACATTTTCTAAAAGAAACATTTATTTATGGGGATGTAATCTTAGGCTTTTTGGAACAGGTTGTTGGAAAGTTATGGCCGATGTACAAAGAAAAATCGATTTTTGAGATTATATATGATAACTCTTGCATTCTACCAAACCACTAAGCAACTCCTAGTAACTAATTACCCCCGAGCTCATGCACCGAAGAGACTTATCAAAAGACCTTTCAACGTATTTGTCGACGTGAAAAAGGACTTGGCCTAGGATGCGATCGTTCCAACACACGTTGATGATTCAAATAAATGCATACCTAACCCACCAGCCATCATTGCTATTTAGATGAATAGCTTCGATAAATCAAGTAGCCAAAATTTTAAGCAGTTGGAACATCCGTTGCAAAGAAGCTGTTAAATCTAATACTGCAAAAATTTATTAAGACAAAATGGTTTTCCCTGAGTAAATCTAGAAAACACCTTTCTTAATAGCTGCCCATTCGTCAACGTAAATAGGTAGAGCTAGGAACTTGTGACATATTTCAGTTTGGATTTTCTAGAATATTTAACTTGGTTGTATATGTCACATGACAGACAGTTACGTTACAAACATTTGTTTGGTTAACAACTTTTTTATATTCGTTGCAGGTTTTTTAACGTGCAGTTCTACATAAGATATGCAGTTCTAAAAGTTTTTTGTGCAGTTCTAAAGAAAAATCTGTGCAGTTCTAAAATTTTACTTTAGTGAACACGCCTCTGGTTTGGAGCACAAGCTACCTGTACCTGAGCATCATGTATAAGAATCAATAATTATTCCTGTAACATAGTGCTCCCGAGAAAAAATGTGCAGCTCTAAATTTCCCTTAAAACAAACCCTGATTCGTTGTGACAGATAATTTTACGAAACGGATTTTCTTTTTTCATAACGATTCGTTAAAAAGCGCTGAATTTTCGCTGTACATCTTCGTGAAAGAATGGCCATATCTGCTATCTCCCAGGCTGCAACTTGTCTAGCCTCGATTTGGACATTTCTTATCAATGCGCAAAATCCCACTAAACGAGAACACAGACTACATGAACTTTAGATGAACGGTACATATCCTGGTCAGGGTACTATGTTGTAGTGTAGCAGGTTTAGGCAAGATGATAAAAAACATCAAAGCACTTATTTACACGGGAAACATGATTAAGCTTAGCATCGTAACAGATATCAAAAGATAATTCAAACAAATGTTTGTCATGTGACTCTACATAAATTCTGTGTGGTAAGAGTTGTGTAGCTAGACTCATAGAAGTGTGAATTTCATCGGAGTATGTTTGTAAGAATTAATTAGAGGAAAGAAAAAAGCACGCGTCTCTGTACAGACAAAACAGGGGCAAAGTATTAGGTAATAAGCGATGACGCAAAAGCATGATGGCATCAGACCCAGTTACAGGCAGGCTTGTGTTCTGTCTTAACGAGAAAATAGTTTTGTCCTTAGGTTTTTTATCTCAACGTACACAGACGGTCTGCAGCTTTGACGATAGTTTGAAGCCAGTCCATTTGCAATGACAAGGAGCCAAAAAAGGCATGGATTATAACCAGTAGTGAAAAGCCAAACAATGCAGAGGGGGCATAGCTTTTCTCTTTATTGTATACAAAATGAATGTTTCAATTGTTTCCGTTTGCATGCCTCTTCAATATCAATTTCTTTGCCTTTCCATTTTTTCTAGGGTTAATTCATCTTATAATGTCAACCTGTTACTTTAGTAGAAAAATCTAAAAAAATATAGAATTTGAAGCAGTAAAATTTTGCAAGCATTTATTGAGTTTTTAGTTATCAAGATGACTATTGAGGTCACACATGAATCAAAATATCAAAAAGTAATATCGGTTATGATTTCTTGCTTAAAATTCAACGGGTTGAACGTACAATTGAAATTTATCCAAATCTTTTCAAATCTTAGAGCAAGACTTTGATACCAACTTGCAGTCTTTGAGGCCAATTTTTCTTTTTCTGGACAATTTTATAATACTCCTGATTGAAAATAAGCCAATTAATGTTAGCAAGACAATTGAAAAATTTGAAAACAAATAAAGTCGTGATCAGTAGGTTCCATTTTTTTGCAAATTTTTCTTGGAGTCACTAATCACACCTCCAAAAATCTCTTAATGGCAACGAGACTGATAGGTGCATGCCAAGGCCAATACGTATGAGGTGATAGTGGTTGGAAAGAGGAACATTTTCCTTATCTATTCCTCGCGACAATTATAGGGTAAGTTTCAGGCATCTGTTTGTAGTTTCATGGCATTATTAATAATCATAATAACAAAATTTTGTTCCTGCTATGTAAGAACTGTAACAAAAAACCGCCAGTTCCCCACTCAAGAATTGATGGCCTTCCTTTGATACTTGACTCCTACTTGAAAACAGAAGTATAAAACGATTTCAAGTTTTTGTTGGATAACCCTATTGAAGCATAGTAAGATTGATTAACTTTTGTTGTTTATTGCATCATTCAGTCATGAAAATCTGCTGAGCCTTTCCTTACCTAAATATTTTAAGATATTGAAAAGAAGAATAATTTTGGGATAAAACAAAGGGTAGAACTCATAATGGGTGGAACAAATATTTAGACAACTCATAATGTGCGTTAATAAATCTCAGATTTTATCGTGTAGGCCAACAACGACTATAGGCCTAAGGTTTTAACTTTTAAGACGATTGCCTTTAAATGTTGCTGAACTGCTGGTGGGTTATTGCAAACACAGTCCTGACATTGATCCCGGGGTAATGATAATAGCTGACACACATCAATGTTGAGCATTCTGAAATCCAGTGCTTTTTCGAATGCTTCTTAACTTGAAAAGCAGTCTCATCGATGTTAACATTCCACAAACAAATTTTATGTGAGCTTTCTAAGAAAAATACCATAGATCTTTGCTTTTTGATCAAAATTTCATCCTTGGTTAAGAAATAGCTTTCTCTTGAACAGAGGCCCTTCAGCATTAATTATTACTGAAAGAGCAGCTTGTATGGGCTAGTTCTTTGTGTTCCTCTTTTTTCTCTACCATTCCAAGGAGTATCTTCCTACTCTAACCAATGCACATTTCTTCCCAATTGTTGCATAAAAATTGGTAAGCCTAAAAGCCTAGGCCCACAGCTACTAGTTAAGACCCCAGCTTTTTAACCTGGATTTATTAACCTGCATGACCTGCATTTTTAACTCGGCATCCTATTTTTGAACGAAAAATTTTCTAAGGACTTTGTCAGGAATTATTGCTAATTATAAACACAATGAGTAATGCAGTTGTCAGTTGTGACAAGATCTGTTGAATGTTTTATCAGTTGGCCTTATCAAAATTGGTTTCAATACTTGACTTCAAAAACATGCTTTCACAAGAGTGTATGCTTTAAATGAAAATTTGTGCTGCACAGGCACCATGGAGCAGGGGCTGGGGGCTTTAGCACCACCACTTTTTGCCAAAAATGCAAAATATTGAGAAATGAACCACCATTCAAGTCTCTTTTTATTCGGTTTGACCCCCATTTCCCAATAGCTCTTTAAGACCCTCCATTTTTCTCAAGGCTTGATGGTGCATGCTGCAATGAACCAAAAGTTTAGTTTATTGCCCAGAATTAAAGAGTTGCTATCAACAAAATTTAAATGTATCTTTTTATATCTAGAATTAAAAAACACTCCAGTAGATCCGACTCAATATGGCTCTATTAAGTAATAATGAACTAGGTCTATAGCCCAACCTGGTCTATATGGTATTTTGACCAAGAATGTTGCCATTTAATAAATCTTTGGTAGTCAGGGGTGGATCCAGAGCAAATTTGAAGGAGGGGCAGTTGGTAGCGAGGGTGCAGAAAAATTTTCAAAATTAGTACACTATATACAGCAATTACTGATACATTTTCGGAATAAACAACATAGGTTTCAGATAATTCTTGAAGCAAATTAGCCAATTGGTCTCAGAAACTTTTTGACCTGATTCTCATTCTTCAAAAGGGGCATACAGTTTCCAAAAAAGGGGTGCCAAACTTGCTTAAACTCATTGAGGGAGGGGCAACTGCCCCTTAAATCTGCCACTGTTGGTAGTTGTATGCTTCTGAATTTCCACTATGGGATTCAATTCTAAAGGATCTCCTGAAACATCTAAGGTCTATGTATATTTTATTCAACAGATGTCTGAGGCACCAAAAGATGCTAACGGAAGGCTCCAGTTGAACAAGCCTCGATATGACCAGAGTGAATTTGTTGGCAGAGCCAAACACTTTTTCAATGTCACTGATCCTAGAAACCTTTTCACTTCAGCAGCACAGCTAGATGCAGCAAAGAAACTAATTGATGATTATAAGTAAGATTTTGCTTTTTAGAATATTTTTTTGCAAATATTTGTTATAATAGTTGGTATATTATAATAGTTTGTTATATAGAGAGACTAGAGAAATGGCGGAAAAAGTTAATTCCTTTTAAATCTCTTCGTATTTATAGTTTTTTGCCAAAGCAACCTAGATACTCATACAAACTATTTAAACTTTCCATTTAACAACCTAGGATCCAAATTATGACTTGGTATTAATTGAAGTTACTAATAATTGGAGCTATGTAAAGTCTCTCTCAAATCTCATTTTATTAATCAACACAACATTCAGTGATAATCCTTTAAGAGAAATCATATTACTTTTCTGTGGTTTCATAGAATTGGCAGAGAAGCTGTGGGAACTTCTGAAAATGATGTCTGGCATGCTAAAAAGCTCTATGATTCAGCATTTCACCCAGATACAGGCCAAAAGCAGTTTATATTTGGCAGAATGTCTGCTCAAGTTCCATGCAATATGGCAATCACTGGTGCAATGATGACATTTTACAAGTAACTGGTTTATACAATACCTGCTTAAAGTATTGGTACATGGTACACTGCATTGAAGTTATCGAAAAATCTATGCTAAGTTAGCAACCCTAATTTTACAGTGATACCATTATAAAAGCACACCTCCTTATATAGGAGGCCTTTATAATTATCAAAATCTTTTCCCTAAACATTATTTTCTAAATACACCTCCTCAAAGCAAATTGTATCCCATTATCCCACAGTTGTTTCATATTTTGAAGCTACTACCTTTTTTAGGAGTGTGTAAGTAAAGCTATGATTGCAATCAACTTTTTTGTAGAACAACACCAGCAGTTGTGTTTTGGCAGTGGTTTAACCAAACATTTAATGCTGTAGTAAACTACACAAACAGAAGTGGTGATGCGGAGATAACCAACAAGTAAGGATATTTTTCTAATATCAGGGATATTTCAATTGAAAGACCAATTAAAGCTACTTATTTTCTGAAGTTCCACATTGACTTTGTTTCATTGTAGTTAGGGTTGTGGATTGGTTAACGAGAACAATAGCTGGAACAATAGCCTAAACATGATTCCAGCACTCTGCCCTATTTTTTACAATGCGATAAATTAAAGGGGGACTGGAAACAATAAATAAACCCTTTGTTCTTATAATCAATCAACGTCGCGACAGATTGCCTTTAATCAGGGGGTATCCCAAGGATCAATCCCACCTTAGAATATTATTATTAAATCCACCAATGATGACAGGTTTTATTTCATTAAAGAGACTTCTCTTGCAAACTCTGCAGATAAAAATACTTTTAAAACATTTTTCAGAAAGCCTGCCTCAACTAATTAAAGTGGCGAACATGGACCTTACGTGACTTGATCAGAATCAAATGACAACTAACCGAGAACAATCTTATGCCTTTCTTATAAAAAACATCAAACAAATACCCCCAGGCAATACATCATTTCTATTCAAAGGAAAACTACTTCAAGATTTCACTAAAGTTGCTTCGTTTAACTTATAATCATAAACTACGTTTTGACACACTTATATCTGAATTTTGTGAAAAGGCAGTCATACAGTTATTTATGCTTAAAAAACAAAAGTCTTTCATTGGTTTTTCGGTTAAGAAGTATTTATCTAAACTTTTGCCCCTTTAGTGGTAGGTTGGAACACAAACAAACAAAAGAGTATCTTTGTACTGGGATTTTTTCGAAACTGTCAGTAGGTTAAATCCTGAATTTATGCAAATTATTTTCGAAACAAGAGCCTCTAATCGGGCTTCTGCAGTTGTAACGTTTGCATAAGGAAATTATTTTATTGAAATATTGGTAGTTGTTTGCAAGTATCAGAGATTTTTACTTTGTGTATTTGAAAAAAATTGAATTAGATAAGTCACTGTATTGTAGCTTATAATTATTCTCCGTGTTTTTTTTGTGAATTTGAGTGTTGCCAGTTTAGAAACTGGATCAGATGAACGTCGCAAAAGTTTGCGACGAACACAAAGGTTACAGAAAGTGAATTGGCAAAATGATCTTTCAGTCGAGCAAAACTATTGGAGTTATTTCACATGGAGCGTTTTTCTCAGCTAAACTTGTAATTCCTTTTGCCTATTTTCAGAATGTTGTTGCAAGCATATCTATCAGCCACTGGTTGTGCCCTTGGAACAGCGCTAGGACTTAATGCAATAGTAAAGGTGAGACTTGCATGAAACGATCAAAGCTTTTATCTTTTTCTATCAAAGTAGATATCTACATGATAAACGATGGATAACATGATAAATCGCTATAATGTCTTGAAAGCAGTGCTTTTGTAGTATGCTGGTGTATTTTTCAAACCAGTTGGTCTAGAAAAAGATATATTGCGAGAAAAAAGAGGCTTTGCCATGCTCAATTCTCTTTTGTTAACGAGTTAACAAGACATTCTAAAGACATATTACTCTTATCATTTACTATATAAACGCTTATTCTGAACTTGCTAAGGGGTGAATTTTCGCACTGGACAAAGGCTCTCGGATTTCTCGGTTTCCCATTAGACACATGCTTTCTCAACGGTAGGCGATAAAATCTCCCCACTTAGGTGAAAACTTCCACTTTCAAAAAGCTTTAGTAAAAGAAATGTTTTGCTTAGTTTATAATTTGCACTTGCCTCCCCTTTCTTTTAAATTTGGTTTGAACTACGCGCATCCTACCTATTTTCAGATGAAAAACCGTAGTTCTCTGTCACAAATGATTGTTACAGTATCTTTGTCACATCAGTCGAACTGCTAGACATTGGGCTCTGTTCTTAACAGTGGCGAAGCTTTCCATCCCAACCTATTTGCCCTGCTAATGGGGGAAATGCTGCTCCTGTCCTCTTCACACTCATAATAAGATAACCCTAATTTTACGAGCTTTTTGGACATCAGTTTCTAGCGGCTACCATCTTTAAGTGGTAATTGTTCTAATCAAGATGTAAATTCTCAATGTAAATAGTTTGTTTTGTTATCATGATGAATTTTGTTTGTTTGTAGAAACTGCCTCCAATTGTTGGAAGATTTGTACCTTTTGTGGCTGTTGCTGCTGGAAACTGCGTCAACATTCCACTCATGCGACAAAGGTTCATGAAAACTATCGGTTTTTCATGTTATCTTCTTAGAAGCAGAAATGACTGATATATCTTCTAAGGGCTATGATATTTTAGACAAAAATATAATTTTCTTCAGTTTTGGAGCCTTCGGAGCTCTAATAGATAAAAAATATTTAGAGTGCATAAGAAGCCTTTTGAAATCCAATCAAATTTCCTTGATGTCATTTAAAACGACAGTCGTGAATATGATCTGGTAATAAAACCTCAATATGGAATGTCAAATTAGAATGATGGTTCATTAAATTACAATTTATTGCTTTAAAATATAGTTGAGGTTAATAGTTAAGGTTCTTCCGATGTCGTGATCTGACCAGGGAGAGAAGAGAATAACCTTTCTACCTTACCGTAATTGTCATACACTTCATACACTTCATACTTCATACATAATCATACACTTCCATTACCTTGGGTTCTCAAAGTCTCCTTCTGCTACAGTTACAGTGGCTTTCTATTGTTATCAGCTGCTCTGTCGAAATATTTTGAAAACTACTGAAGACCGCCAGGCGATCATTTTTCTGCAACAGTTTATCATGCACTTGAATATCTTTTTGTAAACTTTGTTTGTATCTTTTTCAAAGGGAATTAATTCATGGAATTCCAGTCTTTGATCATGACGGAAATCGTTTAGGTGAATCAAAGGTAATTTCTGCGTGAAGTTTTATGCCTCATTCTTTCATTTTCTCTAATAGAATAATGCACACGAAAATGGCTCAGAACTCTAACGCAAAAGAAAATGTGACCCTCACATCGTACTTACGTGTTAAGGGTGACAGTTGTGGAGGATTTGATTTCTAACCAATGTGTGGTCTTTGAGTTAGGGTAGCTGTGATAGTGTAAAAAGTCTACCATGTGTATAATATTGGCATGTATATTTGTTCGATGCTTACAATGGTGCTCAAAATTGAGCGATAAGGAAATGCGGTAAAACGTGTACCAAGATCTGCGTGTAGAGAGCTGCATGAAAGGGAGCATTTTAAACCACTAAAGCTGATATCATTTATATCATGCAGTCAGTCAGTTTGATTTGAAACAAGGGTGATGGAAAATGAGGGTGTTGAACTCCCTTTTAAGCCGAGCAGTTGTCTTTTTGGGGCTAGTCATAAATATCATAAAGTAAAGATGAAAGATAACGATACGGTTATATGATAAATTACAGGAGAATTCTTTGTATTGTTAGGTTGCAGCAGAAAAAGCCATAGCTATGACCATAATATCCCGGATTTCAATGGCACTCCCTGGGATGTGTAAGTTCTCTATTTTTTCTATAATTTACAGTGCATTTCTAATGAGTTTTTATTGAACTTGAAAGCAATATCTATCAACTAGGGTCAAAGGTATTTCACCGGGGGTTATTTAAATCCTAGACGTTATTGATGTAAAGATATCGATCTACTTCTTTTCCCATTCGATGTTAAGGTATCTTTCTTTATTCCATTCCATCCCATTCCATTCATTAAATGAATTTCATCCAAATGTTAACTGTACTTATTCTCCACTTCTTTATTATCAATGTTTTAACTTTTTTAGCTTGAATTTTTTGGGAATCATGTAAATAAGGTCTTCGCTTTATCCTCCTCACGTATTGCCTTCTTTTTTAGGTATCCCGCCATTTTTTATGAATCGTCTTGAAGAAAAAGCGTTTATGAAGGTAATTAAAATAAATGATCTTACAAATGTATCATTTTCCACACTTCTTTGCATTTAGATGGCATTTGCCACCGTTGGTGTATCTAAGGCTATTTGCTTCTGAAAATGCTTAGCACGAAAGCCTCGCCATCCAGGAACACATTAACTGTACTGTTTCCTCTACCTTCCCCTTTTTCGCATCCCCAATATTAACTGTGATTAAAATCCTTTTTTCAATTGTCCCATTTTAATGCTCGTCCTCATTTGCAATGACGATGTCTTTAACTGTTTAAAGGCAGTTTCTCGTGTGTTGACAGTATGTAGTCTGAATAATGGGATTGCAAATGTTCATGGGTAGCAGATTGCAAGTGTTCAGTGGTAGCATAGGGTCTTTAATTAAACTCTACTTCCCCAATGCATCAAGATGTCTTTAGGCTCTAAAGCTACGTAGTTTTTTCATTATTGAATTAAGTTCATTTGTAGTCAATATTGACACCCTAAATGAAATGGCCTATTTGCTAATCATAGGCAGTTGATGAATTTCATCTTCGTTATGCAATTTACCTTCAAAATTCGCCGTCCTGATAATTTGAAATTTTCCGATTAATTCAGGTCAACTTTGGATAATTTGAACAAGCGGTTTCCTTCAAGAGTTAAGATTATCGATACCTGCAAGCATTTTAAAGTTGAACAGACAAAAGCACCTTTCAAAGCTAAACCATGTATAACAGTCACAACGGCAAATGGTTAGCACCTTGCAGTATATCAGGCATAAGCACACTTATGAAATACCTTTACTTGAAGTAGCATCTAGAGCTTAAAAAAGAGTTCAAGATTTGTGTAAACCAAGTTTGTAGGTTATGTTTCTGGTAAAGCAGCATGTGAAGAAAAACATTTGTTGAAGAAATTATTTTAGCGAGCATAGTTTTGATAGTCCCTTGATATTTTTGGTTGCTTTTACAGAGAATGCCATGGTTGGCGAGTCCCATTCAGATTCTGATGGTTGGCTTTTGGTATGCTATTTACATATTGACTTCCACTTTCAAATGGCCATTAAAATTTACTCAACGATTTCATTCATAATGAAAACTTAAAGTTGTGATTTAGTTCTGATTTTGATGGATACATGGAGTTCTGTTTCAACCACGATAACTTTCTACGTCTAATTCCACAATGATATGACGATAATCTTACGATAGTGCTGTTAATTTCAAGATCTTATTCACAATCAGCCAAATTATGCAAAAGTTTCTTACAGAGGGCAGGGAAATCTATTGACCTTCGTATGATTTATTGATCAAAGACCTCTACTATTGAAGATGTTTCTGGCTTCCTATGCGTAGGCCTTTTAAATCACCTGCGGGTGAATCAATTTTGAAGATTTTAGATCTAGAATCTAAGCTTCAAGCTACGAAACGTTTTGTATGATGCACGATTTTCTCCCAGAGACGTTTTACTAAACTGTTGCAAGCAAAATCAAAAATATGTATTATAAGTATAAACTCTCGGTCTTCGAAACTCTTACACTTTAAAACTTCTGTTCCTCTGTAAGTCTTTTTTATTTGTAGATATGCTAGGCTTTTCCTTTTAACAGGTGTTATTCATAACCATAGGTGTCATAATCTATTTTTTACTAACAGTCAGACATCAGTCAATAGCAATGAAATGTTCATTAAACTCCAGCAAACACTTTTATGTCATGGTATTCCTTTGCAGTTTGGTTTTTGCAACACCACTTTGTTGTGCAATATTTCCCCAAACAAGGTAAGAATCAGACATGCACGTTTTGCCTCACAATTGATTCAAATTGGATTTTGCATTTTTCCGGGAGAGATTTTCTGCTTATTTTCGCCTGAAGGTTTGAATTTATTAGGAAAGTCGTATAATTCTTGAACATGATAAGGTAAATTTCATGGTAACGCTAAGTCAAAGAAACTTTCAATAATTTCTTATATTTTCAACCATCATGCCAAATGGTTTTGCTTTTTTTATAGCTCTATGACATTTGATAGCCTTGAGAAAGATCTGCAAGAAGCAATTCTAAAGAAAGACCTCGCCTATGATCGTGTATATTTCAACAAAGGACTTTGAAATTTTATGGAGTTTTGGGTAGTTTTATGGCTTGTTCATTAATCGTGTTTGTCTGTTGCAAAATATATAGCAATGCGAGATTTTAACTCGAAAAAAAGCTTTAAAAATATATAATAGCCTTTCTTGGGTATAATTTTCCTGTTGCAGTACATTATTCCTCATCGAAAAATCTGATATTTTATTCATGCCAAATATTGCTGATGCTATAGAATTATTTACATGATGTTGAGATGGTGTGAGGTACATTATTAAGGTAATATACAATGTGCATGTACTGTTTTGGAGTTTTTGTCTTTAAACCTTGCAATTCCTGTAATACACAATGGTAACGAAAAGAGGAAGGCTGCTGTCTTTAGAGTAGCAATTGAGCACAAAGACAACTTTCTTCTAAAAGTTTATCTGCTTTTTATAACGACATAGATCGGTACAATATGTAAAAATAGCCTGAGATTAGGGCTAGAGCTAGGAACTTGGAATTACAGGGAAAAACGAAAATAAAGTTATTCCTTTTGTCATTTTTCTCGTCTATCCCTTTACCGTCCAAACCTGACTTCAGACTAAAACGAAAAATATCATTGTTAGTTATTCAAATTTAACTATATTTTGGGATTTTTGGTATTTGGAAGTTGCTATTTTAATGGTGCTTTTATCATATATGCAAGCCAAGTTTGGTTCCAGGAAATCTTGTTTGAAGTTTAGATTTAAAATCTGCTGAATATAGGGACGGGACTCTTAATTTGATTAGTACATACATCAGCTTTAGTGTGAATGTAATAAGAAACTTTAATCGAAGTTAGATGAGGGGATAAAATACATTAACCTACCAACGATCATACGAAGTTTGATCAGAAGCCAGGTACGTTCGCTGGGGTTCCATTAGTTGTTAGGTGAATAATCTTTGGACTAACTCGAAAATTCTTTATGGACACGAGTTTGAGTTTTTCCTCTTGAAAATTTGTTTTGGGGTTATATGAAAATCACTGATTCAGGTCTTTCAGTTGGTACTAGATACCGTATAGAAAGAAATGTACACACTTTGGTGTAAAAAGCAGGACCTTCAAAGTTTTAACTCCGAGTTTAGAATTGGCTTTGAAAAAAACAAACATTTTGAGTCACACGTAAGCTTTTCGTCTGACATTCTTCAGAGTATAAAATGTCATGCTAGGAAATATATATACCCAGCTGTGGATGGAAATAGGCCAATTAGAAACGCGAGTTGCACGCTTAACTCAATCATCTGGGTATGAGGGTTTAAAAACAGACTTAAAGGTATTCCTCCAATCAGGCCCGTTGTAAGGGTTTCCTGGTACTTTTAGGTGTGGTTCTATAAAATGAGAAGGAAAGTGCTCACAAGGAAATCCAAAATGTAGAAATAGGTTACTCTTTAGCATTAACAAGGGGGCTCTGTCTCCTGAGTTCCCCTCCCGCTCTAGAAACCTGCTTTCACTCTTGGGTTCTGTCAGTGCTATGATATCGCTATAGGAATGAGTCCGAAAGTGAATCTACGCACTCGGTGCCCCGTTTTTCTACGAGCATGCTAGTGCCACGCAACGATTGGGACCATTGCGAAAGCTGTGCCTGAAAATCGTAACCGGGGCACTCTTCTACTTTCGAGTTAGGGGAGGAGGCTGGAGGCCATGCTAGCAAAAAGATGTTTGTTAATGAGTGATAGTATAGAGAATGGTTGTAAAACTTGTGAGTTATTGCCCTTGGTTTCAATCAACTCAGAAACGTTGAATGGATCCGCTCCGATCCGCTCCGATCCGCTCCGATCCGCTCCAATCAGCTCCGATCCGCTCCGATTAACCTTATCAAACCCGTAGTCTTTGCGAACCCCACCCTCGTTTGTGTTAGAAATTTCCCACCGTCAAGAGAAACGAACATTCAAGTGCTAAATGAAGACCTTATGTGACGTCACACTTACTTGTATGTTCCTCAGTAGGGCGAGAGCAAACAACTTTTGCAAATGGAAAGCAGCGACACGCCCGTTTCCGTTTTCGTATTAGGCGATTTGCTTTTCGGATGCGAGGTATATAATCTGGAACAATGGCCATCCGTGTTGGATTACAAAGATACATAACTTCTGACGTAACATAACATAACATATAGTATATAACATAACATATAACATAATATTAAGAAGAAGAAGAAGATTGATATAGAGGAAGATTGTCGTTATTGCCTGCGGAATGCCCATCATATTGATGTATTTGTAGTTTTTATGTACGATGTACTGTTTTTTCGAAAGCGGAGGTATGTTACCGTTACCGGAGGTATGTTTTTAGCGTTACTGGAGTTGGTCTGAACTCGAAACAAGGAACTTTGTATACACTCTTTTTTTATAAGAACAATTTTATCAGAAAACGAGCCTCAAAATTGGTCAAAAGTTAATTAAGAACAAATTAAGAACAAGCTGAGGCTGAGCTTCTGCAAAATGCATATTTTGAACAGCGTTTTTTCTCAAAATCGAGGATTTTTAGCGATGTGTGGGTGCTTTTCGGTGAATATTCAAATTTGTCAGCAAATTAAGGCTGTCTCACTCACTTTGTTGGCAAATGAGGCCTGAATAGAACACCACCCTAGAGCGAACAAGCTAGCAATCGCACTGCTTATACCCTATTAGATTAAGAACAAATTAAAAACAATCCAGCCTCAGATTTTCGAAAAAAATAAGAACAGTCAGCATGAACTTAACTTTACTGGTTCTTATAAAAAAATAGTGTAGTAAACCTGAAATTTCAAAATTGATAGAACCCAAACCCCAACCCCCTGAAAATTTGTTCGCCGGAGCCCCTTGCCCCGAGCATAGACACAATCATTTAAAACGTAGCTACCGCAAATCCTTGAATTGGCCCCCCCCTCGAAAAATCCTCCCCTCAAATAAGCCCCCACTCTAAAACTACAAACTGTCAATAAGTGTAAAACCACTGAGTTTACGAGGGTTTTACAGGCTTGTGTTCGCTGATTCGGCAGTAAAAGAAAGTACAAAATTCAATAAGCGTGTTCTGATTTCTTGGCTCGACGGTTCCTATAGTTTCATCTAATTCAACAACGACTAAACGGGTCACTTCGGCAAAACTGGTATGCTTCAAACTTCTTGAAATAACAACGGCTATCCGAACATCTGAAATCACGTCTAAACCTTAGCGACTAAATTAAACGACTGAATTACTCACAAAAGCCAACAAATATTTTACTCAACAGCAATTAAGATAATTAGGACAATTATACAAAACAGAACAAAGGAGCTGATCACAAGACAGGCTGTTACATGGAAATTGGCCAAGGTGCTAACAAAAGTCAAGCACGCAAATGAAATTCAAACAGCAAACAAGCAAAAGTTTCCTTAACGAAATTCTGTCTTTTTACATAACTCTCCCCTTTAAGGACAAGCGTCCTCGCTTGCTTCAAGTGACTCCATTCCAAAATTGTTTGGTACCGCTTGGCGTGCTATGTTTCCTGACAATCTTGTTTGCTTCCCCTGCTCTTTGGTAATAGCTGCCTCCCCTATTTGCATCTCCTTTATAAATCGACTGTTCTGGTATGACACAATCTTCCTGTTCATTGGGTGCGATTTCATTATTTTCAAATTCAAACTTTTTTTTGTCCCCTATCTTGTCTCGCAACATTTTCCCTTTTTCTGTGCATTATCTCTTCTACTTGACGTAAAATACATTTCAAGTTTTCAATTAGTTTGCAGATGTGCTGGAATTCTTCCTCAAATTGTGCGTCGTTATATTGGCTAAATTTGGTAGAAAACCAACGAGGAAATCCATTCGTGCGATAAGCTTTTGGTGGATGAATAAACGGGCGACTGCGACAGTACTTGACAACATGTCCAACCATTTTACAGTAGTTGCAGACTGGACGACCGTCTGTTGCACGCAAATATAGCAAGTCATTTCTACGATTAAAATTCGACATATTTCTTCTAAAATACCAGCTTTCTTTTTTTTACCAATTTCTCCCGTCACGTCGTGGTCACCAATGTAAAACCACTGAGTTTACGAGGGTTTTACAGGCTTGTGTTCGCTGATTCGGCAGTAAAAGAAAGTACAAAATTCAATAAGCGTGTTCTGATTTCTTGGCTCGACGGTTCCTATAGTTTCATCTAATTCAACAACGACTAAACGGGTCACTTCGGCAAAACTGGTATGCTTCAAACTTCTTGAAATAACAACGGCTATCCGAACATCTGAAATCACGTCTAAACCTTAGCGACTAAATTAAACGACTGAATTACTCACAAAAGCCAACAAATATTTTACTCAACAGCAATTAAGATAATTAGGACAGTTATACAAAACAGAACAAAGGAGCTGATCACAAGACAGGCTGTTACATGGAAATTGGCCAAGGTGCTAACAAAAGTCAAGCACGCAAATGAAATTCAAACAGCAAACAAGCAAAAAGTTTCCTTAACGAAATTCTGTCCTTTTACATAAGCCCCCCCCCCTCGAATAAGCCCCCACTGCTACCGTATATTCTCGAATTGGACCCCTCAATTTTGCCATCTGAGGTTGCCTAAGGTGTTTTATTGAATTACCACGACATATTCGTACTTTTGGTAGTAATTAATTAAATGCTCATAAAGAAATTCCTACTAAAATAAACAAGGTCTTTCAATAATGTATTCTTATTGTCTACAATAATTTTATAAGCCCCCCCCCTCGTATAAGCCCCCCTCTCGAATAAGCCCCCGTCCAAAAATACCAAAAATAAATAAGCCCCCAGGGGGCTAATTTGAGGATTTACGGTATTTGATTTTTTTCCATGAAGTTTACCCAAAAGTGGGGTGAACATTTTAGGCATGATTTTTTTGTCTCCCAACGGTGGCCACGCGATTTTTAAAAGGTCAAAAATTTGGCTTCCCGCATTTATGTGTTTAAAAACTTGCGTATCAATTATTTCGTTTTAGACGTAATCCTATCCTTTTATGTCTTTTATTACCTTTTTATTGTTATAAAACCGAAAATGTTTTTTTCTATTATAAAGATTCTTTATCCAATATAAGCTTTTCATGCTATGGTTTCGGCTTGCATTTCAATGGCCAGTTCAAAAAATAACCGTTGGAATTGGATCAGTGGCTTTGAGAGGGCGCCGTAATTCAAGAGCACTAGAAAAGTTTCTTCTTCCACACATATTATTGCACTAAACAGAACATAATGCTGCCATTTTCAAAAAGAACCTACTCGTTCAGAGCAGGTGATGTAAAGGAAGCTAACAAGGACAATGCTACTCCTATAAGGAAAATCAAATCTCGCGGGCGAACCTTCATTGGTTCAAAAACCCCAAATGAAAACACCCAGGAAGAAGCTGGTTTCCCATTGACTCCATTCACAAGAGGTAGTGTCCGGCTTAAAAGTATCCGTAAAAGGAAGATGGCAAGTAGAGACGATGTGAAAAACGACGAGACAAGTTTCAAGAGGGTATGTTGTATCAGCAGTTTACATGTTGATTTTTTTTTGGCTCAGAGTTGCGACCAGTTAGGCCATCCACAACAGGCCTAGACGCGCTTATCAATCATCACGTATAATGAGATGAATCATTGCTCTAGTTTTGTTTTATTATCAATGCAACTAATTTTCACGTTTCAATGCGCTTTATGTTGTTGAAAAGTTTTACCTACCGAAAATGTAAAAGCATTTGAAAACTTAATTCCTCCAAATAAATAAATTTATACTAATCGAGTCGTGGAATTCAAAGCGGAAAGAAAGTTGTATCATTTGGTTTTAAAAAAATATCTACCAGCATTGTGTGGAACCAAACAAGGTGCATAATTCATGAGAAATTAGCAAGTTTTGGAACTGTCATGATAAATTCTATAATAGCAACTGCATTTAAAGATAATTTGCTAGATACAATACAGTTTTGAATTGCAAAGAAGCCATTTCTTGCTATTTGTTTGTCAAAGATCTCATATAACGAAAATATTCAGAAATTTGAGATCCCGGAAAATTTATTTTTACAAGAGTTGTCTGTGAAATGTCGAATTGTCGACGACGTGTAAATAGGTTACTGTTCCGATAATAATGTTCACAACATTTGTATTGTTGCACCTAAAGTCGCAAAATTATCTTTCGATAGCAATTTTTTCAAGATCTTTGTGTTTCCATCACTATTCGACCGGAAATACAATTCTAAATTCTAATAAGTCTCAAGTTAGATTTTATATTTATCCATACTCTGCTTTGCTTTGTTAACATAGTAACTATTTTATTTTGTTATTCAGCTTAGTTATTTATGTAAAATTACTGTTTTTTATCTGTGGGAAGTGTGCTATTTTGAAAGTTGTTTCTCAAAACCACATTCCTAAATAGGAGGATTTTTGGTTAAGCAAAGGAAGTTGATTAGCATATGGTTTTTGTGCTTTGTGGTGAAACTATGAATAGATATTAATTATGTAGTCTTTTCAGAGGAGACTGTTAGAAAGAAGTTCTGAAAAATTGTGTTCTGTGAGCTACCAGATAAAAACACTTTGTTGTCCATGATCAAAAGTAAATTCTTCATGATGCCTAATTTGGTTTTTCCTATAAAGGGCAAAATGGTTGGAAAAGGAAGTGATGAAATTGAAGTTAAAATTGAGGAGAACATAAGAATGAGAGATGGAGTTACAAAGTTGCTGTCTGGATGTCATGATACAAGGCAGGCTATGGAAATTGGAAAGAACTTGTTGACAATTAATTCAAGAGTATTAAGCTTGATGTCATCATTGCAAAAGAAGAGATCAAGTAATATATTAAAAGATTACAACAAAAACCATAGGTAAATATTTCTGATTTGGTCATTTATGTAAACACTTCAGGCCACTAAAAATGTAAAAAAATATTTATATCTAAATTGTTTTCTAAGAATTGGATTCAACAGGAAATTTGCTAATGGAGTTTTTTCAACTGTCAGAGCTGGCTGCAAATCGCTCTTTATCATCCTTCTGTCTCTTACTGGCTCATTATCACACCCATTAAGTTTTTCCCAAGACAATACTCTTTGGTTAATGCTGTCATTATCCTAGAGAAAAATGAAATTAAAAATTCAAATGTGGTTAGAATAGCACTTGAATTATGTGAGGGAAAACCTTTGAAAATCATTAATATATTTATTAAATTAATATATCAATTGAAAGGAGTTCCACAAACATTTCTTTACTCAATGTCCAATTTAGTCCCAACTAATCAATTGTTCTGTTCTCATAATAAACATTATTTATGATTTTATATATATTCTTTAATTTTGTTTACTAATATCATATCAGACACCTCATGAAACTACTGTTTATATATATATATATATTGTCATTAACCTGCTTCAAATACTCTTTGTTAAGAAGTCATGCCTAGATTTCAATCTAAATAGCTTCAGTGGGTTAAATGAACTACCCTCAAATTTTTAACATTTTATAGTATGTAGTATATTTTGTATGAATGGTTTTTCTAATATACCCCATAAAACATTCAATCTTTAATTTACTTTTATAATTGTGCTTCCTTTTTGTTGTTTACTTTAATCTTGAATATTCAAAATAAAGAATCAATCAAGGCCATGTTTTTTAATTTCACTTGCATTTAAAATCATTCAAGTAAAAAGTCGGAAGTTTTAGCTGCATTTGCCATTTTTCTGATTGACTGGTTAAGAAACTATTTTTTTTAAAAAAGACATGATCCACTACATATATATATATAAATATATTCTTGTGTAAAAGTCAGTTTATTCTGTGTTTCAACTTTGTTATACTCAATGTGGAATTTTGACTTATTTTATAATTCACACAGCGATTCTGACATAACAAAAATCATTCAACCATGTCTTGGGGATATCACTGTATCAGGTATTTCATTTTGTTTGTATTATTTGTTCTGTTGGGTTCTCATTACAAGGACTGGATAAATCCTATGCCATGTAAAGGCTTAACCTTCTTCTGTAAAATTGTTTTTTAACAGCAATTATTAGCTCTTGTGTTCATTTAAGCTGCAGTTGCATTTAAATCAGCTGTCCTGACCTAGATTGGCAGAAAAGCACTGCCATTAATTTTGCACAGTATCATGAATGTCCTGTTGCTATTGCCTGACTAAGATGGCTTGCATTTGTAGTACAAAAACTTTTGGAAGTGTATTTGTGGGCTGATACCCAGTGTTTATTTGATTGAGTACCGATAGCCCCAGTTTTAAAATCTTTGTGATTTAAACATGATCTACTTTAGAATGCAGTTTATGTTAATGGCTTTGAAAAAAGCAAACATTTTGAGTATACTAAAGCTTTTTGTCTGACATTCTTCAGAGTATGAAATGCCAGAAAATAAATAAAAAACTCTACGCTAGAAAATATATATATCCAGTTGTGGATCGAAATAGGCCAATCAGAAAAGCAAGTACTTGACTGTTGAGGTTGCCCAATCAGTGTCACTTGCCTATTTAGAATGTAACCAGTGGAGTCCTAAGGTGAAAACAAACTCTTTCTGTCTACACAATACAAGTTTTTTTGTGCTTATGTCAATAGATTCCAAAACTGCTAGATGGAACGACAATCAGGCTTTACCAATAATCCGAAACATGGATTTTCCAGTAAATGCTGCCCGATGGCAGAATCGAATACTTTTAGATGTAGTTTTAGATCTGCAAAACCAAGGTGGCTGTTCTCTTTGGGGATGAGTTTTGTCTCTAATACTTAAAGGAACATGTGGTTTTATTCTATCCTCCAATGTTTGGGTAATGCATCCTATGTAGCCAAAGTCACACTGGCACATAAACTCATAGACAACAGAACTTATTTGGGTATAGGAGCGCAATCCTTTTGAATGAATGGAACTTGCCATTACAAATTGTTTCTTTGCTGGTAATCCGCATATTGTTTACTGGAGAACCCAGATTGTGTAAAAAACTATGATCGCAACATGTTTCGGATTATTAGTAAAGCTGAATGGTAAAGCACAAATAACCGTTATTGTGTAGACAAAAGGAGTTCGTTTTCACATTAGGGCTACATTGGTAACATTCTCAATAGGCAAGTGGCACTGATCAGGCAACCTCAAGAGTCATGCTTGTGTTTCTGATTGGCCTATTTAGATCCACAACTTGGTATACACTTACGTGACAAAAGTATTAGTATGATGGCCTCATAGCAAATGTGGTTAACCCTTTGCTCAAAGAACAACATAGAAAATCGGTGGAACATAATGAGATGGCTGGTTGAGATTTACAATTGCAATTTTACCAAATTGTAAAAATAAACATATATTTAATAAATTGTAAAAAAATAAACTTTAAGTACAATTTGCTTTATTTCATATTTTGCTGGATGATCTCCAGGAATCTGGCAGCCGCCATTCACATTGGAACTCCTGAAATAGTTTTGCAAGGAATTATCTTCGGATACAGGAGGAAATCTCAAAAAAATGCTAAAAGAGCTTACTTTTGGTCTTAGAAGATTTCATTTCTTTGATTTTTTTATGATAACTAGTTGTTTTCAATCACATTAAGGCTTTGACTTTGACAGGGTTATTGAAAGAACTTGATGTTATTATTTTTGAAATTTTTGTTACAATTGCAGGATAACTAGGTTTATTGTCTTGCTTAAAAATAAATGGTCTTTGCAAAGAATCATTTCTTGTTTCTATACTTGCCTGGGGACTTTCCACGAAATTGGACAAAATATTCAGCATTGATTCACTTCTCGCACAAAGCCAGCTTGCAGACGCCATTAGGCCCAACCAATAGTCGGGCTGCCCTGGCCTACCATTCTTTTAATTTTAGTCGGCATTGTTAACTTATTGGTCTTGTGAATAACATGTGTTGAAGACTCGCTGCAATCAAACTTTCTTGCAGTTTCAGCAAAGGAATTACTTACTAGACCCAAATGTTTTATGCTTCTCATTCTCTTTCTGGTCACTTTTGTGTTTTCGGTATTGAAACTAAAACATTGATATTTTCCATTTCTCCCTGAAATTTTGTTACTTTTCTATCATAGAAAGGTAGGAAATAAATTGAATTTGCTAGGTATCGTGCTTTTGCTGACACCATTTCTAGAATCCGGCCAAAACAGCAAAATTTGTTCAATCAATGTTAGAATGCTAGTTTTGGAGCCACCATTTTGCTATTCATAGTCCCAATACTTTTGTCACGTAAATGTATATATTTCCTAACATAGAGTTTTTGATCCATGTTATAGCATTTTATACTCTGAGGAGTGTCAGACGAAAAGCTTTAGTATACTCAAATGTTTTTTTTAAAAGATATTTTCAAGTTTTGTACCACCAAAAGTATTATAAACTCCAACATCAAGGAAGTATACGGCTATTTGAAAAATTTGTTAGAATATTAGACAGAAAAGGCTAGTTCTTTTAAAATAATAGGTTAGCATGATACTTTTCTGTTTCTCATGCTTTATGGCTATAAATTTTTGAGAATGCTGATTTCTGCTTCCCTGTGAATGGCTGTGATTCCATTTATCTTTATATCAATGATACATTTTAAAGTTGGCTGAGCCGCAAAGTTTCTTTGAATATGTATATATTTGTATCTAACTATAAAATGTACATTTATCTTGACTCACTAATATCTCAATAGGTTATCAATTCATCCTGGTGTATTAATCATCAAGTTTTGAAAAAGCATCCATGTCATAGTGTTTTTGTTGTCCTATTTTAGATATACTGTAATTATTACTTATTTTTTAGATATTAGAATCCCATTGATGTGGAAACAAGATGCTCATTTCAAAACTAAAGCTGGAGGTAAAGTATTGTTTGTTTTCTTGTTACCTCAAATCAATTTAAGTCAATCTAAAACTCCTTTTTCAAACTATAGGAATGAAAAAGTATTGAACTGTCTCAAGTGAACATTGTGACAATGCTCAAAATGACAAGCTTTAAAAATTCAGGGTATTTTATAAGTTCTGAAAAGAATTTATCAACTTGTAAAACACAGTAATTACAAAACATTGATAAAATGTTTACCTGTAAAATATCCAAACTTCACAACGCTGGAACAAGCCCTGGGCAATGTTACATGATGCAAAAATGCTGCTGAAATATATTTCATCCAAATTGATTCAACATTTTTCTTATAATGCAACCTGTAATTGCAGCCACGTTATATGCAACAAGGGACCTGCAAGTTTTCAAACCTGGGGGGCTAAAATTAAGCTTAAAACATAAATAGAAACAACTTTATCTCCAGTTTTATGTTTTATGTTAGGTTTTGTAATGTGACAGTTTCTATGTTTGTTTTAATCTGAAGTCAAAATTAAATCTTTGAAGTTTGCAAACTATGAACTTTAGCAAGTTTGTCAATGTTTCAAATATATGTTAGTTTTTTTATAGACACAGTCTGGAAGGGATTGATTTTTGTGCTTATTAGGCTTTAAGTCTAGGTTTACAGGCCATTAAATTAGCATTTTCTCAAAGTTGAATAGTTATGAATTTGAATAAGTTGTTACATCATAGATGTTAAAAAAGGAAAGTCTTACTTCTCAAATTCAACTGCAAGTGCATTATATTAAGTTCGAATAATGCATTAGGACTGAAGCCAGCAGCTAGGTATCAGAAACTTCACCCAGGACACTGGTTTAAGTATAATTGCTGATCAAAATATTACTATATTTTACAGAACAACCAGCACTGCTTTATCACATGTTTTGTTTGCTGAAAATAAACGACCAAGTATTGGATACACCCCTGTTTCAGTTCAGCCAGGTTGATACAGATGTGACTTTTGATGATGTCTTTACTTTGTAAGTTCTAGTCTATTTATTTTGATTTAGTTTCTACATTGCACATCACAAAATATGAACAGGGGGTTGCTGGTTGAAACTATATATCACTCAAAGAAATGGCCTGGCACTGAACACACCTGTTACATCTATGACAGAAGTTTTTAAATGTCTTTAAAGAAAGCTATTTCAAAAAGAAGACATGTTGAACTTACTCTCAGGTCAGGTTAATAGAATGTCATTGTATAGATGTCTTTGTGGGTTGTGCAGAGGTGTCGTAAAGGCCAAATCGTCTTGTTGCTGCTACATCTCCATTATATCTGTAAATGCTAAGAATTTTCTTTACAGTCGTTTGTACAAGACAACTTTGAAGTTGAAAGTCATACAAAAGCTACAATATATTAATCAGGATGTGTGTTTTTAGGTAGCAAACGAGTTGTTGTAACAAAAACGTAATATAATTAAGACAAGATTAGGCACCATGAGTCGTTGGGCTAGCAGGGGCCATAGCCCCCCCCCCACTTTTTTGCAATAATAGGCTAGAAAGTTTTTTGGAAAGTTTACTCTAACACAACTTTGGATCGTTTACTCCTATGTAGTAGCAGTTTTTCTTGACTGGGAACCCTTTTTGTTCATTTTCTAGGTTCATTTGGTTCATTTTAACCTTTTTATTGATATGATGACTTTCCTAACTTGGTTAGCTTGGTGTTTTAAAAGCTAATTTTATCTATTATGTAGTTATTGATATTTTCCCTGAGCAAGACTGTTTAGAAAAACATCAGTACGAATAAGAAAGCATTTTTAAAAGCCCCGTTTACGGCGTTCTAGAGAGCGTGGCCTCAAAATTGTTCGATGACATCATTTTCAGCCTCTTTTAAACTGGTGCGCGGTCCGAGCAAGATGAAAGTGTAAAACGATAGAATAGTGTTGACGACAGTGACCTCGTAAAGTAGACAAAAGCTAAGCACGATCATGTAACAACTGCTTTGCTTTTCATATAGCATATTTGAGTTTGTAAAAACAGACTGCCTGCCTGGCTATATGTCCATCGTTTAACGATAACTCGCTTCTTAAAGTATTTTTTCAAAGCAAACAAACTTTCGCTGCGAGGTTCTGGCGGATTATCAATAAAACTTTAATCACATTGCAGAAGGAAAATCTTAGCAAGCGCTTTAACATCAATATACGTTAATAGCATGATAATATAGCTTAATATACTTCTATTCTAAATGGGATTTCCTATCCAAATACAGCCGCAGTGTTCCTGCAGACTTCAAACTAGAGATCGAGGCTTATTATTCTGTGGTGCAAAACCCGGATAATCCAGCCTGGACTCCGATGAGAACACCAAAGAAGTCTGTTTATAGCTCAGCGCCGCACTACTGTCTGGTTGCACACTCCCAGCTTACGGTGAACGACATCAAAGAAGGTTTCGTTGTATCAGATTTCACCATGGGTAATTTCATTTACGTTTTCTTTTGCCGTGTATATGTCTTGCTTCATGTAATTTTGTGTTTAAATGACTAGCATCAAGGTAAACAAGCTTTGAAAAATTCATTTTTACTTTTACAGGAATTGTTATATGGACCTTAGATACAGTCGTATCCTGTTAAGGGGATAAGGAATTGGTCCGACTTAGCGATTTTCCGACTCATCCAGGGTACGACTTATGACTCATTTTAGGTAGAAAAAACCCGACGGGAATTGAAAATAAGTCGGACTTCAAGTGAAAGTTCGAGTTTCCCAGGGTACGACTTGATGGTATTCAACTGTAATACTGTTTATGTAGGGTTGTTAAGGATAAGCACAGCAGGCATTCTGAACAGTTCAGGTTTGACATTTCAAAGGCTTTTGCAATCAACTCTCAGTAATCGATGGCAGATTTATTTATATAGCCAGCATATTTTGTGTACTTAAGCAGATCTCAATTGGCCTCATCTGGTTTTCTTCTAGGTGGAGTCGGGGCCAGTGCAACAGCCGTGCTAGGCCACGATGATGATTTCCCCGACAACCCCTTATCTCTTTGGGGTCACTTTTCTTGTCAACTACACGCAAGACCAAAATGTTTGTTGGAACAAAAATTAGATGGACATCTCCTGTTCCAGGTAAAATTTATTGTTACTTGTTTTGAAAACATGAATTCGAAAATATGTGCCAAGTCTCTTACAGACAGTCAAAACCCCTTGCGTTGAACAGCATTGCCATAAACTTTAAAGTAACCAACAATTGTATAAGACCGACGCGGGAAGTAAAGGAATGCAGTTGCTGCTTGCCCGCCATTTTGAACAGTGAAAGCTTTTCACGGGGAATGCGCATGCGATTGCAAAACCTACCCAGTTTCATTCGACTCTCTGTTAAGACTACAATTTGAACAGAGATTACACTGTGTGAATTCAACTGAGGTTGAACCCGGGTATTTTTTTTCATAATGTAAACTGGGCTTGAATCATTTATTGATAATAATAGCCGCAATCAAAGACGAAGTCTGTCGTCAGATCATCCCCATTTAAACATGGGTATTGATCAATGTACCCTTTAACTGTCGTTCTCTGACAATTTATACATGCTTCCTAATACCAGAACAGCGACCTTTCAAGATTTCACAGAGAGCTATCTTTACTCTCTCTCTCTCTCAATCTGCGCAGAATCCAATGGCATTTAAAGGGCTATTTTTGTTATTTTGTATTAAGAATTTTTTCCTGCAAGCTGCAACGCTAATATTGTAAACCTTGAATCACATCAGAGTGCCAATGGTGGGCAGCCGGTCTGGGAGAAGTACTACTGCCGGCTTAGAAACTGTACGATACAGTGCTGGAAGCAATTTCCATTGAAAGATGAAGGCTTCACGATGAACCCTGGGATGTCTATAAGACTGAGAAAGGTACGTTTATTTGTCATCTTTCTATTTGATTCAGTGGATTTAACCCCCACCTCCCTATTTTAATGCGCATTCAAGTTCACTGTAGCCCTCAGTACTACGCGAAATGGACTTCCTTATATTTCATTATCCAAGGCGAAAATCAAAGACAATGTTTTGACTTTTCTTTTGGCAAGACCAGCGGTGCTCTGACTCTCCATTTGATTTTTAAATTGCCATGTAGCGGGTCTGTATTTCTTATCACCCAAATAGTGATCTCGATCCTCTTGATGATTTTGATGATACGAACGCAAACCAGCATCAAACCGGGATCATTGTAAACCGAACCGAAATCTGATCTGCAATACGTATCTTCTACGCCTTCTTGTCCATTATTCAAAGCATTAACTTAAGAAATAGTTTTTGAATTATAATCTCGTTTGAGCTTGATTTCCAAGAAAAGTTGCAACTTCCCGCGTTTCCCGTCCTTTCAACCTAGAAGCCAGAAAATTAATTGCTTTCTATCTCCTGAATTTTGTTCTCATCAATTCTTTTCATTCTATTTTTGCTCCTGCCACTTCTATCCATTACGTCTTATCTCAAACCTTTTGCACATCATCATTTATCAGAACTTAGGTTTTTGATAACCTTTTCATGTGATGTCTTGTGTTTTTAGGGTATGAAAATTCGCGTTGAAAAAAGCACCGACGATTCGAATCGCGGTGCTCTTATTTTGACATCAAAGAAAGCTGAAGAAAAAGAGCCTGTATTCGCTTTCGAAAGTGACGATGATTTTAAATCATGGGAAAATGGCTTACAGCAAGCTCTTGTTGACATCAAGGCATGGAAGGCAGCATGCTACACTCTCGTAAATATAGAAGAGTTTGAAGCGAAGAAAAAAGCCTTCAATAAAGCTCTGAATTCCTTCGAACAAAACGTGGTCAACACTGGTGAGTTTCTGTTGTAACTGATTCTAGATGGTATAAAACAGCAATATATACAGTCTTTACATAAACGATTTATGAAGTATGACGTCATTGTCTGACGTCATGTGGTTTTGTTTGTAAGTATAGGAAATTGTTAATGTGATTATTCTTAAAGTTTACTTAACCTTTTTAGCAAAGCGTTTCGTATCCTTAGTCTCCTTTGTTTTGTAGATACAACCGTTAAAAGAGAGATTAAAGCCCCTTCTTTCGCCTACAGAGATGTAAAATGTCGATCCCCATCTTTTCTTATATGAATATTCGAACTGTTTGACTCGAATACTGAATGTTATTTTAGTCGAAGTTTGTTCAGCTTCCGACTAGTTAGGCTTCTAATTCAATGTATTCTGTCGCAATTTTCTTGCACTAAACACACCACTTTGCTTTGGTGCATGGCAAAACGTTTACTTGTTCAATGTTATAAGGCGATTTACCTTTGTATATTGACATATTGATGCATATCTTCAAAATGTCACATTCGTCTCTGCAAATCCTATAGCAGAGTATTTCAATGGAGCACTTGAGTGCTTTAAAAATCGGTAGCAAAGTATCATACATAGGCCTCATTGACACCTTGTTTGTTCACGATTGTAATAAAGTGGTTTTTGACTTATTTCGTCTCTCTGTCCTCAGATATCAGGCAGATGTCACCTGTTTTGGCGCGTAAGTCTACGAAGACGTCTTCTAAAGCATCGCTATCATTTAGTGAAATTACGCCAAAAGTACGATCGTTTTATGACCAAATAAATATTGCTAGCGTTAAAGACAATGTTGATAGTGGTATCGTATCTAATGGGGAGAATCAGGAAAATCCTAAAATAGAAAACGCATCAGAAACGATCGATAATGATGCTTCAAGTGTAGAAGGATCAGATCGTTTAGAAACAAATGCAGCATTTGCCTCTGGGGTGGAAGAGAACAAGAATGAAGAAAATGCTGAAGATATGGAAAGTACGGATGTTGACAAAGCCAAGGAGGAGGTAGAAATTGATGTTGCATTGGTAGATGAAAAAGATGAAATACAAGAGGTGTCTAACTCAATAGAAGAAGAGGACAAGTCTCCACCGGACAGTGATAAAGGTGAAATAATTGTTTCAGAAGATTCATGTGAAGATGAACAGACCCCAGTTGCAGAGGAAGCAAGTACGGATGAAAATATTGCCCAAGAACGCAGTGCAGTAGACATGGTGCTATCATCAGTTAGTCAAAGCACTGAAAAAGACGGTGTTTTGCAAACAATAGAAGATGACAAATCAAGTGCCAGTGGTTCTGTGAGTGAAGAAGTTGCAATCTCAAATGGCGAAGAAGAGCCAGAAACAGAGGAGAGCGTCCTAGATTATTTAGTAGAAGCGATTGACTCGGCAGCTCATCTTGACGAATCCACGGACTCTTGTCTTGAAAATGCGGACGTAACAAAAGCGGAAAATGATAACAAAGCATTTGATGAAGAATTAGACTCTACAAGTGTAAATGATTCTCCTTCTGATAATACAGAATTGAATGGAGATAAGAAATTAGAGGACATCGGCAACTTAGATAACACTGAGTCGGTACACGAAGAGAAGGAAATTGATATGATGCAGTCAGAATCACTTACGAGTAATGATGTAAATACAACCAGAACTCCGCCAGAATCTGTAGTAGAAAATATCAAACCGGAAGTGAATAAAGAGGGAAATGATATAAACAACGATGATCTTGATGAAGATTCGTCTTCCAGTGATCATGATAACGTTGTGATAGACCAGTCGTGCGAAGAAACGAAGACGTGTGATACGAACTCGGATAATAATGAAGAAAGTGACAATTTTGTAGAAGACTGTCAAGCGAAAAGCGTATCCCAGTTGGAAGATCTAGAGAAGATTCAGTCTTGCGATGAATCTCATGTTGATGAAGAAATGAATGAAGTAGATTTGGGAAAAGAAGTAGATTCGAAAAACGAAGTTTCACTAGACGAGGAGAGCATCGGCATCGAAGTAGAAGGACAAGCGTGTACAGTTGCTGAATCGCTAGAAAGCAGCCTAACGAACAATAAGGAAGTTGATACAGAACTAGACACTGCTTCCTCTACAACCAGCTCGTCTGTAACAGCAACTAAAGTCGAAACTGAGGTTTAACAGAAAGTTCTTAATTTGAGATACACTATTTGTATTCCCACTTAAAGGTTTTTCAACCTGTGGCCAATAAATGCAATCACGTCCCATACACTAAGCATTATGCTTGAAGTGAATTTCTCGTGCTCACATGTGTAGCTCTGTATTGATGACCTCAACTGATAATCATTTTTCAAACAGCAAAAACTGCAAACTGTAGAAAAATACCAAGATCAATGCCAGAGTCACAATGAAAAATTATTTTTGAGTTTGAATTTTTCCAAAGTCACAATGAGAGATTATTTTTGAGTTTTAAGTTTTAGTCAATATGATGGTTGTATTGTATATACACTGTTGTTGTAAAACCTCTTTTTCTTCTATTCATACCCATTTCTAACAATGGCTAACATCATTAGAAATAGCCTTTAAACCCTTAAGTACAGATACTTTGTTTGCTGTTCATGAAATTATGATTAGATACTATATTTCATTCTTTATGCAATACTGACTGCTTTTACTACCACATGAATAATGGAATCACACTTTCGAATTCGTTATCACTAGGAAAGTATCTGAAGATGTTTTACATTCGACAGCCCTGTATCTTGTCAAGCAAGGTTAACATTTATGTGTAACAGGTCATGATCTTATATCCTTTACCACCACCCCCTCCAAGTCTACACACTTCCTGTTGGTGTTTTCATGTAGAACATTGTAACCACTGGAATGCACTGTTACTTGATACAAATAACAATACTCTTAACACCTAGTTTCGACGTCAGAACAGATATGAAATCCGTTTTGAAGCTTTTCCAAAAACAATTTACTGGTTAAACTCGGTGTTGTAGATCTGACAGTCGCTGTACTCTACGTTTTACAATGTCATTCTCATAAAGTGCCATGAAAATTGAAAAAGTTAATTCTAATTTCGTATATTTTGTTGCTTAGGATATTTTATATTAGTATTTGGTAAAATATATCGATAATGTATTTTGTTGATAATATGATGTTGTCGATTTGTCGTTTAAAACTGTTAATATTGCAGGTGATCTAGGTTTTACTTTGAATGAGTTTCTGAACATTAAGTGAAAATGTTTCTGTAGATGATTGCGACCGTTTCTCTTTGTTGATATTTTTGCTTCCAACGCCTCTTCTACATTTGCTAATATTGTGACAATTCAATCGAAAGGCACGGTAATTAATTTGATATCAAGGAATGAATATATGTTATTTGCGTGACTGATATCTTTTAATTGTATTTTACGTACTCCTGTTTAGATTAAGATCTAAAAATTGTATTTCGGTTTTTATGGTCATTTGTTTTAAAACATATATATATATATATATATATATACTACCAGCGGTAAAGACTTTTTAATCGTGTTGTCTTTTTAATTGCAATAAGCATGAATGATATAGATATTAAGAGGAAGACAGTTGCATAACATCTACGCTGCATAGACTTCAGAAATGTTCCGTCAATCCAAGTGCCATAATGATTTGAATAAGCAACCTGAGGGCTTCTCAAAATTTTCGTTTTTTCTACCCGGCGCTTATTCGAGAGTGGTACTTGAAAGAAGCTGAACGCGTTTTCAAATCATCATGGAGTATTTCCCTTTAAATGTCTTCCAAAATAGCAAAATACGCCTTGGTACCGTAAACTTTGAATAGCGTTAAAAAGCGGAAATATGACATACCAAAAGCACGCCGGATACTGACCAAGAAGGTACGAGGAAATATATGTCCTAGTGTTGTTCCAAATTAGAGGAAGAGGAAGCTTGATGCGCTTGACTGACTCCTCGGTTTTGGACTGATTAGCGATCACTAACGTCTCGCTTAATTCAAGAATCCAAGAGAAGAAACTCTTGGATCCAAGAGAAGTTTCTCCATTTACACAAGTCGACTGATTCTAAAACGCCTTCTTGAGTAGATGACCTTGATTGCCTGATGGTTTTAAGTCGCCACCGTACTTTTTAGCAACTTTGGATTTCCCTTCGTCATTTTTCGGCATTTCGATTGTTGCAAATTCACGGCGGCTGTACTCCTTTAGGAACCGTATTTTACTATCTGCCTGCAGGAACCCTAACTAGTTGCTGGCCTATTACTTGCCAAGTTTCTCATCGGCCTGAAATTCGTACAAAACTTAATTTTCCGAAATTAATAACATTTTAAAGACAGTCCTTTCTAATTTGTTGGAGCACAGGCTTGGTACTATAGACCATACAAGGCGGTTGTTGTCATCAAACCTCGAAACTGTGAAACAGCAGTGCCGATTAAATCTGACGAAATACGATATACGAAACCAAGTAGTTTAGTTTTAATTCTTTGAAAATGCAAAAAAGAGCGGAAACATGTTATACCATTACTGGTGGTTTTCATTCTTTTCTACTAAAAGAATACGTTTTCCTTCTAACTTGTGAAGATACATTATTAATCAAAAATTAGAATTTAATTAAAAAATGTCCAGTACTCATTTTTAAAAGAAAACTGCTTTGAGAAATGACATATAGTAGAATCTAGTTTCATAACTGGTTTTACGTTAGACTCTTCCTCAATATTGTTTTTGATGCCTTATTTTGTAAGTTGTTAGAGAAGCTTCAACCGGGAATGCTTTGTCCCCGCTCCACTGTTGTATAGGTATCGGCATACATATTACTGCATGATAGAAAGATAACCTTTAAAATATCACTGAATGATAACATTTTCAAACATTTTGATGAAGTGAGCAAAGTTGTTTGTTCATTACAAAACGACCAAACATGCAATAGAAACATATGTCTCTTTATTATTGAGTGTTCAGAAAACAGTAATTTATCAAAAGGGTGTAAAATATAAGATTCTGCGGGGATTACTTTTTCATTTGAAACGTCAGCTGGTTTCTGTTGTTTGAGTGTTTTAATTCAGTATCATGAAATTGTAGCTTAACCATCAATTTATATTGTAACTAGGCTGTTTGTAGAGTAACAGAACTGAATTATGTTACATAGGAATCGGGAATTGATGAATAAGCATTCCTATCATTGCCTACCCTGGGTGCCAGAGTCTCGATTATTTAGTCTCCGAAATTTTTTTAGAGAGCCGTACTTGATCCCCGGATTTATGAGGCTCTGGTAACCAGGGTACTTATTGCCAAACCAACTGCTATAATTCTATAAGAATAAATCAATTGTTTTTGTTCAGGTTCATCCATTCATCCATGCTTGGCTAGTTCATTTTGCCATGCAAGGAAGCAATTAATACTGGCATGTTAAAAGGGGCTGAGCTTCTGAATTATAGCTAGGGGAGCCCCCTCCAAGGTACCCCTGCTTAAAAAATAAATGTCTGCAGTAAAGTAAGAGCGTTAGAAGGTTAGAAGGACGTTCCAAAGACTTATTGCAAGATCGTTAAGTATTTAAGTTAGATTTGCAGAGGTTATCGTATTTGCTAAGGCATCTGATGGAAAGATTAACAAAGGTAATGTCAGATTACTGAGATGAAAGAGAAGCAACACGTGGAGGATATTTTTGCACCTTTCCTAACAACGTTGGAACTTAGAATTCTTGAAAAGTCCACTGTTTGTTCAATTATTTTTAAACCATCATTACGATTTCTCATTGCAGGTTAATCAAGGCAATATTTATCACTAGTTTTAACACAAGTGTAGAAACTATAACTAAAAACAATCAATGGCTTTGAGGGTCACGAAGAAGTTGTGATAATAAAAATCATGATTAGAGGGTGAACAAATATGGCTCAGAATGACCAATGTCTTGGTTCTTTCGAGTTTGAGGTATTAATTGATTCTATAAGGAAGTGTTAGAGAAAGTTCAAAGAAGTGCAAAAAGCTGGATGAAATGAAAATTTGACTCAACAGGGCTCCCGTATTCAGAATCAGTTCGTACAACCTTTTACAAACACAAGCTTTCATTGTCGAAGAATTCCCATGAAAAGTAATGGAAGAAGACGACTCATTGTCCCATCGTGTGAATAGTTCTTCTGAAAGGCGTCTTTTCGTTAATATTTTCAAAAAACCGGTGGAGCTCTATTTTTTTTTCTGTTCAACGGATAGCCTTTTAATTTAAAATATCCTCAGTTTTAGATGACATGTTTTTTCAGCTTTTCAGGAACTAGAAAGACCCTTCTTTCATTGCTTGAATTTCCTCAATGTTTACAGTAAAAATGAATTTTAGAAATTCTCATCAGAAATAGATCTTCCTTTTTTCGCATGAATATATGCTGATAACATATACATTATTAATTTAACTTCAAATGGCTCGATACTTTGTAACCACAACTGGAAGGAAAATTGTGGCTGTTTTTGAGGAAGTTGATTCTTTGCCAATTCCTTTCCACGTGTTTTCTATGTGGATTGTTGGCAACTTAGAAAAGGGCTGGGTATTTTGGATTTTGAACATTTTCATTCAACGATGGAGAACTATTACAAAATAGGCCGCAAACTCATGAATGTACTTTCAGAAGTAAAAAACACGACCAATTCTTCAGATGTAAAGTATCTCGACAAAGTGAGAGTTGATGTGAATGCTTTGCTTCCTGCCTATTTGATCATACTGGTAGCTTGTGTGATTGGAAATAGCCTTGTCTGTCTCACTGTCATTAAAAACCCAGACATGAAACGAAAAAGATGGTACTACTTCTTGATGAATTTGTCCGTTGCTGATATGGGATTCGCCCTTGCCACCCCTGTACATGTGCTCCAGTTCTCTCGTGTGGATATGGGTAAGTACTTGATCTATATTTTTTAGAAGAACCAGTAAATTGATGGTCAGGCTGACTGTTCTTAATTTTTTTCGAAAATCTGAGGCTGGATTGTTCTTAATTTGTTCTTAAATTAATCGGGTGTAAGCATTGCGATTGCTCGCTTTTGGAAGGTGTTTAGGCCTCATTTACCAACAAAGTGAGCGAGACAACCTTCATTTGCCGACAAGTTTTCATCTTTACCGAAAAAGCACATCCTAAAACTTGTTTTTAAAAAAAAGTTGTTCAAAATTTTACAGTAGTCCAAGGATACCTGTTCAAGAGAGCAAGGAAGGAAGGGAACATGAAATGACGAAGTGTTTTGAAATATTGAATATGGTTGATGTAACAGGATGAGCTGTGAAGGATGGGAAAGCCAAATTTGATTAAAAGGTTGATAACCAAATTGTGGTGAGATTGTCCGTTATCCCAAGAATTTTTCTTTGACAAAGGTAAAGAATAGCTGTGTTTCATTTAAAACTTGCGTTTAAAAGCAATGGATATGCAGGTGTTTGGGCTGAATTTCATATAATTTCTGTTGAAAAAAATTGTTAAATGTCTGGAATGGTTTGTCTGCTAGGTTGCATCATAGTAAAATGTTATGTAGGCTCTAATGTCTAGTAGTTCCCCAAGGCTCGGTGCTAGGCCCTATTCAATGGTTATATGAATGATCTTTTTCTATTTTGTAATCGATGTAAAGTAAATATGGGACAACAACAGCAACGACAACAGTAGATCTAATACCTCTTTACAAACAAATAACAGGGTACATTAATTGTCGCGAATTGAAAAATCCTGGGATCTAACATATGGCAATTTTTCTAGGTGACATCGGATGCAAACTTGGTGTTCACATCATAGACACATTTATGATTACGTCGATAATGACCCTGGCTTATATCAGTATTGATCGCTACATCTGCATTTGCTTTCCCAAGGTTGGCTACACCAAACGTGCCAATCCTATTTTGATTATAGCAGCTATTTGGATGTTGGCAATGTTATTTTTGAGTCCTTTCTCTATATACTGTCGGAAAAGCAACTTTGCAGGCAATTGCTGTGATTGTCGCTATGCATGGCCATCTCCGACCCACTATAGAGTCTATAAATTCCTGCTTGCAGCCATTTGGTTCCTTATTCCTTTTACGACTATGATTTTCTGTTATACAAAGATCGTCCTACAGCTATGGGGAAGGAAGGGAGAAAGTAATTCCATCGACAATGATCGATCAGGCAAAAAGAAACGCAGTATCAAAATGATGATTTTGGCAACTTCGCTGTTCTTTTTTTCATGGTTTCCCTACACTATGTTGTATTTGCTAAAAGAAATGAAGGTTGGCAATCCACGAGTAGTCGGGTAGGTCTATGTAATTTAATGCTACGAGTTTTTGTTTCCTACCCTCTATCTATTGACGTTCTACCATTTGAAACTTGTTCTTAAATACCGATTTTTGAAATGCTGTCAGTAATAAAGAGAGCCTCAACAAAGACTGGCACTCTCCACGCCTTTGATTTAATTTGTTGGACTGTTGTATTATTTTTATCTTGGAAGGAGAAACAGAGCAAGGTCGAAGGCATTATGAGTTAGGATTCAAGATAGCGCCAGGAGCGAAACTAAATAAAGTTGTTACAGGGGGATTGGGAGGGGGGGCAATAGATCTCCAAATTTGCTGAAAAAATGGTCCTTTTAAAATGTGACTGTTTGCAATCCTACAATATGGCCAACCTGTTTCCAGTGAAACCTTGTGCAACTTGGGACTACGCAGCAAATATTTAGGCAGGAAAGGAGTACATGATATAGATGAATTTGTCTATCGCTTTTTATATATTTTCAAGGTTTAAAATATTGAAAAACTAGATAATAAACTTGGAATCTATACATTTTTACTGTATTTGCCGACATACCAAAGTTGAGGTCACGCACTCCCCCAAAAATCCTTGGTCGAACCTCTCTTATATGGAAATATAACTGTTACGCCCCTGTATACCCTTTTCCACAGGTAATATGAAAACTTATTTGTGCTCCTCAGTGACAAAAAATGTCTTACTCTGTGAGCTCAATAACCAGCCAAGCAATTGCTGACTTTTTCAAGAGAGTCGAAAGAATGAGCATATTTTGTATCTGGTTTTACATATGTGGAACCAATACTGAGGCAGTGTTTTGTACGTTTCAAGTACTTTCAGCATTAAGTCAATGTATTCTCTAGTTTCAGTTACTGTGTGACTTACTTTATCAAGTGTTGTCTAAAATGTAATTTTATATAGAAATTAATTTAGATTTTACAGAAGCTTGTAAAATTTTACTCTGGGTACCAGACTCACTATATTATTTATGATAATATAGATTTTTAGAAGAGCCGTGGCATTCGTTTTGCCTAAGCAGTTTCTCTAAAAATCGAATCAGTTAATCTTTGACATTCCTCCCAACAAACCTTGTTTATAAGCTAGATCTAGGAGGGCTAGGAATATAACAACGACATTCGGCCTATTTGTACAATCAGTTGAATTTTCTTTCTGTCGCTTTCTTGACAATTACAGAAGGTTTTGTGTCATTGCAAAGTATGTCGTTAATGCCTTTACCAGCTTTAAGTTTAAATGACCTTTCCCGAGGCACACGCAAGATGCAGGCTTCTTTTTTTCTAACTTCATCTAAGCAAAATGAATGTTTGGTCTCGAGAAATAACCGTCAGACAGCTTTCTTAAAACTAAGGGCAAAATGTTCCATGCGGTTATTGAGAGAAACGCTATGATTTTATTGAATTATCAAATAGTTTGGTAACCCTTTTTTTCTTCAGCTTTAATTTCTTCATTTCTCAATTTCTCTGTTTCAAGCATGTTTGCTCACACTCAATCTTTAAGAAAGCTAATTTTTTTACAGAAAATTCTGGCTTTTAATTCAACTGATTGCGTTTGCCAATTCTGCATGGAATCCATTTACTTACTGTATCTTCAGCACAGATTTCAGGAAAGGGTTCAAAAAGATATTATTTTGGAAAAAGACGTCCGGGGAAGCACGAATTCAGGAAGCACGTAGGCAACAGTCTGATATGGAGCAAAATTGCAGCAGTAAGAGTGACAACTCAGCCAAGAAAACAGAAAGTGAGGGTCTGTGAGATACTGCAATAGCTTGAAGCAATGCAGATTGACTATTCTGACGACTGCTTAGTGTATATTTTCGTATGAAATTATAGATTCGTACCCTGTGTGCAACAGACTCCATTATATAGTCTCAGAAATATAGTTCGAAGCTAGTCATAGAAATATTTTTTGAGCACCGCAGTCGTCTACAATACTTTATCCACGGATCCGAGGCTTGTACCCAGTTTATAGATTAGATACTCAAGTAGACCTTTTAAACAATTTTTTACGTTAAATGCAGTCTTAATATATGAAATATGACATATATGTATTTGTTTCTACCTAGAACCCGAAGGTAGTTTTTACAGGACACTGAGAAGCTGATCCTCCTTCTCGATGTGAACATACCACTGACCATACCACGTGATATGGCTGTCTGTAACTCATCCTTCAAAGAAATGACGAAAATTTTAATGCCTGATCGCAGCCCTCCCAGCTCCTTTGTCTCCTACACCTATGAAAATCAGATTCTGATCGCAATTTTTTCCTTTATATATGTTGCGGGCTCATGTACTCCTATTGGGGGGCCCTATTGGAAAAATTACAGATATTTTCTAACCTTTTTATTAGCCCCTGCGGGGGATTTGACCTCTCAGTCACTTCTTGTTGGCTTTTGTTTACAAAGCTTCTTTTTTGCTGGGGTTACATCCGAATTGATAACGATCACAGCATAGTTAATCACAGTAAGTCTATTTTGATTTTATTTTTGATTGAAGAGATGATTATTTTTCGTAAGAAAACTGTAACCTGAAATTTTGTTATTTTGGAATCAAAGAAATGTCAAGAAGGTCATGAATCAAAGTTGATTCTGTCGGAGAGGTCAGCGGTTTGGGAAATAGCCTAGGTTAAATAAACCAGTTTTAAAAAAGGCAAAATCAATGTGTTACAAAGATGATATAAAACTATGCTCTTCACAGCAGCAAACCCCAGCCCCTATAAGTACGAGTGCCTCACAGCTTTTGTGAAAGTGTGCACCCAAGTTTTGAACAAAATTTAAGTAATCAAGAAGCTGTGCTCAAGAAGCTGATTAAAATGTAGGGCAAGGATAGCCAAGTAAAGCAATTAGTGTTTCTGAATGAAAGCTGCATAAGGTGCTGTGTATAGCTGACATCCAGTTAATATGGCTGATAATGACAAGATCTTAGGTACTCCTCCAGCCCTGAACCCAATGTGTGGGTGCGCAAAAACAATAGAAAATGCCAGAGGTGCCACTCAGGTATCCCACTGGGGATGTTCCACTTGTGTGAGGCTGGCTCAGTTGTTAGAGGCGCTGACTACAGACCACAGGGTCCGTGATTTGAGTCCCTGGCATGACCAAACTTTCACCCAGAGTGAGGAGAGTTGCCAGCTCTCTGTAATTCCAGGCATAGGGATCACGAGGTGTGGTCACATGGAGAGGAAGGACAAGGACACTGCATGATAAGCATAAGCTTCTTAGTGTCCTAAAAACTACCTTCCGATGATAGGTAGAAACAAATACAAATACAAATACACAAAGTCACTGCCATTTGGGGGTGCCAGTATAATCAATTTATCCAAACTTGGATTTTGTGCATCTAGTATTTAGGTCAAGGCCCACGCCATGAATTTGAAAGTGGGGGGCCAAGGCTTCTTCCCCTTTTACTGACAGCTTTAAACTTACTTGCTTTGCAAAAAAGTGGGGCCACCTTGCCCCCTGGTGGCATGGGCCCTGTAGGTGCACCCTAAGTTACACCATGTTTGCATCTTGGATGCACCACCCCATGCTATGAATAATGAGCTGACATCATATATATGCTTGGCCTTTCTCACCGGCAGAAGGCAGTGCCTTTGGAAGAAGAGCCCTTTGCCTCAGGTGGATCATGATTAAATGATAATGATAAATGCATGATGGAAAAGGTCATTGGGATTTTTGGGCATACCAATCGAGAAATTTTAATGACCTTGGCATCTCAAGTCCTGCCACTTTCCCCTTAATAATTATTATAACCTATTAGTAAAAGATACTTGAAGAATAATCTGCAAAAAGCTGCTCTTAAAAAGAACAGGAATTTAGCACTTTTTCTGAATTTTAATCAGAGTTCAAGATCTTCTTCCCAGGAGTTACAAGGAAGTTGTCTCACTTGGAATACCCTACTGGCTAATTGCAAGCTGTGCATCCCTTTCCAGCCTTAAGCAACTCTCACAAAAATTAAAACATACTAATTAGGGGGAAAATTGCCCCTCCAGCCCCAGTGACCACATTTTTAAAACAGTAGGCTATTGTTCTCCTCTTAACAAAGGCAGAGGCTTGCCCCTTAGCTGATTCCCTTCAAAAAGGCTAGTGTCTTGATGAAATAATAAATGGTATGTTAAAAAAGTGGTTAAAAAGTTTCAAACAATGGTGTGGTTTTAAACAATGACTGTAAAGTTGTGGTGAAAAAATTTCAATTTTGCTATTAATTGAAGTCATATTATTAGTTGAGTTTTATTGTTATGATGTCTTTTCAAGAATTTACTACTCTGGAATAGCAAGAAATTAATGCAAGATAATTATTTGCAGCATATAACACGCCTTCCAGTTTCTGGTCCCCTCTCTCTCCACAAGATCATTAGCAATTAAGGCTTCTAGACCTTAGTGGGCAATAAAACTTTCCATTTTAAATTCTCTTATCCGTTTGTGTAAAGTTATTTTTCTCCTCTATTTTTCTTGCATGTTTGTTTTTCTCCATTTGTTTCAAGCAACTGTATACTGGCAAATGGTATGAAGTGGAATGTTCTCAATCCTAAAAATCCTCAAAATAATTAAAAAATATTTAAAGCAGTAGTTTAAAATGCACTAGTTAATTCACAAACAGAACAAGTTGAAAGGTATTTTCATTGCATATGTTGGATTGCCACCTAAGAAGTATGTTTAGCTTAAATTTTGTTTCAGAATATCCATAAAGTCGGATGCTTTCTACAGTTAATGTATATAGCTTACTTCAGAATGCTTAGAGTGTTTTTCTATACTTCTTTGAAGACTGAATTTCTCAATCAAGGGTGTTTTCTAATGCCAAAACTTTCACATAGGCTTTTTCTACTCCAATTAGCTGCGAAGAGTACCACAAAATTATTGGGAATATATTGCTTCCGTAACATTTGTAAATATCTTTAACTCGTCCTTTGATGGAAAAGGCTTTATGCATGTAGGACGTATTGGCAGCCCTTTCTTGTTGTGCTTCATAAAGTCGTTGAATCCATTATACAAATGAATATTGAATGTTATGTTCCATATTTCTCAGTGGTCAAATCTTGGTTTCAAGTCGTGCTATGTTTTCACATAATTGTGTCATTTTATTCTACCATAGTTAGCAAGAACAGTGATGTTTCCTACGTCAGCTGTAAAACTCCATCCTTCGCTGATCTTTATTCGGTACGCTTCAGCATGCAAAGCTATTGTCCAGAATTCTTTTGGCCCTAGCAGTGTACTAGAAATGGTTGATGATTACAAAGTTGAGGAACCTAAAAAGAAAGAAGTCCTTGTCGAGGTTTATGGCAGCTCAGTGAATCCTTTAGATTGTCAACAACGAGAAGGTTTTGGTAAAAGGTTTTTCGAAGTAACTACTGGACAAAAAGCGACTTTCCCTATCTGCCCTGGCTGTGAATTTTCCGGCAAAGTCCTGAAGGCTGGTCCCAATTCTTCATTCAAAGTTGGAGACAGAGTTTTCGGTGCTTCGTTAGCCGGAAAGAGCTGGGCAGAAAGAATATGCATCAATGATGGAACTGTCGCACTTGCGCCCAAAACAATCCCCCTTGAAGTTGCAGGCACGTTCCCCAAAGTTGCAATTTCTGTTTCAGGTTTTCTGAAAGCTGCAAAACTTCGTTCAGACAACTGTCGGGATAAACGAGTTTTTATAAACGGTGGATCAGGGGGTATTGGCACTTTTACTATTCAGTTGCTGAAGTCGTACAGTGCTAAGGAAATAGCTGTCACTTGTGGTCCAGATAATGTCGAACTCTGCTCCGAGCTAGGTGCCCACACTGTTATTAACTACAAAAAGGAAGATTTCAGAGAAGTGCTACGTGACTTTGATGTTTACCTGGACTGCATAAATTCAAATGACGAAGACAGGCGCAGTGGGTATGGGGTTCTTCGAAAGGGAGGCCACTATTTGACTCTTGTTTTTCCATGGATTGGCAATACTGATGAATCAGGCCTGCTTTGGGGCACCCTTCGAGCTATATCTTGGCTTGCAAGGATGAAAAGAGATGCATCAAAAAACTTTGGACTTAAGTTTGATCCTTGCGTTGGTATGCCAGACCAGAATTTTTTAGTTGAAACAGCAACACTTATCGATGCCGGGAAAATGCGATCAGTAGTGAGCCAGAATTTTTCATTAGAAGATATGAAAATGGCGCATGATATTATTGACAGTGGAAGAGCCAAAGGAAAATTAAACGTTATTTTGAAGAAGGAAGAGGACTTTATGGTCGAAAATGTTGAAGGTTGAGAGTGAAATAAATTATAGCATGTCACACGCCTTTTTATAGAAATTCATTTACAAATTCATTATATCTGAAACGTTTTCACACATACACACTTTAACTTAGATTCATAATTGAGAGACAGATAGAGAAAAATATTTAGAAGATTTCAGAAGTGATTAGTAGTTCGTTTAAGCATTAACAGATGCCCATAGGTTATGCAGATTCACCATCAAGTTTCGATTCAGATTTAATTGCATACATTGCGAGGATATTTGATTGATGTAGAACTTAGCAATAAGAAAAAGTGTCGTCGAAACGAACTCATATTGGGGGTTAAGGGGTAGGCTGTACATTCAGAAGCTTTGGTAATCTGTTTTAAAGGAATAGAATACACTTTAGCTATTATTTTGGGGAGGGGGTTGCACTTACAATGCCCCTAAGAGTTGCTTACAATGTCAAAAACAAATTTGATTCTAAATTAAACTCAAATACACAAGGGTACGTTGCTTGCTTATAAATATTAATGCTTATAAAGGTATATGAATATTATTTTTGAATATTATTATACCATACTGCAAAGCTTGGGTTCTTATATTTATTTGATGCATACTTGCTTATAATTATTAGTATTCTTGAATGCCTGTTGAATATTGTGTTTTGAATATTACATTCCAATTATGTTGAAAAAAGTGTTTTGAATATACGGTATGAGTTTTGAAAAACACTTTTCAACAAGGGAACCAGTGGCATGACCAGCTCAAAAAAACCAGGGTGGACAAAAACAAATTTTCTTGGCCACGCTCTTCAGACTCTTGGAAAACTTTTTTTAGTATTCTTTGATCTAATTCGAAATATTTGGACAAGAATCATTCTAAAGTAGAATTTTTCGTAACGGTGGCTTTTTTGCAGGCTCAAAATCGAAATCATTCTGATCTGCCTCCCTCTCCCCAATACATTTCTTTTTCAATGGATTTCGAGAAATTAGAAAATCGATTTCTTGGAGAACTGGAGTCCACCCCAGTCCACCCCTTGGCGACGCCACTGAAAGGAAGTAAACAATTTAGTAGTAAAAAGGATTTTACCCAAGCAGGAATCAAAGATGAAAACATGTTAGCAAAGAGATCAAGATTCAATTTTACTAAGAGGCTGGCATTGATTGGGATAAAAGATTTTCATCAACGTGCATTATTGTGTATTTAAACTGATTCTAAGTCAGTGCCTAGAGAATGATATCATAGAGGAGTTATAATCATGAATACCACTCAATTTAACATTTGTGATTTAGAATCAAATCCTCTCCCCGTGCTGTTAAGGGTCATATAGAAAAAGCGATTTGGATGTACATATTGGTATTCTGAACATCAATAAAAGCTGCTACTGTGAAAAATGTTACGGCGAATATGTCGTTATCCAGGGGAGGGGGGAAGGGTTCCTGTTCCCGTGTTCCCTTTGGAAAAATAGTCTTTATTACCGTTAAGAAAGAAATGATGTTCCCGTGTTTCCATCGAGAAGAAAGTGCTACGGTGTTATGTGTAATGTTAAGGTGTGGCAATGGTTTCGAACAGCATTGAAAAGACGGTGTTATGTGTAATGTTAAATTCGCAATGGTTTTTAGCATGCTTAGGGAAACTAACGAGCATTCTAGGACGCAGGAGCATGATCTTGAAAACATCACCAGCGACCTTAAATGCTTGAAACTGCAACCTTTTTTTAAAAACCTGAGTCAGAAATAGTTGCTTGCACCGGGAACATTTTCTTGTAAAAATCTTGAAAACCTTGATAAAAGGATTAAGTTTCACAATCTATATAGCGATTTTATGAAAAATTGGGAAGCATCATATCCGTTCTCCCTTCCCCTTCCCATTGAGACACATTCCCTTGAAAGCATAAATTTGAAGGTAGGGTCATCATGGCAATTTGCTTCATGGCCTCGAGAACGTTATAAAGTAATGAATTCCTTTTAAAGGAATGGAATAAATCAAACGAAACAAAAGCATGTCTAAAATAATAAAGCATTTTAAACGATTGCAGGAAAATAACTATAAGATAAGTTCTGAAACGTGTTTTAAGCTAGTCAAAGTTTGAATCAAAATTCTATGAGTGCTTGAGCACCCTAGACAGCCCCTGGATTCGCCTCTGGTATTAGATCATTAGCTTGAATCAACCAAACCAGTTAGGGTAATAATTTTTTCATAGTACTGAATCAAAGGAACCATCGTTGCACTTACTAAGAGTTCTCTAATCATCATACTGCAGAACGTCTTTGACAATTTTACCTTTTTTACTTATTATATTTTGGAGACTATTGTTGCTATGATGGAACTTCTGATCTGAAGTTTCGTCCTCGATTTCAATAAACCCTTATTAGTGAGATTTTCATCAAAGCTGAAAATTTTTGACTTTAATTTATTAAAGATCACTGAAAATGCCTATTTAGGCTTTCAGGGAAATACCTCTCATCTTCTGTGGGATTAACGGGAGGGGAGAGGGTTATGCCAGTTTTGCTTCAATATCTACTCACATTTCTTCTAATTTTTGTTTCGCATTCCCTCGAATTCCCAATAAGATTTTACTGTAAATGGCTATCCATTCGTGGTTGCTTTCTTATTTCCAAGGTAAATTAGAAGGAGCATTTTTTTTAAAATTTCAAAAAGGATTGTTTTGCTATATGTATTGGTCAGGAATGAGTGTGGTGATTCAAACTCAATTGCAATAGATTGCAACAGTTTTTGGTAGAATTACTTTGGAACCAGAAGCCATGTGGGCCGTACGTCTCTAAATTGGTCTCAAGTTCTCTTTTTGACTCGAGCTTTTTGCGCGAAAAGCTGGCCGTCAGTGGAAAAATTGGCTGTTAGAGAGCTAGCAGGAGTTTATTTTGTATGAGTTTTACCTCTCCAGCAACGACTACGACCAAGGGGATAAATTTGTATGGAGGATTTTTTGAAAAAAGTGAATCTGAAACGTATTCAGTTTCATTGAAAACCAATGTTCCCTTGTTTTCTAAAACAAGTAATAATGGCCCCATGTTTCCTGTGGAAAATTTAAGTTGTTCCCGTGTTTCCGTAGCGTTGTTGCCACGTTCCCTTGTTCCTGAAGACTCCTGGGATACCTTCATTGCACACGTCTACGGAAGGATAGGTTTTATGTAATCTGATTTGAAGCAGGGATATAATGGGATAAAAAGGAAGGGGCTCGCGCAAAAATGCTATAAAAAACAAGAGGTAGAAGATAGTAGCATTGTGACAGCAACAATTGGAATCAGCCTCCCTGACTCCCTTGAATCAACACCCCTGAGTAACAGTAGATTTATAGGAAGGGTAAGATTTGATCTGATCCTAGTTGCAAAAATTAACCTGAGAGGACAAGCTCAGTTAATTTTCATAGTTTCTCGTTTGAAAGTTTTTTTCTCTTCTACTTCCTATCCGACTTTTAGGTTACTTTCTCCATTGCCCCTAGCTCCCTAGTGCCGTCTCATGTCCCCATAAAGGAAGAATCCAGGGCTGGCGAAACGTAGCTGCCCATTCTTTCTTTCTCATGTCCTCAAAAATTTTCTTTTCGTCAGTTTCCTTCCACATCGCTAGCAATTTTCTTCCACATCGCTAGCAATTTTTCTCTTTTTGTAATGTTTCTGAGAAATTTGTTGTTAACCAATAGACCTTGTGAGCCAAGTTTAGGCAATAGGAAAAAACGAAACTCCGTCAAATTGTGCTAGCACGAAGTTATTTTGGATCAGGTTTCTTGATCTATTTCCTAAGCCAAGCTGTTACTCATTGTACAACTTAGACAATGACCGATTTCTTTGATCTTATATCCAATATTCAAATTTATATATGTCTTCTATGGTTAAGACATAGCAACCAAGCTAAAGCTGAAGGCATATGTAAAGGATTACTAAGCACAGTTACTTACCGAATGATATACTACATTTATTTCCACTTTTGCCGAAAATTTTCCTTTAGCTCCCCAGAAAAGTGGGGGCCATGGGCCCCCGCTCCCAGCCTCCCCGCTTTCGCCGGCCCTGAAATAAATACATGAAAATAACGATTTTGTGCAAGAATAAAATATAAGTACGACTTTTCGAGGATATCCCACTGGTATATCCGCATTAAAGCCACTGTGAAGGAGGTTGCATTTTCATATCGAGGCCGTTGTACCATCGACCATGTTGGACCATGCGGTAAAGTTTCAAGAGACGAAATTTTGAAAGAATCAACTGATTTTGGTTCAGGAAAGCCATGGAGGACTTTCCAAGAGGAGGTGCAAGTGCGCTTTCACCACTTGAAGTCAGGAAGATCAAAGAAAGTGCCGCAAAAGATGTTTTATTTGGGGTAAGAAACGTAATAGGTTATTTCTGTAAGTTAGGCCTGATCTAATGGGTGGTAGTCAAATCAACAATATCTTAGCAAGAATAAGCCTGAATCCAACATTTTGCATACCAGTCTCCTGTCTATTGATTGTGTAGAATCTGATCTAGAGTCATAAGGATCGACAAGTTTGAAGCTTTTCCATTTGGAGTCCCCCCTGGATGAGGATTCGTCATTCAAAAAATCAACAGCAATATTAAAGATCATGAACTTCTCTGTTTCTTGCAATCTCCAAATGTTGACGATTATCAATGAATTTTGCACTGTAAATTCTCTTTAACTCAGCAATCTATGTGCTGCTTATTATCCAAGTATGATTTGATATAGTGTATCTGAGTAAGATTTGATCAGCTAGCAATGTTGATTTGATTGTAGAAAACCATTGAAAAAGAAGCAGGGAAGCCAAAAAAGAAGGTAAAGGAGGATGTAGAAGAGGAAGGCACGTTAATTTATGATCCAGATTTAATATCAGTAGAGTCATTGACATTCAAGGTATGATTTTTTATTTCATTATAAAACAGTCCTCTTTTGAAGTTCCACTTGTCTTTTTTGAAAGTCTACTCAACTTGAAGGATGCTCTTTTGAAATTTACTAATGATTTAATTGAATTTGGATATGTTTTTATCAAGCCTTTATGTCTTATATCAGGCAATGCTTAAAATGTTGGTTTTTTTAAAGTTTGCTTTTTCCTAGTACAAATTTACCTTCATTTCAAGTTGTTATAATTTTTTGTTTCATGCCTGTGATTGTCCTGGCCCTTTCCCAATTATTGGTGGGGCTATTGACTGCTCTTGCAAAAACATTTCCACACGCAAGAGACAGGAAGATAATTTATGGAAAAGCTAGTTCCTGTTAATTGCAATATTCCTAAATTAAGTATCAAGTTGCTCCTGGAAATTTTTTAGAATATTTGCACCTGTAATCTATCATTGCAAAGAATTCATAAATGCCTTAATCATGGAATTTTATAGCTCTATCTAAAAGTGTAGCCTTTTGATATATATATATACAATATGAAGTTTTCAATAAATTTCTTTGTCCAAACAGAGGGTTGTTGAAGGTATGAAAGTGCTGGGTTGCATCAAAGATATACAGAAGATGGAAATTGTAGTTAGTTTGCCAAATTCCATGACTGGATTTGTCCCAATAACCTGTGTCAATGAAATGCTCACCAATCAGCTCCAGAAATCTTTAAATGAAGAGAATGAAGATGATGAGGCATGAATTTAAATTTATACTGTTTTGTGTGTCTTTATATATCTTCTTTCAAGCTCATCTAAACTTTGAATAAGTTTTTTTAATAACTCAAAATCAAAATGTTGCTTGTTATTCTGATTTCGTTGCTAAGAATATCATTCTGCATGTTTCCCTTCATCTGTTATTGCTAGGATTGCTTCTTTTGGCTCTTTTTGTTTAACATATTTAGTTATATATCTTGAGATTTACTCTTTCCTGCAGCAACTACCACATAATATATTCTTATTTAACCAAAGGCATTCTATTTTGTAAATAATACTGGATACTTCAAATTTTAGTATATTTTTTAGTAGTTTTAGTTTGTCTGTACAAGTAGTGGATGCTTACTTTAAGAGGGTTGTGGGGTCATAGCTAGGTCTAAACAAATAATCACTGAGTCGCTTAATTCATTTTAGCATTTCTTCAGCTGTTGTATCAAATGATAGTGCTTGCAGCTGATATTTATTAGACACACTGCCTTTTAGAAACACTGACATTGATCTGTAGTTTTTTAAGACCTCCATGTTGCAAATATTAGATCAAAATCAATCTCTTTTGTAAGGAAAGTTTATAAGTAATAACTGAACATTTTATAACATCTTCTTATTTCTATATATATTTATTTTTATATAGTTTCTATGCCATCATTTCTTCATTTTAGGAAAAAGGGTACCTAGTCTGACATACATGTTATTTTTAGCATCACTTAATATATAACCATTGTCTTTCATAACTTAATTCAAAATAAAAAAGCAAATTTCATTTTAATATTTGTTTCTGCTTTGCTAAGTCTGAAATTAAATTTTTATCTTAGGAAGCGAATGAAAGCAGTGTTTTACCCAGCCTAGATCACTTATTCAAAGTTGGACAATTTGTACCATTAGTGGTTAAAAAGCTTGACTTATCAAAATATGGCTACAAAAAAATATCACTATCACTGGACCCAAAGGATCTAAATCATGGCTTAAAAGTATCCCAAATGGTTGAAAATATGGTATGTTATTATAAAGATGCTTTAGTGAGATATGAGATCAAAACAACTAATTTTCTTGCCAATCTTAATAATCTCACATACTCTAATTTTTTCATGATCTAATTATTACTAATCTATGGACAATGACCTAAAGATTTCCCTATCCAAGCCTTGCAAGGAGAGGCACTCTAACTCGATCAAGCACTCTACATGCACCTATAAAGTTCTAAGAGCTTGATTGATCAAGTACCTAGTGTGTCTATGCTGTCTGAAAATGAAATGTGAAAAACCAAATGTTGTTATTGATGATAGTTGATGATACTCAGTCAAGTGCCTAAAAAGTTGAAGGTGCTCATTTTGTCGAGGGTCTGCTTTTTGTTCCTCACAAGGCCTGTCGCTATCAAGACATCTGCGTTTGGAAAATTGCATTTTCTCTCTGTAATATTAAGCATCTAATTTATTGCAAAATATTGTTATATTTATTGATATTATACTTTCCAGCTTGTATGGGGATATGTATCAAGTATTGAAGATCATGGTTGTATTGTTTCATTTGGAACTGATGGTGTTAGTGGCTTCATTTCAAAGAACAAGGAAGGTACCCTCAATCTCTGCCTATTGTACACAATGATTATATATAATCATAAAGCCATTTTCAAATCATCAGCAAATCATTTTTCCTTCAAAAATAAACGTAATAGGTAGAGATAGGAACTTTAGATGAGTCTAGCAATTGCCTGATGATTTGAAATGAGTTTATTCTACACATTTCAAGATATTTCTTGTAAATAACGTTTTCTCATGATGCTTTAAACCTTTGGTTCTGGATATAAGCAAGCCATTTTCAATGCCCTTCAATCTTTAAACTCCATCAACTACTTGAAAAACTTATTCAATGTCTTGCTAGAAGTTTGACCTCAATTTCCTATTGTTTCTGTACCTGCAATTACAACTAACAAAGCACAATTTTTTACCTGGTTTTAATCAGGTTTCTTCTTTGGTTAACATTTATAACTCAGACAACTTCTGTATTATTGAATCATGTTTAAAGAATGTAATTTTTATTAGCAGTCAGTAACAGAATCTAGTAGATTAATCTTTTCCCATGACTTCAAGATTATACTCTATGTTTTAGGCATAATGCCACTAAAAAAATAGCATTCACATAGTTTTAGGCTAGTATTCAAGAATCTTTTGCCAATCTTGTTGTTGTTCACATTGTTTTCAAATCTGTAAAATAGGAGGCCCTGTCTTAGCGTACTTCCTCCCTTACCCCTTACTTGCCTGTAGCTATCAACTGTATTGACTCAATTAAATTTTTTTTGTGAAGGGGAGCTGAAGTTAGGACATGTCCAATGGTTTTTGGTGCAAAAGGTGGGCAGCAGAGTGTTGAATGTTAGTTCAAATATGAACGAAATAATAGCTGCCAAGGTATGAAGTATTATAAAACCTTTTTGTAATGTGAATGTTTCTTTCAGATTCTATGTCTCATTAAATCTCATATGAAGTGTCTCTTCCTATTTTCTGCCATATGTACCTATAATCACAGATATTTTGGCAAATATTTATCAAATACATATATATATATATATATATTTATTAACATTACCATTAAAATGTTTTTGAATTCCTCTTTTGTTGCAGTATAAACCAGACAAAGACCTGGCACTGGAGAGTTTGTATCCTGGTGCGCTTGTAAATGCCAGTACAAAAAAGGTATGTTCAGTCATCATTTCCTGTCATTACATTGACAAAATTTCAAGAAAACAGTTCTATGGTTGTGTTGTACATGAAATTTGTCACAAAAGTTAATGTAGCCAATTATGATTGATCCCCAAAAGCTCAACCTTATTTAAGGCCCGGTGTCTGCTTTAATTTGTGCACAATTGAAATTCGAAAAATTGTGCCTTTTTCAAATTTTAAAAGTGTTGATATATTTTCTGAAGTTTGGAATTTTTCAAGCCATTACTTTCGTCATTTCTTCACAAGGAGCAACCTTTCATTGTTTGCCTTAGTTTTTTTAAGGATTGTTTGCTACTTTTGCAAATTAAAACTTAATTAATTTCTGTTACTGGAAGGTAGTGGAATAAAAAATAAAAGAACTCTTTCGTTTGGTATTACATAGAAAACAATTAATCACAGAGTTCAATTTTAAAAGAAGATTTCGGATAGCCAGTTTCCATTATCAGCTTTAAAATGTTGTTATCTCCAGTTAATTTGTTGCCAGTTTAGAAATAATGCAGAAAATTTATTTTCAGGTTTCAAGTAGAGGAGTCGTTGTCTCATTCAGTGGTTTTAAAGGGGTCATTGACTCACTCCATCTCCCTGGCCATGGTGCCAAAACGGAAAACAAAGACAAAGACAAGAAAACGGTACAGTTTATAAGAATAACTTGACTCCAACTGCTTTATATCATTGTATTCTATTGTAAGATTGTCAATCGTGAGATTCGCATTCTAAGGTCCCGTATGGAGATCATCATCAGTTAACATCTTCTATCAGAAGGTTGGCTACCATGACCCTCCAACTATCCCAAAATCTGAGTTTTGGTTTGTTGTCATGGTCATAGATAAAACTAAGGGGCTAATAGTAGAGATGGGCCCCCAGAACCACCTGTTTGGAAATAGTAAAATAAAAAGGAAAATGCAAATTCAACCTGAACACTGAACGATTGCGCTTGTCAGTGTGCACACTACATAGTTTGTCTAAATCTGAGAACCTGTAGCTCATAGGTTGCTGCTTCCCTCAGTTGTTACTGTTTTTCAGGTACAGATTGTCTTTGCCTCTGCTCAAAACTTAAAACAAAATATGTTGCATGGTAATATAGTCTTATATTAATTTTGTAGTTGATATTTGTTTCCTTTTATTTTGAAATGATCGGTTGTTTGTTTTATTGTCTGGAGAACTCGCACGTTTAAAAAAAACTAGTACTTGGATGCCAAAAAATTAAGAAACTTTATTTCTAGGCTCAAGAAAAAAAAAGAAACTGCAAAGTTTCCATTCCTAAGAAAAAAGTTTAGAATTTTTTATTTTGTTGTTTTTTCTTTGGAAAAGAAAACATTATTTGGATTTTAATCTGCATAAGATTTTTCGTGACGATCTGCGTTTATATTCTTCCAGAATTACTCAACTTCAAAACAATAAGGCAATTTTAGGTCTCGAAATAAGAAACAAACTAAGAAACTTTTTGTACTGAAACGCCATAATTTGGGCGCCAAATTAAGAACCTTTTAGTACTTAGTGCTGATCCAAGTTTCCTAAGAAAGACCTTTTGTGACATTATCTTTTGAAGCAACATCATATATTCAATGATTTGTTTCTACAGATGACATGCAGAATAATTTACGTCAATCCATTGAGCAAGATGATTGGCTTATCAGCAACAAGCGACCTTGTGAACCTACGGTCAGACGTTGATACGGAAAATTTCATCGGAGACATCCACAACTGCACCATAGAGACAGTCGATTCTAAACGAGGATTGGTTGTTGAACTCAGTAATGGGAAAAAGGGATACGTTAATGTAAGTTGATATCAAATTTTTGACCCTGACCACTGTATCCAGGGTAGTCTTCAGTGAACGCAATGCTTTTGTGGCTCTGTTTGACCGCAACATCCCCCACCACTTTGACCACGAAGACGATCACAACAACAACAACCACTTTCACAACCACGAAGTCTATAACAACTACAACGACATTGATGTGCATAATAGCATTCATCATCCAAATCTTGATCGTGTTCTTACGCATCAAGATCGGGCTATCAATTGGTTTTTCATTCCCCAGATATTTATCTGATCTTAGGGTGCTTGTTTAAAAATTCTGCATCACTTATTGCTTGCTCTGTTTATCGTTTTATCCTTATCTTTTTTATCGTCACATTTCTTACGTCGCAATTTTCGTGTCTTTTGTACTTCTTTTCCTTCTGTATTTCCCTGTTTTTCTTGTACTTCTTTGTTTCTTGTTCCCCAGAATTTGCTCAAATTCTTATCATTTCGTTTGAGTTTTATATTGGCTGTACATTTTGTTTCAGATATCGAAAGTTTCCGACAAGAAAATTGACAAAATTGGGAAGAAATTTAAAGTCGGCTCTGTTCACAAGTAAGATATTATCAATTTTAATCGCCTGCTCTCGTTTTTCCGCATGCTGTTACCACAGGGGATGTTAAGAACTTTACCGCATCAGGCTTGCAGCATCTGCAGCAGAATCATATACCACCCGTTTTAGCGTAGAATTAGTGCCTTTGCTTGGTTTTTCCTTTTTAGATTTATCTTATCTTGTTTTAACTTGGCATTATACGCATCTGGTAATGCAAATTTGTCACCATGAAATATATTTCTTTTGATGTTTTCTTTAAGGGGCAGGATTATAAATTACAATGGATTGGATGGCCTTTACCTATTATCAATGCAAAAGTGAGTATGGCATTGTAATGCTGTCATTTTTATGTATAGCTGATTCACCCTTCCACTAGAATAATAATATAAACAGGCTTGTTAAAGTAATCCTTTTTTTCATAAGTTGAAATAATTCAAATGACTACCATGATAATAAGTCTATCAGTCCGTAATTCATGAAGGACGTCATCCATTCCGTTAAATCAGATAAAAACAACGATTGGAAGTTAACATCTGGTGTGACGCTTTGAGTGTATTTTTGTTTCTCGTTTGTCTCTCTAACATTTACTTTCATTAGAAAATATTATTTGTCTCAATATTATTTGTTTATTTTTTTATTTGATCGATATTTTTTTAATATAATGAGAGCTTTGAACTTCTCTCGCTGCCTTTCTTTAGAATTATTGTACTTTTGCTCTCCGTAGTGATTCTCTGTAGTTTAATGAATTTTTAATTTTTACAGATCAACCTTAGAGCGCCCTTTTCTCAGATACGCTGATATCAAGCCAGGCATGGTTGTTGAAGTTAGTAATGTTTCTTTCTTATCACAAATTGTTTAAGAAACACATTTGTTTCAAAATATTCATTTGCTTTTATTCTGAACAACGGAGTGGGATCGTTTGATTCGTTATGAACTTTATGGATCACGTAAAAGATATCTGTTTGGATCACGAAGTTTTCGTTGAGTGGAACATTATAGTGGCATATCTGCTCATCATCCTCGTTTTTAGCATTAGCTTTTGTGGGGAACTGTTGGTGGTTTAACAGCATATAAGTTGTTGCCTGAATATTTGACAGCTTGTTACGGCCTTATACACATTAACGTATAAACATAGGAAGCCAGGAGCGATTGTGGGGAAAAAATCCATTGACATCATCCAAATGTCGTCATTACCCTGCTACTGTAATTCTGTATACGCCACTCCATTATCCGAAAACATCAATCGCTATCTTTTCTAAACGATTGCCTGTACTTCGTAGAGCTTTCTAGGCCATTTGCTAAGGAAACATCAACACTTGGATGGAACTATCTTTCTTTATCTTCTGCTCGGATATTACATCACTGTTGAAGATGAATAGTCTCAGTTTGTCTGATCGTTCATTTCTCCAATTATAGGGCACAATAGTTACGCTTGAAGACTTTGGGATTTTAGTGAAGCTGTCTGATCAAATCAAAGGCCTATGTCCGAAGTTACACTTGGCTGACATCAATTTGAAGCATCCTGAAAAGAAATTCGTAGACGGCAAGAGTGTCAAATGCCGGGTAATTAGAATTAGAGCATTTGAAGTGGCTTGTCTAAATGTTTAAACCAGCATTGTTTATTTTGCCTGTTTAAAACCACTTTGAGATTTTAACGATAAGCCTTCATCTTAAGGTGACACGTATAACGTGTTGTGATGTGTGTTTACCCCTTTATCATTATGTGGTTTATTACTTATAGCTTGTAGGAAGAAAATGATTTGGTTAGAAGTGATTTTGAAAGTTCTCAAAGGCAGGAAAAAATATTGGAAGGCTTGGAGTTTGTTTTTCCTAATGATAAACACTCTCAACATTTCATACTTGGCTCGCCATTATTGGCAAATCCTGAATATCTTGTTTCCAGGTTATTGCAGTGAAACCCGAGAAAAAGCGTCTTACGTTGACTCACAAGAAGACTTTGGTCAATTCTGAGCTGCCAATCGTAACAAGTTACAGTAAACTTGAGAGGGGTATGGAAGTTCATGGCTACATCGACAGCATTAGGGATTTCGGACTGATAATCAAGTTTTACAATTACGTCAAAGGACTTGCACCCATTGCTCATTTGAGGTAAGACATTGTTACAAGTATTTTTCCAAAAACATTTTGCCTCCTCAGATTCAATTTTCAGTATTGATTATGAGAAATTAGTAAAGCATTGGTCATCGAAGTTCTCCTCGAACGTTTTCTTCATTAGCTGTTTTTATCATTTCCAATATCACAGGAGGCGACCTTTCTTTCGAACCCAAGTGATGAAAATATTGGAATTAATTTGCATATTTTTTCTGATTAAACCTCAACATTAAGTATATATATGAATAAAAGAAAATGTAGCATCGAAATTTCGCTTCTATGGGTCTTTAGGCCTCATTTTGCTTTCTTCTTCAGTCTACAGGAGGGCGACAAAATTGAAGATGTGTTCTATATTGGCCAAGTCGTAAAATGCAGAGTTCTGTATAGCAATGCTGAGACTAAAAAGCTGACCCTTACGTTCAAGGTTATTTTGTTGGTTTTATATAAAGCTATTCTCATGAAGCAGCAACTTCCTTTGCAAAAGCTTGTTATTACTACTATGCCAAGATAATTAAGGGCTTGTCTTTCTATGCTTCACATCTGCGAATCATCGAAGCCTTTTGGTGCATTTTTGCTTTTTGTTTAGTATATCCTTCTAAGTATATGTCCCATGCAAGGTTTGAGAAATGTATAAGATGGATGTTGCTACCTTTGTAGTAACACCCCTTTATCTTGGATTTTGGCAGTCCTACATTACCTGTCATGCTTGTATTCACATTCTCTTGTTTTTCTGTGTAGCAGAAATATTTTCGTTATTTCTTAGGAGCATTTCCTAGTTCTTTATCCCCAGAGATTTTTTGCCTTTATTTAGCACTTGTGTTTCTTTATTTTTACTTATGAAATATCCCCTTCTATTTAATAAATTTGTTATTTTACAGAGCTTAGAGGAACTAAATAGCAGAGTCGAAAATGCAAAGGTTTCCTTGAAAGTATTCGAGGTTAGTACAACGTTTGCGACCTCAAAATTATTTTCTTCGGCTATATGCCATCTGTGTTAGTCGTATCTTTTATAGCTCTCAAGTTTGGATTTCATTTGTTGTATGCTTAAATCATGTTTAATACAGTTTCTCTATTTGCATTCTATATTATATTCCCGTTATTGTTTAAATGTTTGTAAGGTCTTTTTGGGAGACTATCCATCTCCCTTATGTCACTACCTCTTAAAATTTACTTTTTTCAATTGCGTTGTGTATTCTGTTACAGAAAACTGACGGGCAGCTGCTGGAAGTGAAAAGTGACAGTCTGGTCATCCAACTGCCACACGGTGGAAAAGTACACTTGAGCAAGGAGCATCTGTCAGATTTTGATTGCAATACAAGTGGATGGATGTTTTTGTATGGAGCTGATAAAGATCGCTTTAGTGATCTGAAAGATTTAGTGCATCTTGGAGTTCAAAAGACAAGACGCATCGTATCTTTTTTGTTCTATGGAAAGAAACGTTAATTGTTTCTTTTGAATAATTTATCTATGTTCTGAAGATTTATACTCAGAGAGTCAGACGAAAAGCTATAGTAAAATGATTCAAAATATTTGTTTTTTCAAAACCGTTTTTAAATTCTGTACCACAAAAAAGATTGCTAGTCTCAAAAAAGTAAATCTTCAACATTATTCTCAAATTTATCTTTGATTTTTCATAATTTTATCTAAGTTTCCTTCTTTTCTGGAAATTTTGACAAGATTGACCTTCCAGGATTTCAGAAAACAATTTTGTTTTTATGGACATATTACGTAATATTTGATCAATCAGGCTATAAGTAGCAATTGTAGAATCTACCGAGCTACTGATCCATTCTTCCTTAATTTTGTTAACAATAGGTATCGAAGAAGGAACTGATTAACTTAGTTGCAGAATCAAAAGAGTTCGTTACAGATTTCAGTCAAATAAAGGTTTGGCTTTTTATCTGATATCGTAGCATGTCTGCATTGAAATATCTTTATTTATTTTTTATGAATATTTTTTAAATAATTTCTATAAATATAAACTCTTTAAAAAATCAGTTGCAATTTTGAATAGTTTTCCTTTCACTCGGGACACCTCCAAAAATTTGATCAAAAGTTAGCACATGGGTTGGCCTGCAATCATGTTTAGTTGTTGTACCATAGGACTCCTTCCTAACTCAATTTAATTTGGTTTGATTCAATAGCGTACCAAAGTAATGACGTCATAAAAATCTACTTTTAGAATTTTTTCAGTTTTGAACGTATATCCCAAAAGGCAAAATAAGTTAAATGTGTCACATAAGCCCAGGCTCTTTCCCCATTAAACTTCGGTAATTTGGTCTCGCTTCATAACTTTATGAACCAGGCCAGAATAGCAGTAATCCGTTAGCAAACTTCATTAGCCACATCTTGTCCAACATATCTAGCTGATTTTGCATGTTGAGAGAGTTTTCAAAATAAAGAAATTCTAAAAAAGGATTTTTGATTGTATCATATTTCGGTACTCTATTCAAGTTAGATCTTAGTATAGCACTAACGATTAGAAGTGATTAGATGATTATAAAATGTACATGAATGTGGGTTTAAGTGAAAAAGCAGTGGCATTGTATAATTGTACAATAATTTCCAGGTTGGGCTCCAAACTGTCGGTGTTGTGCATCATATTATGCAGTATGGAATCTTCGTTGAGCTGGCTCCTGGAATAGTTGGCCTAGCCCCGAATTCGGTAGGAGTTGTTTTATTTTTATCCTGTAATATCATCCACTTTTTAATCTGAATTAGTCATAAAGTACATTGTTTCAAGCAATGGTCAGTGGACCGGTGATGAGATTTCCATGCTCAAATTGATCCGCATGAAAATAACCGCAGCTCTGAGGTCTGCTGTTGCGTTGCTAGAAGCTAATGCTAGAAGAAATGTCTTGCCTGTTATTGATCAGATTGCCGCAACCTATTCATTGTTTATGAGAAATCTTGTCTTCTGATTCATTTACAGAACATCGCCAGCTACTTTGTATCAAGCCCATCGAATAATTTCCATGTCGGGCAGACAGTTTTGGTCAAGGTTCGTATTACATATCACATGTTTAGATTTGTTTGGTTTGTTTGATTCAGTTGATTTGCACTGGAATTAGCTAAATTTTCACTTGGGCCGTAGTCCGATTGGAGGGTTTTATTGCCCAGTAGGTAAATGCAGGCTTTAAGTATCGTACAGGCTTGAAGTTGCTTAGAGCAATCAAGCTTTCTATTCAATCCAAATAATTTTTGTATTCATGATTTGTTTTTCCACGTAATATGTATTTTAGTATTCGTTTATTCTTCATTATTAGGTTTTTAGAAACACGTTTCAAATTAAAGTTAGCTGTTTGATTTTCTTTTGTTTTCGTTATAACTTGCTTAAGTCCCCCCCCCTCGAACGAAACCCTCTGTCTAATTTTGAGTTTTGAATAAGCCCCCTTTCTTGATTAGAATTTGAAAAAAGGAAGTCAATTGATTTCAACTGCTTTGCAATGTTTTTGTTGCTTGGTATTTGTAGGATTCAATCTAAGAACTTTTATTCAGTTCAATATTTATTCAGTTCCTTTTCATCTAGTATTTTGGGTCGTAAATCATGATGTCTTTACCCAGGATTTCTTCGAATTATTGCGAAATTACACCACTGTCCACTGGTTTTCTTGTCAAATTTTTGTCATTGCGTGGTCTTCGTCTGCAGTTTGGCTTCTATATTTTATTTGTATTGTAGTTTTTGTTATCTTGGTTTACTAGTTTTCTATGTAGTTTTCCGAGCAAGTTTTCTACTTTAATTTGTTATTCCTAGATTTGTAATTTTAAGTTAATATATTTGCTATGCATTTTTATTATTGGTTATCTATTGTTACCAGCTAGATCTGTGATGAAAAATCCATGCTCATATTGACTTAAACATGAAAAGGATATTTTAATCTGAGATCTGGCTTTGTCAACATCTGCTATTCTTTGAAATTTTATTTTTAATAAGAAATGCAAAATTGCATTGAAACGTTTGCAGTTCGATCATTTATTTTTGTTAGGTGAGCGAAGTTGACGAAGAGAGAAAAAGGTTTCTGGTGACCTTAAACCCCAAGGAAGTGACATTGGCTGATTCCAAAAGCTTAAGCAATGCAGTTAAAGGAGAAAACCTTTTATGCTCTCTATTAAAAGAAAAAGAAGAAGTACTAACTGCAATGAAGCAGCTTCCAGGTATTAACAGAATTCTTTTCTCATCTTTTCAAGAGCTTGACATTTATTTTCATTTTCCACCTCTGTCGGTTTAGCTGTATATGATATCTTCAGACTACTAAATCTTGCTCAAAAATAGAAAAAAATTGCCTCATTTTATGTTAAATTTTATAATTAGAACAATAAATGAGTTTCTTTTCAATCTTCCAACCGTACGATTTCTTGGCCTTTGAAGAATTAGATCAGCCAAAAAGGCCTTTGTAAACTTTCTCTTCGATCATATCGCCCCTCCTGTTCTCTTTGATATATTGCGGTAGATCTGTGATGATAAATCCATGCTCATATTGAACCAAGTGAAAATATGTTTGAGATCTCTGAGATCTACCGTAAATTTGTGTCTTTGAGCAAAGTTCATTAGCGCATAGATGTCATGGTTTGCTATTAAGCGTCAGATTCGTAGAAATAATACCGGAATGCATGAATAGCTTTATTACCAAGACGTTTATCAATCAGCGGAAATTTATTATAAAAAGCATGTCTGCGCTTGATACAACTTATTTCTTATCTCCACTTGCTGTTTTTATCATTTTCTTCATTTCATCCAATGTCTCCAGCATTTACACTTTTTTAGACGAAAAAAGCTACTTATATTTACTCTTTAAATCATAAAAAAGAATTATGACCTTGGATATAGAGAAGATCTATCTTTTTATTTGTTCATAAATTTATTGCAATGGAACAGCCATCTTCTTCACGATCGTCTATAGCTGGATAAAAAAGTCGTCAAACAAAATGTTAAGAATTTAAAACCATATATATGATTCGTTATTTCTCAGTTTTTAAGCAATAATTGCTCTGTTTTGCTCTGCTTTTGCTTCCGCTCTGATTTGCTCTGTTTTTACATATTTGACTTCCGTTCTTGTAATGATGAAATTAGAATGAAATACGCCTAATTTTTAGCTGGTCATATCCAACTTCTGCCTGATTTGGTGGGACAACTGGTTAATGCAAAGGTAAAAGCATTTAAATTGTAAATGTATTTTTGTTGAATGTAATAACAAACCTATTTTATTCTATTTTATTTTCTAAGTAATTAATATGCAAAGCGCATGCTAAATCTTCCCTGTCTTGCTTGTGTTCAGGAGTACATTAACCTCTTGTAAGGGCGGCTTTGAGTAGCTGGCTGTATCAAGCCAATCAAGTCGACATTAATTGCATGAATAAAGTGATGTTCTTGGCTTGTGCTGTGTATTTGAAGATTTCTTCCGAGACTTCTTATCAAGGTGATTTGATAATAAATAGTCTTGTTTTCTTAGGCCTTTTTAGTTTTGTAAAGTGCTTATTAGAGTGCACACGCGTGTAAAGTGTTGTAAAGTTCAGTGACAGTTCACACAATGCATAAATAGAAGCTTTGTCATTGCTTCGGATGCCAAACATTAGCTTCCGCATTTTTGATGTTATAGGTGATGTCAGTAAAGCAGGAAGGCGTGAGTTTGCAAACTGAAAATGGCACACAGGGTTTTATTCCAGCCAAGCTGAGAGCAGGTACATGCATTAACGTTAATTTAGATTAAACCATTAAACGCCTATTCTTTGAGTGAATCAAATACTCTGACCAACAGACCGTCTCTGAACAAACTGTTGACAAACTCGCTTTCTCTTTCCGGTTTTTATAAGGATCTGGTCTTGTACAAGTTTAGATTTTGCAACAGCTGAATCAGCTCAGCGGATATAAATTGATTTTTCCAAGTATCGGGGTGGGGGGGGGGGTCTATTACTTGGACCCATCGATCAATTTTAATTTTGATTTATATTTCTTTGAAAGATAAAACAGTGTTCTTATCAGATATTTTGATACTAAATTTATGGCTAAGAAACGGATCCCCAGTGTTCTTCCATGGACTCCCATAGTTTCTGAACATACAAGCTACTTCTTCTGAACTAGACTAAGCCACAAAGCTTACACCTCAAATTCATTAAACACGATTCATTCGAAATAGTTTTCTAAGTATTTTTTAAGAAAAAATAATGTTTTCCTCACAGGTATTGACGTTGAGACTGGTGATGTCATCAAATGCCTAGCAATTGACATTGATTTGGAAAAGTTTTTATTCATTGGCACGTTGTTGCCAGAAATTATCGATATTGTTGGATCAGGCAACAAAAAGAAGAAAAAGGTATTAAAAATAATATAATGTATTCTGAAATTGAATTTTTTGGAGTTGAGAGATATCGGACGTTCATTTGAGGATGCTTATGTTATTGCAGTTACTGTAATCTGCTACCCCCCCCCCTTCTCCCAGAAAGCATTAAACGTAGCCGTAAAGTTGATTCTTTTAAACAAAAAAAATGATTTTTACCCTCACAACGTTTGTGATAATACCACACGTTGCGTATCACGAATTACATCTACACACAATACGTTTTGGTGTTTCGACCAGGTCGTCTCTTACTCTGAGTTTCAATTTTCCCGGTAAATGTTGTTTTGTTATTAACACTTCTACTTATTTCAAGCTTTCATTGCTAGTCACGCTTGTGAATTTTTAAACCCTGTTGCCGAGTAAACGGGATCACAGGATTAGTTGCACCAGTAAAGATCTTTTAAAAGATGCCCCTACATGTGAGCCACCTTAAGGCTTGTAATAGGCCCAGGCTGTGGAATTGTTATTAGTTATTAGTTACAGTTCTGTTGTTAGTTATCCATGTGAATGATAACTTCACCTTGTTTTATGATACATGTTTGAAAAAGACAGAGCAATCCTTTAGAAGATAATGGTTATAACCAATAACTTTACGGATGCTATCTTTAGATTCACCGAAAAAGTATTTAAGTGAGTTTAATTTTCGATGCATCTCTCATCCTCTGAAGAAATGCACTAAGAGGCTCATTTTTTATTTCCCAGTATCCTCTCTTATTTCAATTAATGACGTTATGATCTCAAGTAAAGTACCTCAGTCGTCTTCATTTATGTCGTTAAAGAGTCGTCGTTATTGCAATGTATACCTTATTTTGGTGCTGTTTTCTGGTAGATCTATGATGATAAATCCATGCTCATATTGATTCAAGTGAAAAGATGTCATATTTATCTGAGATCTATCATTAATAGATTCATGCTCACAGTCAAGTTTCTCTAGAATATCCCGTATTTTATATTACTTCCCGCTCTTTTCTCTACAGTTAAAATCTGGAGACGATGTTGAAGTCATAGTCCAGCTTGTCTCCGCGGATTATATTTTAGCTGCTGTTCCCGATCGTGCCATTCCAGTAGCATATATCGTCGCCAGAGAGGTAGATCCGATTCCTTATTGCTGCTTTCTTCTAGGAATAGCTAAGACATATGGTATTTGATTTAAACCCATTTTACTAAAGTAAAGATCGCCTCTAAAGTATCCGAGGAATGAAAACGAAGGTTATACCTTGAACCACGGATGCTTGTAAAAAAGGAACTTACATATTTTCTAAACAAAGCAGTTATTTAGAAAGTTGAATCGATATTTTCTGTCCTTATCTTAGGCCCTTTTCTGTCCTTTTTGCTTGGAAAAACACCGAAAAATTTCAAATTTTGAAAAAATTAATAATTTAGTGAGCTAGTATCTTTGATTGCAAGTAGCTTCGAGGCGCTCCAAGGCAGTAAACTATTGTCCCTGATAGAGCGGATGAATTTTTTTAAGCTTCTATATTCTTTAAAAGAGCAAGTTTAGTAAAATATGTATTAATTACCTTTTTTTGTGTTTCAGCACTTAAATGACATTCGAGACGCCGAAAAGCGGTATTTTATTGGACAGAAATTACGGGCGACGATCGCAAGGTACTTGTGATTGTATACCGATTATATTTTCAACTGCTTTTTCATCGCCATTTTAGATTACCTTTCCAGCAGATCAATGATGAATCTTTCCATGCTCAAATTGAAATCATCATGAAAAATTTTGATCATATTCTGAGGTCTGCTAAGTTTCAACTGAACTTTCATTGTCTGTGTGTTTAAAAGTTGCTTTCAACTAGTTTTCCTGTTTTTCATCCTTTTTCCTGGAATCTGTGGCCCCAACAATTTTCAGAATTAAATCAAATCTTAGCAAGAAACGCTTTCCAAAAAATCAGGCATCACAGTGAAGTAAATCAATCCTATTTGAAGCTTGATTAGAAAATTATTTATACCTCTCTAATAATTAGATCTGTGTTTATTATATCTTTATATTTGTATGTATATACTTTTATAACAATTATTCTTGCTTGATCAATATTATGTGTTTACTTTACAGTACCGCCCTGTCTAGGCCAATACTTATTTGCCAAGATACTTTTGATGGAGGCAAGCCAAAGTTGGGCGAAATCGTAACTGCGAGGTAATCATGATTTATTGTTCGTTGATTGTCGTTTATGTTATTAATGGTACAGCAAAGTGTATCTTTGGTCTAAAATGGTACCAGGTTCATTGTAGCCTCAGCTAGAAGAGTTTTGTAGGCCCATGTCTCGTCGTTAAATAAAATTTCTATAGAAATCACTGAAGATAAAGCTGACAACTTAAAATGTACGCCGCCAGTGACTCTATCCATATACCACTTAAGCCGACTTTTCATTGAAAATCCTGCTGATTTTTGCCTTATATTATTTTAACATTTAGGCCCAATTTAATGATTTCGCGTCCTTTCAGCATTCAGTCCTATCTTTAAAATGTTTCGCTCACTGAACAAGGTTGTTTCCAGCTTTAACTCTGTGTTCCAAAGCTAATTCTATCAACAGGCAGTCACGTGTCCCAATCTTAGTGGGCTTTTTGATGGGTAAAGAACTAACATCAGTTTAAACGAGATATCAGAAAAGGGATTCACTCTTCAGTTCTCCATCTCAGAGCTTTTCACGATTGCCAAATATGAATAGTGCTTAAGGAATACATTTTCGTTACAGTGTCAAGGCGATAAAGGCAAGTCAACTCAACGTCTCAATCCGAAACACAAACCTTCATGGAAGGATTTTCATATCAGAAATATGGGATGAAATCAAGGCGGTAATGAATGTCTCCAATCGTCTTAATTTTCTTGTTTTTTTTCTTATCCTTTTCATGTCAATTTTCTTTATTCTTATTCCTTGCTTCCTTTTATTGTTTACTTTCCATTTCCTTTCTTTTCGTTTTCTTTCATCCTTTGTTTTTTCTTTCCTCCCCTCAAAAGATATTTCAGTATATTCTGATGAAGTTTGCCTTCACTTTCTCCATCTTGCTACATTTTTAGGTTGAATGAGGGCGTATTCATTAGACCATTCTACTTTCTTCCAGTCTATCAATTTCCTGTGCTAATATTAAACTTTTTCTTTTGGCAAGAGTACATACCATTTCCCCCTTTCTTGTAGTGACAAAAATATTAGTTTTTTATGATTGATAATGCTTAGAGTATTTTTAATCGTTTTTTGCAATCCTACTCACGGAAACAACTTTTACTCACGTCGATTTTTAAACTTGTATCTGCTGCAGGTGCCTCTGTAGCTAACGTACAAAGGCACATAGCAGTATTCTATTCCAATTTTGGATACATCATCATTATGAAATATTATGGAATGGTTAATTTGCCTTTCAGGGTCAGTGCCCATTAGATGGGTTCAAAAATGGCGATTTAGTTCGGTGCAAACTGATCGGGTTTCGAGATTTTAAAACCAGCAAGTATGCTCTTTTGAAAAATAGATCTCATTTTTTAAATACCATCTTTTTCTTGTCGTATTTGTAGAGTGGCCAGCTTTTAATTGACATTGACTGGCAGCATGGCCCTTTGAGGTCTTTCGAGTTCTTATATGTGATTTTGTGATAACGACGCTCTTGACGTAAGGGAGAGTGCTTTTCGTTCAACTCGTTGCGCGGACAAAGTCTATCATCAGTTTAACAATTTTTTATACATAACAACACTTTCATTTAAATTTTTCACAAGGGAAAAATATGAAATTATCTACATTTCTACTCCTGATTAAAGCACTATTTTGAACCAACTAATGTGACAAATTTATGGAGCTTTATCAAAAGCTTTCTTTGGCAAAATTTAATTCCTTGCAATATTTCCCATCTAACACGACGGAACGCGACATGTCACGCATTTGTGATGCTAGTAAACGCTCTTGTTTTTTCCTTGCCATAGTTACCTGCCAATTTCACATCAACATTCTACGAAAGTTTTGGCAGAGCTTTCCTGTCGGCCCAGTGTCATCAACAGCTCAAATGTTGAATCACTCTCCGAACCAAAGGCAGCTTCACAGTTCAAGAAAGGAGAGACGGTTCCTTGTTTTGTGAAAGCGGTAACCTAATCTTTATGAATTTTAAAATTTCTTCGCTATCTCTATTCGAGGTATCACAAACATTTTTTTTCTCAAACCTGAACTCTAAGTAAAATGGAGTTTTTCAATGAAGAAAATGGATTTTTATGTTGATGGAATAGTTATCTATCACTAAAACCTTCTTTGTTATTCTTCACTCGGCATCATTTGCTTCTCATCATCAATTTAATGTATAATGATCGATTACAATATATATCTATTATATTTGATGGCTTGTTGCAAAATTCTATTTTGAAGGTCTCTGAAAGTTTCTTGACGGTTTTTGTCAACCCAAGGGTTTACGGCAAAGTAGCCATTCTTCATTCATCAACCGACAAGAAGGTAATTTGAATTTTTTGTATTTTTTCTTAAGTTTTTTCTACGAGTTTATCAACTCCGTTTAGAAATTTTCGATTACCGCAGGCATTAGGCACAAGAAACTGTGCAATGTTCAAAGGCACCAGTTATAATCAAGGATTACACATGGCTTTGTTTTAAAGCGTGGCAAGATGCCTTAAATTATGTCATAACACAAACGAGATCCCAATGTAGCTGAAGGTCAGATTGAAATATGAGATGGTATGCAACAATAAAAGCCCCTGCTCAATGATTATATTTTTCGTATTGGTCTGTCAAGGGGATGTTAATAGAACTTAGTCCTGTGTTCGAGTTTTCCTTTCTATCAATTTCTTGTAACATCTTTGTATTCTATCTTTTTCGTTGCGTCTCATTTTTTTCATCTCATAAGAAATACTGCCGTTTGGAGAAGCTCCTTTTTCAAAGCCATCCAATTAAGAATGTATTTTTAATAAAGTGTTAAACTTGAACAATCATATTTGTAAACAACGTTCTTTTGATATCCTTTAGTTTCTTCTTTACAACATTTCTGTGGATAAGTTGATGATAAATGCAATCTTTTGGTTACACGTACGGAATATATTAAATATAATCAATTCTTAGGTCCTCAAGCACTTCACTTCAAATTTCAAACATGGTGCCGTGTACAACGCAACAGTTCTGCACGATGGAAACAAAGACGAAAATCTTGAATTGTCTTTAGTTGGTAAGGGAAATTTTATTAAAATTTCGAATAAAATATCATCATTCAGTGATTAGCAAATCTAAGTTCCTAGAACATTCAAGATTGTTTAAGTAAACCGTCATTTTATTTAACTTTGCCGTGCGAATTATTTGTAGATGAACGTTTTATGTTTTGATCTATTCCATATCTCATGTTTAGAGCCGAGGGCGTTCCTAGCCACCAAATGTTAGCCACAAAATGTCCAACGTACTAACATTAATTCAGATCTGTCATGGTGTCCATAACAGTATCCTTGCCAAATCACAAATGTTTTTCTGCGATGCTTAAAAAATTATATTAATAAGGGGTTTAATTGACATACATTGTGTTGCTCAAGGCAATATTACGGATGAAGTGAAGAAAAATGGAATCGTTTGCGGAAAGATAACAAAGGTCCTGTCTCGCTCCGGTTTGCTGGTAGAGCTGCCCGGACACAAATGCGGACTAGCGCATATAACTGAATTGTATGATGAATATAAAGAAAATCCATTGGAAGAGTTCAAGCCAAAGATGTTTGTTAAGTAAGTTATCCCAAAGTATTGTTTATAAATATATAGCAAAGTATTTGAAGACGAACGTATCTATGAAGCCTTTTTAGTACGACCAATGTAAAGCCAGCAAACTGCAGGGCAATAAGGGGGCTTTGTAGATTGATTTTGTCTGTTTCTACTTGGCAGTAATCGTCTTTGACTGAAGCTCACTAAAATTGTATCATTTAATATCATTTAATCTGTTAGACACAACAATCTCAAAGCTCTTGATAACAGTCACAAGCGGAGTATCAAAGTTTGACTTAAACAAGGATATTACATTGAGAAAATTTGTAATTAAAATTGAGTTATCAAGCAATCGATTTATCGAACCCTCATGTTATCAAGACATTGATTGAATGCAGACCTAATCATAATACTGAAGAATGGTTTCGAATTAATGCTTCAAAGAAAGCGTAGATGCTCGTTCTCGTTGTTTAATAAGAACTACAAGGTCAATGATGAAAATATCCATGCTCATATTGATATATGTCATGAAACTGACGTTCTTTTCTGAGACCTATATCATAATATCATGAACTCGACTATAAATCCTCTGTAGATATGACTTATTGGGAGTTTTTGATTTGGCAGCAATAGAAAAGGGAGAATAGGCTTTTGTGTAAATGTAATAATTAGCGAAACTAAAAGCAAAGCCTGTATTCACCGACTGCTTCTTAAACATATTAAGATGATTGCACAGAAACGTCATATTTCTCGATTTTGCTATTCATTTAGATGCTGCATCCTGTCTGTTAGAGATGATGATCAAATAGACTTGTCTCTGAGACCTTCAAGGTGAGAAAAAGTTCTCTTACGTTTCCTCTACATAAAATAATCACCTGTTTAAGATTTCATATTTTTATTTAAACGTATCCCATCCTATTCTGTTTAGAAAAAAAGATTATATTGCCTGACCTGAAGTCTATAAGTTTGAAGAAAACATCCAAACGTTGCAAAAATTCCTTCTCTTTGATTCAAAGAAGGATAAGAAAGCATAGGATTATAAATTTTTAGTAGATTTTCGAATTATCTTGACAAGAAGATAACTCATAGGCTCATTATTCAGGTCTCCAGTAGTTCTTGAAAAGTTTTGACTAGAGTTCTACTAATGTAATATGTTTTTGTTTCTTTGTGGGGCTCTTGATCTGGGTTTTTGCAAATCAGGTAAATCAATGATCGATAATTGGTAATTATATCTCTTATTCCTTTTCAGAACTACTCCGGAAGAGACCGAGATGAAAGAGAGTGAGTTAATAATGTTATGGTTTCATGACATGTACTGAAGTTCTGATTTTTGGACATTGAGAAATATTAGAGGAGTCTACTCTTCATGAGCACTTTTACGAATTTTCCTGTTTTTGTCCTACATCTACATCATAGTTTATCGTCCATCGCATATCATCCACATTTGTAACTGTTTCCCATAAAACACAGACCATTTTTATTGTCAGATATAACGTAAAATTACCCAAGATAAAGTCCTCCCCCCTTGATTCATGAAGTCTACTGTTTCAGACCTTTATTTTAAAGGCAGTGAAAAAATTTGAAAGAGACCCTCTCCTACTCCAGTATTCTTTTCTACCGTTCCCCTTTACAGTCCCTCGATACCCCGTTAAGTTATTACTTCATTTGTAATAGACTTTAGATTTAGATAGCCTTATTCTTTGTTCTTGAGCGAATGTTTTGATTTCGTATGTTGCAAATACCATAAGTATATCCCCTATTTATAATTTCTTGCCATTCATTTGAATAATTTCTATCTTAGTAAAAGATCGTGCCATCCACTCCTTGGATGACATTCATGAGAATGATATCATCCGAGGTTACGTCAAGTCTGCATCTTCATGTGGAGTTTTTGTTAAGTATGTCACATATGTAGATATTTGCTTATTTTTTTAAGACAGTCATTTCATGTCTCATGCTGTAGAAAAAACGCCAGGATTATAAAACTTTCTCTGATGACAATAATCCACAACACTTCAATGTATACAGCTGAAGCAATTGCATTACAAGTCGTGAACAAACTCTGAACAAAAGAAACAAAGCACAAAATACAGTATTTTAGCTATTATATCTTATCAATGAAAAAAGGTGTCTATCGGTTTGAATTACTTTATTCACACGTTTGGGTCTGCAGTAAAAATATATGACTGTGTTCATAGGGATGTGTTGCCTGATAATATGTTTTGCATCTCACTCGGAGTAGCAACTATAACTGCCTTGTTTTGAACATAAAAACCAATATAGCTCTGTCTATACGCCATCAAAATGCTGTATCAAACTGGTTAGCAAAAATCTCCACTTTGTATGGTTCTATGCCTTATTTAAACTATTAAATCTAACTATTAACTATTAAATCTAACTAACTATTAGCTTTTTAACCTTGACTCGCTTAACCCGTTATCTAAGTTTGATGTAGCGTGTTGGTTTTCAACATTATGATATTATTGCGATTTATTCCTTCCTTCAATATGGCCAAGGTTTTAAAACTTTCCATACTTCCTTCTTTAGGCCCTGCTTAGCTGAATATCCTTTGCTTCAATAAATCTTGATGTAGATAGTCCTATGCTTGTAATGTGGTTTTCATGGTTAAATTGTCCGGTTGCTACCAGCTTTTTGCGCAAGAACAGGTTCTGAACAGTGGCCGATGTTGCTCCTAATCCTTTCATTTTTACAATTTACATCAAGGAAATTATATTTAAATTTTAAACCGAAGTTTCTCGATCCTTTTTCAGTCTGTCATCGAAAATTGTTGGTCGTGTACAAATAAAAAACCTTTCGAAATATTTCGTGAAGAACTGGCAAGAACTCTTTCCTGTGGGAAAACTTGTGAAGGCTAAAGTTCTCAGGTATTGAGCCATTAGAATCCTGTAGCTCTTTCCTTAACTTATAATAATTTTCAATACTTTGAAACTGTTCCTTTTGTTATTGTTGTACATGTAATGCACTAGGGTCATCTGTTGTTTATGCACATTTGAAATCACTTTCAGATTAAATCAAAGAGTTATTGCTTGAGTCGTCAGTAGAACCTTCTACAATGTATACTATCTTTGTTGAAAAAATATATAAATTGTAAATGAATCTGACATTTTAAACTAGTGTCAGAAGGTAAGGTTATAAGTGTTTATCCAAGCTATGAACCTTTTTGCTGGTGATAAGCAGTTCCAGCTGATATTGAATAAATTCTTTTACTTCATGGAAGCCTTTTCTAGTACAATCAGCTTGATTTGGTCGTTCCTTCAGTATCGATTCAATCATCTTCTAGAGGTATTGAGTTAATTTAAGACTAGAGTCTTATGGTGCTAGGCTGACCAAATTCTTTTCAATTTCTTAAAAAGTTTCTCCTTAGACCCTAGATAAGCCATTATTTTTCTCGCGTTGAAAATGTGGTAATTTTTCTCCTGAAGGAAAGAAGTGTGAAAGCAACCTAAATGACCTCTTTTCGTAGCAGACATCAAAATTTTATTAGCTTGTGTTTTATCAAAACCAACGCTCCTTTTTTGCAGTATTAATCCAAGCACAAATCAAATAGAACTCTCGTTGCGTGGTCCTGATGTAAATGACGTAGACCCTGCTCCTCCTCCTCCAAAGCGGCGTTCGACAGAGAATACAGGCTCTGAGCCCAGCAAAAAGCGAACGAGAAGAACAAGTGGCGATCTTAAGATAGAGTTGCAGAAAGACACAGACAGTGGTAATGCGAATACAGTTGATTTCGTTGATTTAGAGAGACTGAACGCGTGCTTCCTCTAGTAGTGTGAATGCGTAATTGTTATTCTACAAAAGGTCAGCTACCTACTGCGAAAATTGCACACACGATATTGCCAGCTCGCTATGGCTCTGCTCTTTTGTACTTGAATTTTTAAGAAGTCAACTGAAACAAGTACCAAAAACATACTTTTTTACGTTTAATACGGTTGTTTGTTTGATCTGCTAAGTACTGATAATTTTGGCATTTTTTGACAGGTAAAAATGGTAATAATTAGGCAACATATATTCCTCAAAGCTATTATTCCCACTTTTTTGGAACACGAGAGTAGAAAATTCCTATAGGCAGAAGTCAGATCAAGATTTTTTAAATCATTTATTTTAAGATTCAGATTATGAATAAGAAGATTATCAATCACAAGACTGTAAATTATGGATTATAACTTGCAAGATTATTAATTACTTTCATGCTTGCTAGATTTATTTAATCGGCATTTCATCTGCTAACTTCAAATAAAATTACTATGCTTCTTTTCTAGATGATGACGAATTGCTTCTTTTTAAAGACGATGAATCCGATTCCGACAAGGAGGAGACTATCGAAAACAAAGAGGTGTCTATCTTCTTAGAAATTTCTATAGGCCTGAAGTTTATTTGTTTGACTGAAATCGGAGAACGTCAAAATGATTTCCACAAGCATGGGCAACATGTCCTGATTAGAAGCTGCAAAGATTAATTAATTCAATTCAGGGCAAGACAATTTAGATAAATATTTTTATATCTAATCTATATATCTCAATCTTGGCCGTGACAATTTTCCACATCGATATCCTCTAGATATCAATATTTTCATGTTTGTTTTTTTCAAAACAATTTTCAAGTTCTGTACCGCCAAAAATTGTTCAAATACTGCCCACGGTCAATATACCCACCATCTTTTAGACCAGGCTTTTTCAATTTTTTTCGTAGAAAACTCGGAATTAATGTCAAGTTTTCATTAAAGATCAAACACTGCGTTGAGCTTTCAAACCGACGCTTTGGCTCAAAAGCAGTAACAGAATGAATAATTATAGAAATATTTTCATTCGCAAAGAAACAAAATGTTGTGAAAAATTATTAGCCGTTAAAGGATAAATTTAAGCTGAATCGTTTTGTGTAAGCATAAGGCTGACTTTAAGGTCGTATAAATGGACTTGATTTTCTTAAATTGTTTTTCCAGGTGAAAGAAAATAAAGAAATGACACGGCTAAAGGTGAGACATATACCTCTCTAAGCAAATTCATTCCATACTGTAATAGTGCCGAGCTTTGAATCTGAAGTCCAGAAATTCATGCATTTTTCCATTTTTCATTTTTCAAAATCAGCCTTTAGAGAAACTAACCACTTGCCAGCAAATAGTATAAGAATTCTCTTGTTTATTATTTTTTCAGTCCAGTGCCAGATATTATAATTTGTAACAAATGGTCAATAACAGTGCCAGATGTTATCATTTGTGACAAATGGTCAACAACACGATCACCCATTTATCAAAGCCTTCCCAGAAAATTACAGACACCCACTTTTGATAAATCGTTGTTTGAAGATTTTTGGACCAATTTGCTACCAAAATTCTACCCCATATTGTACATTGTCAAAATTTGCGCCAAGACTTCTATCAGACGGCTGCCATCGAAAATTCATCCTCTAATCCATGACCAGTCGCGTGAACTTTTAACATATTCTAGCCACCAAGCTGGCTACTTAGTTTTGCCCGCTATCCTTTGTCCATACATAAAGTATTTTAATTAGAAACATTTTCGATCCAGCTTCCAAGTGATTTCGATTGGAATGCAAATCTGAACGAAGAGGCGCAGAAAAGAAAGCATGATTCAGACTCCGAATCAGAAGAAGACGACGAACAGGTGGGGATATACAAATCTATTTACTGTTAGCTATTGCTAAACTGCAAAGGCCACTTTTAAGAAGCTTCTCCCTTTGTTACCATATGATAAAAAGAATAGATAAAAGTAGCTGTTTACTGGTTTGTGTTATGGTACTAAATGCTATAAAAACAGATCTTTCTTTGCTTAGGTGTCAAGTATAAAACTCCAATTTTCACCCTTAATGCGACCACTGGACAGTTTTTCTAACTTGAAATTCGCACGATGATAACAAAACCTGGAGTTGCAACGTTCTATTCCACCCACTAATTCGTCAGTACTTCTGGCATCGTCGATTATTCCATTCGAGTCCACTGCAGCCTTTGTTCTCCTCTTGCTACCTAACATGCTTCTCCTTCCTAAGTGGGGCTGATTATTTGTTTACTTCGCAGCAGAACTAGCCCCTACAAGCATCAAAACATATGTTTAGTTAGTTACAAGTATGGTCAACATGGCGTAAAGATGCAATCTAGAAATACAGAGCACCACATTATGTGTATGCCAATGTCTTGACACTTACCCTCGAAGACTTGGCAAGCAACTTTCAAGACCAACTACAAAACTGCTATTCTTATTATTATCCTAACTCTCAGTTCTGTTGATTTCCAATATTATTCATTATTTCGTTTAGGCCCCATCAGCCAAGAAGTCGAAAAGACAGAAAAGAGCAGAGAAAAAAGCTGAAGAAGAATATCTGTACAAGGTCACATACCATTCATTTTGTTTATGTCCTTTATCAATGTATACAAATGAACATTTAAACATATTGATCAACGTAACATATTACTCTAATATATTGAAAAAGGCTGTCCTTTCCAACAGTTAGCAGATCGTCGCTCGAGACTATTATACTAGCAAACAATAGTTTTATGCAAACTTTTAAATAAAATCAAATTTGATGTGCCAAGATTTCTATATATACGGAATGCTTTTTGAAAACCACTTTTGGTAAAAGGCCTCTCTGTACTTAAATGAGAATGAAAAACTGTGTTTATTCATAATTCTTTTCCCAACGTGGACAGCCAAATTTTTAGGCTATTTTAGACCCTATACAGATCTAAATTCATTTCCAACTTTAAGATTGTAAAATAAATTGAAACATATCATTACAAATTTATTTGCAGATTGGAACCAGATTTAGATTGTACTTTAAAACGTATGAATAGAGCGCTGTTTTTGGGATGTTGATGAATCGTATAAGGAAATTTGTTATGGTAATTTTTTTTTCTTAACATTTTTAAAGCAACAGGATATTGGGATCTACATCTGCATTTATATTCTAAGCGGTATCAATAAACGAAGTACCATTTCTACCCTAGACCGAGTTGGCACTGCTTGATAAAGATCGAGGCCCTGAGACCGCAGATGATTACGATCGCATGCTGCTTGGCTCTCCTAACAACTCAATGCTTTGGATCCAATACATGGCTTTCTTTCTGAACTCAGCTGATATCGATAAAGCGCGAACAGTGGTGGAACGGGCTCTCAAGACAATCTCTTTCAGGTTAAAAGCTTTGTTGTATTTTATTTTTACATATTACAGCTTAGTATTTCCTGCTTAAGAAAATCTTCTAACAAGTACAGTCAACTTTGTGTAATTCAGTAAACTTTTTAATTCAGTAAACTGTCTGGGAGATCTTCAAATTGTTTGATTTGCAAAATGTTCGATATATACGATTTTTTAAAAATATCTTGAATTTTGCCTCAGTTGTCTTTACATCAGCTTTAAATCTTGCACAGCAATTGTAAATAACAAAACATGTTTATTGCTAACGTATTTGATCTTTTTTTAATAAAAATGCAAGACAAAAATAGGCAATCCCGTTAGTTTTTGAGAGCTCGGCACGGGACAGGCCAAGTCTCCTTGCACTTTTCTCATTGAAGAAAATTCGAACTAAAAATATTATTTTCCTAAGAGGACCGACAAAATTGGTCGAGTAATGAAAGGTTCGATTTACAGAGGTTCAAATTGTTAAGGATGTGTTAGGAGGTTTTCAAGGGATCTGGAAAATTTGTTCGAATTAGTAAATATTCTAAATTCGTGAGTTCTAATTTGGGAGAGTTCGGTGTATCATCTTAGACTTTGCTCGAGGTCTCTCTTCAGGTATTCGTTTAGAAATGATGGCAACACGAGTTGACATGTATCCACCGCAACATAGTGCATCCTAGAAATGTTTTTTTATGTTTACAGAGAAGAGAAAGAAAAACTGAATGTGTGGATTGCCTCCTTGAATTTGGAATGTCTTTACGGGACTGACGAGACAGTGCAAAATGTTTTCAATGAAGCAGTGAAACGAAACGAACCGAAAAAGATTTATTTGAAAATGGCTGATATTTATATTCGCAACAATAAACCTGAGGTAAGATCAATTTTTTTGTCAAGTTGTTAACGTGTTAATTTGCTTCTTGTAATGTGAAATCGTATATGACTGATAAATAAATACCGTAACTCCGTTGTTTTGTTTTGGAATTTTTCTAGATATATAAACAGAAATTTTTGGCTTGCATATGACAAATTTTTTGTCGGAAGCTCATCAGAATGAGACACTGAGCGATACTTTTTCTAGATGTGAATCTAAATGACTTTATCTGTTAATCATTCATACTACATAAATGCCAGTCATTCATAGGTTTTGACTGGTTAATAATCATCACTTTTTTCAGCAACGGATTATTCATAATTCTCTGCTAAAACTTTTTGAATACCGTAAATCGAATTTCGCCATTTTTTGAGATGTCTTCCGCTAGTACGTGTGCACCTTTATGGCTCTTATGGCTCTCCTGATTGATATGTTATTTTACAGTTTTACAGTTTTTTGTCAAACGCATTATTTATCTTCTCACTTTATGATCGGTTCACCCCTGGATATGCTTACCTTATTACCTTGCTTACCTCGTTTATTTTGGAGTATCAGACGACAATTATTATAGTATGCTGAGTTTCCGCTTTTCATTGCTACCTTCAAATTTTGCAAAACCAGTCGCTTATTTGGTAATTTGTTATAAGAATACCGAGTATAGCTTTCGTAGCTTATATTGTCCATTGATGTCTCTTTCGCTCATTTTCATTCTAGAAAGCTGAAAAGCTGTATCAAGTGATGACCAAGCGATTTAATACAAGTAAAAAAGTTTGGATCAGTTACGGATTTTATTTGATGAAGAATGGCAAGGCTGAAGCAGCAAGAAAACTGCTCCAGAGGAGTTTCCAGTCCTTGCCTGTCAGAAAACGTAAGGAATACTTTAATCTGTTTTGCTTATGTCTCTTTTCTAACGTAACTACAGGTCAGTTTCAAAATTCTATAGAAAAGCAGCCCTCAATAATTATGATATGAAGTTCGAACCAGATAAAGGTTCTCGGCCTCACTTGCATCCCTATACAGAAATCTACACCTCTTTTTGGATCAATAATAGAATGGACAGTGACACGGGATTAACTCTTTGTTGACCAAACTCATACTGATTACAGTTTTGTTTCTAAACCGTAAGCTCAAAGAAAGCTCCTATGAGTTTAAACTTAGGAAAGTCCATAAGGGTGTTAGCAAACCTATAACACTACTGTTTGTTATAATGGAGGCTAAATTGTATATGGGGAGTGGGAAATAGGAAGTGAACATTACTGTAAATATGAAGTTGTTTAAACGATGGAACTGGGTTCCTTACGATCCAAAATAGACTTGGAAACATTTCAACCTAAGCTGTATCATTAGCGATTGTTAATTCTCAGTTATGCCCATAATATTTTTGCATTTCTCACCTCTATATATTTTTCATAAGACGTTGATTTTCACACGTTGGAAAACAAAGTAATAAAACAAACTTTATAAAGCTTTGAAAATAAAGAATATGTTTATTTTTTTTGTAAGAGCACCCTGAAATTGGACACATTAGTACATCACGCGCTGTTGCTAGACATGTGACGTCATAAATGATATTAGTTATTGTCCATGATCTTAATTATATGCTATTGAGTGAAGCTTGACAAGCACAAATACATCCAGCCTCTTCACCGAAGTGAAGCTATCGTTTTTTCATTAGGTCCCTGTCACAAGGTACCACCTTCCTTATATTGTTTTGTAAATTCTTATGTTGTTTATTGTCATTCGCTTATCAGATATCAATACCATCCTAAAATTCGCCTTGATGGAATTCAAGTTTGGTGAGGCAGAAAAAGGCGTCACAATGTTTGAAAGTGTACTGAAAAATCACCCAAAGAGGACGGACATCTGGTCAGTTTACATCGATATGCTAATCAAAGATGGGGAATATGAACAAGTCAGGTATGTGAATTCATTTAATTCGGATAGGATGATTGTTTTCTGGGCTTTGTTTTACTGTTTGTATACCCAAAAACCAAGAACTTCTCTGTCGTCAATTTCAAAACAAAGAATTGTCTTCAAAACACTTTCTAGACAAAATCAGAGAAAAAGTTTTTTATAGTGCCCCAGCCTATCAAAGCGTGCTTTATTTGAATAGAACAGTTTTTTGATAGTATGAGTCTACAGTCGTTTTTTGAACGATAAGATTTAAAATGTGGCGTTTAAATATGACATAAACAAATCATGTAGCATAGAAGTTTCCTTTTATAAATATATATGTTTGGCCACTATTTACAATTCAATATGATAATCGTCCGATATAATTTTACAATTGTCCGATATAACAATCTTTTTGCCACTGGTGAGAGTTGATGACTTTTAATCATTGGTGACTCAAAATATTTCACATTCTCTAAACAAATCGATTGATAGGAAAATGGCTGTATCTTATTTAGTGAATAACCTTCCTAACAAGGAAAGTTTTGTAAAGGAACAACAACTTTTGTTGTAGGAACGTTTTCGAAAAGGTTTTAACACTGAACTTATCCACGAAAAAAGTGAAGTTTGTATTCAAACGTTATCTTGAATTTGAGAAGAAGCATGGGGACGAAAAACGAGTGGAGGGTGTCAAAACCAAAGCATTGGAATATGTTGCAAGCAAAAATGATATGAGCTAAAATTTCATGAATTACAATTGATAGCTTATCGTTAGAGTATTTTAAAGTAGCTTAATGATATTTCTGTAAAGGTGTTTTTAGCTATGCATAAATATCGTGTCCCTACATTTCGAGACTTAATGACCACTGGTTATAATCAAGGACGGCTAACTTGAATAAGATGTGTTGCTTTTCACCTTCAAAAAGAGAGAAGGTATTCATACTTATCTGTCCAGCCAATGGTATCGTGCAAGTTTTCCCCCAGAGCTCAGTGTCCCTTACAACCCTCTTCCAGCCTGATTTCTTGGTCAACATCTTGAAATTGCAAACTTTGCTTGGCTCTAGGCAGAGAGAAATTCAGTTAAAAAATTTGTTATATTGCTTAAAACAACTGGACAACTTACATGATTGTATAAGTTAGAAATTGTGTTTGCCCAAATCTCGTCTTAATGCAAGAAATTACAAAACGTAACTAGCAAAAGGGGGAATAATTTTAAAGCAGCTAGTTGCTTTGGAAGGCTGTCAGTTATTTTTGGGCCATGAATAAACCTTTAAAAAGGGATAGGCAAATAGGATAGCTAACTAAACACATGCAGTGAAAAGTTTCATTTAAAGCAAAATAGAGCATTTGAACACGTAGAAAACCAATTTTCTCCATAGCTTTCCACCTATATACTTATCATGAGGTACAATGAACCTCATTAATATTTTTGCTCATATATATTAATGGTACTAAACTATGTACGAAGTAAACTTACTCAAAAGAAAACGCTTTCAGTTTTGCGAATATCTGATTTATTTACAAACAGTTAAAAATGGAAACTATTTTAATTCCTCCTTTCCAAAACACCAAAAGCGCCATTAATTTTACGGAAAATCAAAGGTCTGAAAACTCATCGTTTTTGCAAAAATGCAGGTTTTCTGCCAAAAAATATTGATTTCCAGTAATTTCTAGTAATATTAAATCATTTTGGTTAACCTATAGTCTTCATTTTTGTAATAAAAATTGAAACTCTGAAAAATAACGATTTTCTTAAAAATTCAAGCAAGGTTTATCAACATTTATTCATTTCTGGCTGTTTCTGATCAGGTTAGACCTAATCACCTAAATATTTCTGCCAAAATATACTAGGAAAACTGCCCTAGCGAAATTCCACCCTTTTGGTAAGCCTATAGCCTTGCTTTCTGAAAAAACATCGACGTTTCTAACAAGCTCAATTTTTGAATACTCGAGCTTTGCTGACCAAGTTAAAACGATTTTAAATGGAAAACTAGATTCAATCATAGTGTATTCTGATCATAGAGAAGCTATTCATGCTGATACAAAAAGAAAAAATTTTCGAAAAAAAATCAACGATTTTCCTAAGGCTATAACCTTACTTTTTTATCAAAAATTGACCCCTCCAAAAAGTCGTGATTTTCTTAAAAAAACGACTTTAAATGGAAAACTAGATTCAATCATAGTATATTCTGATCATAGAGAATCTATTCATGCTGTTACAAGAAGAAGAAATTTTCGAAAAAAAACAACGATTTTCCTAAGGCTATAACTTTACTTTTTTATCAAAAATTGCTCCTCCAAAAAGTCGTGATTTTCTTAAAAAAAACGACTTTAAATGGAAAACTAGATTCAATCATAGTTTATTCTGATCATAGAGAAGCTATTCATGCTGTTACAAGAAGAAAAAATTTTCGAAAAAAACAACGATTTTCCTAAGGCTATAACCTCACTTTTTTATCAAAAATTGACCCCTCCAAAAAGTCGCGATTTTCTTAAAAAAACGACTTTAAATGGAGAACTAGATTCAATCATAGTATATTCTGATCATACAGAAGCTATTCATGCTGTTACAAGAAGAAAAAATTTTCGAAAAAAAACAACGATTTTCCTAAGGCTATAACCTTACTTTTTTATCAAAAATTGACCCCTCCAAAAAGTCGCGATTTTCTTAAAAAAAACGACTTTAAATGGAAAACTAGATTCAATCATAGTATATTCTGATCATAGAGAAGCTATTCATGCTGTTACAAGAAGAAAAAATTTTCGAAAAAAAACAACGATTTTCCTAAGGCTATAACCTTACTTTTTTATCAAAAATTGACCCCTCCAAAAAGTCGCGATTTTCTTAAAAAAAACGACTTTAAATGGAAAACTAGATTCAATCATAGTATATTCTGATCATAGAGAAGCTATTCATGCTGTTACAAGAAGAAAAAATTTTCGAAAAAAAACAACGATTTTCCTAAGGCTATAACCTTACTTTTTTATCAAAAATTGACCCCTCCAAAAAGTTGCGATTTTCTTAAAAAACGACTTTAAATGGAGAACTAGATTCAATCATAGTATATTCTGATCATAGAGAAGCTATTCATGCTGTTACAAGAAGAAAAAATTTTCGAAAAAAAACAACGATTTTCCTAAGGCTATAACCTTACTTTTTTATCAAAAATTGACCCCTGCAAAAAGTCGTGATTTTCTTAAAAAAACGACTTTAAATGGAAAACCAGATTCAATCATGGTATATTCTGATCATAGAGAATCTATTCATGCTGTTACAAAAGGAACAAATTTTCGAAAAAAAACAACGATTTTCCTAAGGCTATAACCTTACTTTTTTATCAAAAATTGACCCCTCCAAAAAGTCATGATTTTCTTAAAGAAACGACTTTAAATGGAAAAATAGATTCAATCACAGTATATTCTGATCATAGAGAAGATTTTCATGCTGCTACAAGAAAATTTTTTTTTTTGAAAAATCAACGATTTTCCTAAGGCTACAGCCTTACTTTTTTATCAAAAATTTACCTCTCCAAAAAGTCGTGATTTTCTTCAAAGAACGACTTAGAATCGAAAACTAGATTTAATTATAGTATATTCTAATCATAGACAAGCTATTCATGCTGTTACAGAAAAAAAAATTTTCGAAAAAAAATCAACGATTTTTCTAAGACTATAGCCTTTTTTTTATAAAATTTGGAACCCTCCAAAAAGTCGTGATTTTCTTGAAAAAACGACTTTAAACGGAAAACAAGATTCAATGATGGTATTTTCTGATCATAGAGAAGCTATTCATGCTGTTACATGAAACAAATTTTCCTTACAAGAAGAAAAAGTTTTCCTAAAACATCGACGATCTTTCTAAGCCCATAGTGTCATCTTATTTTTGAAAATTAAATTCAGTTAGAGCACCTTGTGATCATGTATGAGCAGACGAACCATATTCTATGAGAAAATGTTTGAAAAAACTCGACGACATTTCGAAGACTATTGTCGAAGACGAAGACTATCCGCGCTATAAACTGTCATTCAAACTTTTTGAAAATCCGTTATCTTTTCCAAAAAATATATTTAATTTCCAAACTAAATCTAATTTCATAATTTTTTTTGCAGAATTAAATCAACCTGTTTCAAGAAGAATAAGTTTCTAAAATGTTTGACGACTTTTTGAAGCTTCTATTAAGCTTTACTTTCTAATCAAAAAACGATTTTTTTCAAATGTTGTAATTTCTTTGAAAATTTA